CAATCCTTTAGGACAAAACCTTTTCTTACAAAATCCCTTCTCATCCAAAAATTCTTTCTCTCCCCACCATCATACCCAATAACTTTTTATATTTTTCTTACTTGCCAAAATCTTAATTTTCATTAAATGCTTACGAATTTAAATAAAATTGTTTCTTTCAATAGAGTAAAGCACTGTTAATTTCATAATTTAATAGTCCTGTTAAAAAGCACTCTCATTTTTTTAAATGACAATTTATAAAAACACATTTGCTAGTCGAAATATTGAGTAGGATCTGATTTCAATAGAATGAAACACATTCAGATGACTTGCCACATATATTTAAGCAGTTTTATAGCTCCCTCTAAAATTAGTTTTTTACTTTAATCCTAAATACTTAAAAGTTATCTCTTGAATCTCTGTATTTGTTAACCTGGGTCATCACATTAACCTTGTAACAGCAGTTTAAGAACCATGCTGAAGATGTTTACACACACACACACACACACACACACACACATACATGAACAAGTTTTGTAAATTAGGCATGTCAAAAAAATAATCTCGTTTTAAGCACACATAAATGAGCTGGAATTCTAGAAGCAAACTAAGTTGTGCCCAATGCTGTTTCAGAAGTCACTTTGTTAGAGGATTATCTTGGTGGCTGAAGCAAAAGACAATCTTACCAGGACTGCTGTTGTAGCCTTTAAATCAATCACAAACACAAGACAGACATACACAAAAGACATAAAAACAACTGGAGTGCACGCACAGAAAAGCCTTTTAAACCACGCCTAAGTTGGAATTTTCCTTAGGGCAGCATCAAGACAAGCTCAGGGCTTGTCTTGATTTGCTTTCAGCAAATCACAAAAGATGTCTTTAAACTTTCTGTTTTAACAGGTATCATCCCTTCCCTGTTAAAGACCAAAACAGAATCCAAATTTCCCTGTTAGACAAACTGCAGAAACTCAAAAAGTTTAAAAGTAACACAAATGGCGCATTTACCAAATGCCTCAAAATGCCAAAGCTGCAATCGGAGTCTTTTAAGGGCATCATAAATCTTCTGGGCATCATAACGTTAGGTTTGGCCATATATTGGGTTTTTTTAATCCCTCTGTTGGGGGGGGGGGTTCTGCTCCAGGGGTTCTTATCTTCGCTGGGCTTAGGAACAAGCTCAGGAGGCACAGAGGGCACATGCAGGTAGATTTATTATGGCTAGACAAGTCTGCCTGCAGTAACAGCAGAGGGGCTCTTTCATCTTCTGTGAGGAGGAGGGTGGAGGTTCTTCCCCCATCTGCGGTCGGCAGCCTATGGTGGCAACACCCTGGTTTCGCCCTGGTGCAGCTTTCTGGGGCCGGCTAGGGGAACAGCAGCACAGGCCTGGGGAATTGCAACAGCAAGCCGCTCCCTGAACTAAGCCCTTTGATCTCATGCTGCTGAGACCCAACACCTCCTTCTTAAATTTTTACACATTTAGTAGGACCCTTAGCACAGTAAATGGCGCTCATAAAATCTTAAGGGACAATCGCCAGGACTGCGTTTTTTCCTATGTTGTCTCAATTTGTGCCTGGAGAGCCGTGCATGGCTGCATCTGTTTCCTTACACGGAATTATTCACTGGGGGTTGGGGAAGTTTGCTTCCCTCCCGGCCTAAGTACCCGGCTCCCTTTATTTGGAACAATTCATCTATGCCCTTAAGGATGGACGTCTCCTTACACCAGTGCTCACTGGGAGAGGAAGTTGCGCGCTTTGATCCAGGAGAAGCTGGACTACATTTCCCAGAGTGCTCCGCGGCGCTCGTCAGCCGCCAGCTCCTGGGAGCTCCTGGGATACGTGAGTCTCCCCTAGAGGCAGGTCTGCGAGGGGCTGGAACCTCAGTCCTCCAGACCTCAGCCTCCCAAGTCGGTAGGATTACAGGCATGATCCACTGGCACGTGGCTAAGTTTAGAGAAGTTTTACTTAGCAAAGCAAGGAAAAACAAAGCCATCCCAATAGGCTGGTATGTGGACGCAAGAGAAGCGACCCTGGTCAATAGTGGTCATGTCCGTCGGGGTGGGGGTAATAAACATAAACAGCGTCCTGTTTATGTTGGGCACCTGGTGTAAAATGTTGCTGCTGTAAAATGCTGACGTTATCACCCGAGCGTGGAGACAGTCTGAGATGGCCTTAGGAATTCAAGGGTCTTTATGACATGGATGCCTGTTTCTTACAACTTTTATGGGCACTCTTTTGAGTAAATGCCAGGCATCTTTAAGTTTTGGAACATTATAGCAGGGAGGAGGATCAGAAGAAAACAGACGAGGCCTGAGTCCTGATAAAGTAGCAGGGAGGTAGGGATGGAAGACCAGGGAGATAAAACCTGAGGAATCTGAATGTGGAGAGGGTCACATAACACTTGGGAGGGGGAAAGTTACATAACACTAGGGTAAAGTAGCCTATAGAATTGAATATAACCATATATGGATTAGATCTTGCTTTTTGCTTCTGTCACCTGCTTGCAAGGTGAGACCCCTTTGTTCTCGGGGCTCAGCCTTTGGACACAAGTCCGCTGGGTCTGTGCCAGCACAATAAAACATTGCTCCTTGCTACTCGCCTCAGTGTCCCCTATCTCAGCTTGAGATTTCCACAACAACAACACTCAACTCTGGCCAGGTCAGAGTAACCTATCTCTATCATATATTCTATTTAACTGGGGAAGTAGGAGTGTGAAGAAAGAAAGAAATGAGTGTTCTCCGTGTTTACAGTGTTTAATTTTGCAGTTTAACAGCCCTCTAATTATATCCTATGTAATGAAATTGCCAAGTTCTTTCTTTTGGAAACTGTTTATTTAGGACAGAAAAGCCCATTGTTAGGGGATATTTATTCTCCTTTAACAACGTCCACTTTTAGTCCAAGGATGAATCTGGTCAGATGTTTTTCGTGAGGTATTTGCTCCAAATGTGCTTATTCACAGCAAATCAATACAAGTTTAAAAGAATGGCTCGAGGGCTGGTGTGTGGCTCAAGTGGTAGAGCACCTGCCTATCAAACACAAGACATCGAGTTCAATGCCCTATACTGCCTCCCCCATCCCCCCCCCAAAAAAAAGGATAGCCAAACTTCAAGTTATCTGTCAGTATACTGCTTATTCTTCGTTCACTTTGGACCTTTTCTCCATGCCCTGGATTTTAACTTGTTTTTGTTCCCCTGCCACTCACCCTGCACAATCCTGCCTGACAGCCTCTTTAGCAGTGTGCACGGGTGACCCTGTAGGATGAGTCCTGCATGGTTGTAGAGCTGTCCCCTCCTTTGTAAGGTCCATGTTATATTCCACGATGTGGTAGACTGAAGAATTGTCCCCACAGATACCCAGCCCCTAACTCTGGAACCTGGAAATACGCTTTTATCTTACGTGGCAAGGGATTTGGCAGGGGGGCGGGGCGGAGCTGGCACACATGGTACAGTGGATTTTTCCCATCCTTTACCACCTGGTTCTCATCTTGAGAGACTGCCCCACCAGGGGACATGTGGCAGTGCTGACACAATGGGGAACTTGCTACTGGCATTCCCACGGGTGGAGGACAGTAATGCTTATCATCCTACAGTATGCAGGGTGTCCCCTTACAATGAATGACCCAGCCTCAAATGTCAGGTGCTGAGGTGGAGACACACAGGGCCACCTGTAATACTCATTCCTAGAAGTGCAACTTCTGAGCCAAAGGGTGTGACCTTTGGAAACAGTGCAGACGTTATGTTCCCTAAGGCTAATCCTAAACGTAGGAGCGTGGGACAGTGTCTCATCCTCTATGTTGAAACACACCTGGTTATGAGTGGCGCGTGTCCTGAGCGGCACACATACAGAGGGGGCAGTGAGCGTGTCTTGTCTGCAAAGGTCAAGAGGGCTCCACGGAGTGGGTGACTTGGAGCTGGGGTAAATACTGTTGTCACCGTTACCACTGAGTGCTCGCCGAGCCCTCACTCCTTACGGGACGTGGGGTATCCTACTCTAGAAGTCACTCTTCTTTTTGTTACCACCTGACTTAGTTTCAGCCCCCACCATGTTGTGAACGCCACCTATCTTTCTTTTCTTTTTCTTTCTTTTGAGTTAAGGTCTTGTTATGTAACCCAGGCTGCTCTCAAACTCAGGATTCTCCTGCCTCATCCTCCTGAGTGCTGGGATTACAGGCATGCACCACCACATCTGGCAGGCCCATCTATGTTCCAGGATTCTGGAGAGTTCCTGGGAGTGCAGCTCACACACACTGCCTCCAGTCCTCAGCCCTGGACCCACACTCAATCTTGCTTACGTCACCTCTGTCTTTGTGCCATTTCCCCAGGTGTGGCAGGCACATTGTAGGAATAACTGCTTCGTCTGAGTGATGAGCAGCACTGATGTCCCCATTCCGTAGGTGGAGAGACAGGTACAGGAAGGACAGGGACTGGCCTACTGGGGTTTTCACATCCACCTGGCCAGATGCCATGTTTGGAGGTATTTGCTCCCTAAAGTTCTGCTAGGGTGACTCAGAGTTCAGGGAAGACACCTGAAGATCAGCTAGCAAGGATATCAAGTTTTTGAGTGTTCATGGCGTACCCTGGGCGAGGAGTAGTGGGAGGTCAGGACAGCTGGGAGAGTCCAATTTGTAACTTGACTCTGTCTTGGGGACCCCATGGAGGACTTCCAGAAGAACTTGGTCTCTGTTTTCACAGTATTACTAAAAATACCCCTAAAAACCCAACAATATCAACAAAACAAAACAAAAAAACCCAGTGTGGTGTGCATACCTGTAATGTCAGCACTTGGCAGGCTGAAGCAGAATGATCTCCAGTTCATGGCCAACCTGGGCTGCACAGTGACCCCCTGAAGAACTATACTTTTATTTGAGGCTAGCTCAGAGATGTCATTTACAAAATACCTTTTGTTGTCAAAACACAACTTTGCATACAAAGCCACCTCCATCTTTAATAGATGCTCTGGTTCACAGATACATGTTGGTGACAGGCTGCTGAGACTCAGGGAGCCAAGCAGGACCAGGAGCCCCGCTGCTCAGCACTCATCATCTTTGGTATCCTTCTGGGCCCGCCTGCGAGCCTTCAAGTACCCAGAGCTGGTCAGCTGTCCGGGGGAGGCCGGAGCCAAGTTCACCCAGCCCGGCCCACGGGGCAGCAGGTGACTCTCGTTGAGTCTGATGACCCGGTAGTTCTCATAGTGGACGTTATGGGTGATGTCCTTTAGGTCCTGGAGGTGGGAGCTGGCCAATGGAGAGCAAGTCAGCCCCAGGCCATGGCGTTCCCAGAGCCCCCTTCCCAGCCACCCCACTGCAGGACCCCCTAGGCCTCACCGGATGAGCAGGTCTCTCAGGAGAAGAAACTCACAGTGCGCTATGTTCTCCACTGCAAGACATGGGGCCCAGCATGGCTTTGCATGGCTGTCCCGCCCTCAGCGAGCACTCAGTAAGTGCCTGCTGTATGCTGGGTGTCCCATTTCCCTCTCCCCACATTCTGCCTCCCTTTCTTGGATTCATTCGTTCATTGTTGGCTCCTACAAATGGTTGTTGAACTAATGAACGGCCCATCGTTATTATAGTATGTATATATTACACCACAGATAATACACATATATTTCTAATAATGACAATAATAAATGGGGGCCAGGCCCTGGCCATTCCTTCTTGCTCACTTTCCAGCCCAGCCTCCGCATGGTCTTCCCTCAGACTAGCCTCCAATCTGCCTCCACCCAACCATTTCCTTCAGTGTTTTCCCTCTGTTATTGTCTCATCAGCTCTATGGGGACAGGGTCCTCCTCAGTGCTGTCTTCATCATATCCCCTCTTGGGAAGTGCACATAGTAGGGTCCAGCACACAGTAGGAATACCATCAATTTCATTGAACCCTGTGGGCACCTTTCTGGGTGCTGGGCACTGTGCAAAGTGGTGGCCCTGCCCCCTCCAGATGTCCTGTGTGGTTGATGTTCCCATGAGGTCCATTTTAGGATGAGGTGACAGATCTCTCCCCTGGAAAGACAGGGAACCAAGTGCCCTGTCTGTGGGCTTCATCACCCCGGGCCTGGTGAGGGGCCAAGGATGCCACAGGTATAAGGCCTGCCCTGGTTTCTGCCCCAGCGTCCTCCCGCTGTCACCACACTGACCTTCGATGATGCCCCACTTGGTCTTCCGGCCCAGGACACACCTCCCGTTCACCAGGTGCTCTTGGTCTGCCCCGACCACCGCAAAAGGGATCTGCTCCTAGGAGAGGGAAGGTGGGTGGGTGGCAATGTGGGCCCTGCCCAGGCAGGAGGACGCACACAAGTTCTACCAAAGACACAAGTGGTCCCCTGCCTCTCCTGCCTCACCTGTTAAATGGGCTCACCAACAGTGCCCACACAGGGCTTTGTGAATGTTTGGGCAGTGCTTCACAGAGCTCAGGGCTAGCAGAGTCACCCTGGAAACTGTGTGCTTGGTAATACCGACATTAATCATACAATTTTTCTGCAGTACTGGGATTTGAACTCGGGGGCCTGGTGTTTGTGAGGCAGGTTGTGCTCTAAACCTGCCCTTTTTGCTCTGGTAATAGGTTCTCTCTTTTATGCCTGGACTGAAATCTTCCTATTCACATTTCACCGTAGCTGGGATGACAGGCACACACCACCACACCTAGCTTTTATTGGTTGAGATGGGGATCTTGAGAACTATTTGCTCAGGCCGGCCTTGAACCTTGATCCTCCTAACTGCTGCCTCCTAGTAGCTAGGTTTGAGACTCTGGCACCTGGCCAATAGTATAATCTCGAGGCTGTGCGTGTACCTTAGTATTTAGCGTGTGGAATGCTCTGGGTTCAATCCATAGCACCGAGAAATAAAATATATATATCTGTACGCGCTCCACCACTGGGCCACACCCCAGCCCCATAAAGTTTGTTTGTTTGTTGTGGTGCCGGAGGTCGCACCCATGGCTCCCACATGCTAGGTAACCATAAAGTTTTATTGGCACAGACTTAAGCCCATTCGTCTTCTCTCCTCTGTGGCTGCTTTCGAACCACAATGGCAGGCTTGAGTAATTGCACCAGAGATCGTGTGGCCCACAGAGTCTAAAATATTTAGAAAACTTTGTTTTCTTACTTAGGGCCAGAAGCAAGAAATTCAAACTTGTAAACTGCAGAGCGCTGTTCCGTGGGCTTGTTTTTATTTCTGAGAGTTCATTTTTGATGAGGAATACTGATGCTAGTGATAGTTGTGTCGCACACTCCTGGGTCATCTCGTAAGAAACGCTCAGTGTGTGTCTGAGTGACTTACTGAGACTTTCATTTGAGGACAATTCTCTTTGCAATTCCTCCGCTCCAGCTGGGCCCAGGCTGTCCATGTGGCCAGCCTGATTCAGGACAGAAAAGAGACTGGTGGAGGCCACAGCTCCTGGAATTGCACACAGGAAATCGTGTTCATGGCTCCAGTCGGGGAGGGGGCAGAAGGGAGGGTAGAGAGAAACTAGAAGGGAACCAGGGCCTCCATGCGTGGATGTGTGATATGGGCACTGCACAAAGGCAGCTGGCCGTGGGGCTGTGTGGGCTGAAATCCATCTGTGAAGGAAGCAGTACTAAGCCAAAGAAAGTACTGTGTGGTTAGCAGAGTCGTGGGGTAAGGAGTGAGCCCTGGGTTCTGTGGGTGACAAATCCTGGGACTGCCTTGCAAGGTCTCTCCTACCCTGCTTCCTCCTTTCCTTTTCACTGAGGCAGAATTCATACCAAACATCCACCCTTATATAGTTAAGTGGTTCTTAACATATTCACAAGGTTCTGCAACCTAAGTCCAAAATGTTTTTGCCCCCCAAGCAGCTCCAAGCCCTTTAGCAGTCACCCCATTTCACCCCATTCTCCTTTTTCCCCAAAGTCGGGCACCCCCACTAATTTCTTTCTGTCTCTCTGGGAATTTGCTTGTTCTGAGCATGTCACATAAATGGAGCTGCCTGCACACTGTGTGGCCTTTTGCGTCTGGCTCATCTCACTAGGTCGGATATTTTCAAGGTCCACCCATATTGTGGTGTGTGCCAGCGCTCCATTCCCTTTTCAGGGTCAGACAGTATTCCAGGGTGCGGACGAATCAATTTGTTTCCGCACTTACCTGTTGATGGGTTGTTTCTACTTTTTAGCTACTATGAATAATACCGCTGTGAACACTCATGTACACGTTTTGGTTTGCTTTGTTGAGACAAGGTCTCGCTATGTAGCCCAAGCTGGCCTGGAACTCATGGTCTTCCTGTCTCTGCCTCCCGAGTGCTGGGATTATAGGGGTGCACCACCATGCCTGGCTACATATACTGAATATACGTCTTCTACTTAGGAGTACAGTTGCTGTGCAGGAGCTGCAGGGCTGTTCTTCTAAGCAGCTCCACCACTTCCCCGTCCTGCCAGCAGTGTGGGAGGTTTCTAGTGCCCCACATGCTCTACTGTGGTTTGAATCTGGATGTCTCTTCCTAAACTCAGGTCAAAGTTTGGTTGTGAGTGCTGCAGTGTTGGGAGGTGTTTGGACCGGGGAGGTGGAGCCTACATTCATAGATGAAAGCCTTCTGGGAGTGGGTGTGTTCTCGCTCTTTTGGGACTGGGAGAGTTACGAGAGCAGGTTGTTCTGAAGTGAGCGAAGCGGTTTCCTCGCCATGTCAGGTCTCTTTGCACAAACCCACTTGTCAGTCTGCTTTTTCACCATGCATGAAGCAGCATGAGGCCCTCACTAGAAGCCAAGCAGACGTGGCCGCCCTGTCTTGGACATCCAGCCTCCAGAACTGTGATCTAAATAAACCTCTTTCTCTATAAACTATGTAGTCTCTGGTATTCTGTTATAGTAACAGAAACCTGACTAAAGCACCCACCCTAATTGGTATGAAGTAGTTTCTCACTGTGGTTTCGATTTGCATTTTCCCAAGACTGAGGATGCTAGACATCTGTCTGTCTGTTTTGGGGAAATACCCACTGAAATCCTTTACCCATTTTTTTTCTTTTGAGGTGCTGGAGAATAGAACCCAGGGCCTCGTGCGTGCCAGGCAAGTGTCATACCGCTGAGGTGCACCCCAGCCTTTCCTGTATTTAAATTGGGCTATCTTTTACTGTTGACTTGCAGAGCTCCTTATATATTGAGGACTTTAAGCTCCTCGTTAGAGAAGTGATTTGCACGCGTTTCCTCCCGTTCTGTGCATTGTCTGACACGACGTGTTTTATTTCTCTCTCACCTTGACTTTGTGGATGGAAGGAGGTTTGTAGCTGTTAGAAATATATTCATGTCTCTGAGTTGTAGCGAGAGATGAGTGTTTGGACGGAAAGGATGAGTGGGAAGAAAATCACCCAGTCTTAGTTGCCCCAGGCCCACCCCCGTGGCCACTTACCCGGATCTTGCTGTTGAGGATTCTGTCATTGATGTCCTCGTCAAAGCACTTCTGTGGATACACATCAATGCAGTGAGTTTTCAGGTTTTGCTGGATCTAGGAACCAAGCATACGGGTGACCTCAGCCCGCTCTGTCCACTCCGTCCTCCACCACATTGACCCCCGCCCTGCTTTGTGCACCCAGAGCACCCTGCTCTTGAAGGCCTCTCGTTCCTCGATGGTCAGGCTGTCAGCCCTGGCGATCACTGGCACCACGTTCACAGTCCGGCACAGCCGCTGCAGGAACTCGATGTCCAGGGGTCGCAGGCTGCCCAGACAGACAATTGTGGCCATGGCAGTGGATTTCTGAGTGAGGTGGGGAATCCTCCTCTTCATCCCTCCCTGACGCCAGGTGGCCTCCCCTGGCTGCTCAGCCACCTCACCAGTGCCCAGTGGGCGGCACGAAGTAGACGCAGCAGTGCACACGGGTGTCGGGGATGTGACGCTGGCGGGTGATGAGGAGCTCCTCTTGTAGGTACTGCTCGTACTGTCGGTTGATGTAGCCCAGGACGGGGTCCCAGCTGGGGCGAGACCCCTTCCCTCAGGACGGTGCTCTGGAACCAGAACCCTGCCACTCCACTGGACCTCTGGGTGGGTCTACCCTTAGGGTGGCCATGGTCCCCATTTGGTAAGGGCTACTTGGTCATCCTGTTACCTTTCCCCAACCTCAGAGACACACAGAGAGACCCCTGCCATTGTTGTCCCAGGCCTCAGCTTTCTTGTCTGTAAAATGGGACAAAGCCCCTGCTTGTAAGGGAGGGGCAAGCAGTGAGTGACACAATCGGCCATCAACTCCGTCCAAGCCGCCACCGACTCTTGCCGGCTTCTTCTCCTGGGTCCTACCTCCTCTGGCTACTGTCAATACAGCAGCCAGGCAGACCTGTTTGTTTATCTTTTATCAGTTAGTTAGTTAGTTGTCTGGATATTTATTTTGTCAGGGGTGGGAATGGAATCCAAGGTTCTGAACCTGTTGGCAAGTGCTCCGTCACTGAGCTACGTCCCCAGCCCCAAGGAGATCCTTTTGAAAACAGAGGTCTGAGCCAGGCGCCGGTGGCTCACGCCTGTAATCCCGGCTACTTGGGAAGCTGAGATTGAGAGGATACATTCTTCTATTTCCACTCTTCTCTGCTCCCCACCGCAGCTGGGATGACAGCTACCACCACACCAGTTCCCAGTATAATTATTAACAGCAATCCCTGTCACTCCCAAAGAATATCCTGATTGGCAGCACGCAGTGGCTGATGCCTGTAATCTCAGCTACTCTGAAGGTGGAGATTGGCAGGGTCGAGGTTTGAACCCAGCCTGGGCAAAACATTGGTGAGACCTACATCTCCACAGACAAGCCAGGGGTGGTGGTGTGTACCTGCGATCCCAGCTAGGTGGGAGGCCTAAATAGGAGGATGGAGGTCTGCCGTCCACCTGGACAAAAGCAAGAGACCCTATCTGAAAAATAACTAAAGCAAAAAAAGGGCTGATGGAGTGGTTCAAATGATTGAGCGCCTCCCTGGCAAGTGTGAGGCCCTGAGTTCAAACCCCAAAACCCCAGTACCACACACACATGCGCACACACACACACACACAGACACGCGCACGCGCACGTGCGACCTGATTGGATAGTGGATTCTGGGTTCACCCTGCCTATAACTGGTTGACTTTGCTCATGCCCTGCCCTCACCCCCATGTCCTGACATCTGTCTGTCTTGTTCAGTGTTTTGTCCCCATCCCTACAGCAAAGCGTGGTGCATAGCATGTGCTCAAGAAAGGTCATCTGCAGGCCAGGTTCACAGCAGAGTGGACAGTATTGTCACACAACACCAAGCCTAGAAGGGAACTTCACTGGGTTTATTGCTCTTTGGGTGTGGCCTTGTATTTTTGTTTTCTTTTTCAACTTTTTTGAATGTTTTGAGTCGGGGTTTGGATATATACACAATACTGGCTTTGAATCTGAGATCCTCCTGCCACAGCCTCCTGCGTGGGGATTACAGACATGCATAGCTACACTTGGCCTTTGTAATTCGTAATAATTTCTGTTGAACAAAGGGCCTCACGTTGTCTTCACACTAGGGTCCCACAAACTGAGCCGCTGATCCTGACAGCTAACTCAACAAAGTGGATGCCGTCACCCCCCAAGTTATGAGGAAGGAAACCAAGGCTCAAAATGCACCCTGACCAGATTTCACAGCTAGAAGGTGGCCTTCTTTTTTTTTTTTTTTTTTTGTGGGACTGGGGTTTGAACTCAAGGTTTCACATTTGCAAGCAGGCACTCTACTGCTTGAGTCACATTTCCAGTCCATTTTGCTCTGATTATTTTTGGGGATGGGGTCTTGTGAACTATTTCCCTGGCCTTGTCTTGAACCTCCGTCCTCCAGATCTCAGCATCCCAAGTAGCTAGGATAGAGGCATGAGCCACTGGCACCAAGGCTGAAGGTGGCCTTCGGATCCCTGGAGTGTGGGCTCTGACTCCTGTGATACCATGACCTTTACTGAGCACCTTCTGTGTGCCAGGCAGCACGCTGGACCCATATGTACTCAACTCCCTTCAGCTTTGGCGGGTGAGTTGAGTACACCCATTAAACAGACAAGGAACCTGAGACTCACAAATGATGCCAAATGGCCTCTCCAGGCCTGGGGTGTCTTCACGGGGTCGGAGAGGCAGGGGCAGGAGTGGCGTGCCCTAGCTCAGCACCTTCCCAGAACCCACCATTTGTCATTGTTGATCTGGTCCCCAAAGCCAGGCGTGTCGGTCACCGTCAGCTTCATTCTCAAGCCTTTCTCTTCGATGACTGTGGAGGGAGAGCAAGGGGAGAGTGTGGCCCCAAGCCGGGCAGGAGGGGGTGCAGGAGGCTCACTCACCGTGGCTCACCGAGTGCAGCTCCAGCGTCTGCGGCGTGGGCACCTCCAGGTTCGGGATGGTGGATTTCCACACTTTAGACTTGAACAGCGTGTTCACCATGGTGGACTTGCCCAGCCCGCTCTGCCCTGGTGTGACCAGATGACAGCAGTCTCTCAAACTCTTCATTGAGACTTTTTGGCAAGCAAACTATTTTCTAAGAATAATGTAAATCCTACCATAAATGTCTCACTCAATTTTGATCTCCCTTTTCCTAATTGAGTTAAAATTTATAGATCATAAAATTAACTGTGATCATTATGAAGTAGCTTTAAGGACACACATAAGGCTGAGTAAAGACCAACTGTGTCTCATTCCAGGACATTTTCATTATCCCTGAAAGAGACCTTAGACAGGCATGGTGGCTTACACCTGTAATCCCAGCTACTTTGGAAACTGAGATCGGGAGGATTGAGGTTTGAGGCCAGACCTGGCAAATAGTTCTTGAGACTCCATCTGCAAAATAACCAGAACAGCTGGGTGTCGGTAGCTCACGCCTGTAATCCTAGCGACTCAGGAGGCAGAGATCAGGAGGATCGCAGTTCAAAGCCAGCCTGGCCAAGTAGTTCTGTGAGACCCTATCTCAAAGAAACCCTTCACAAAAAAGGGCTGGTGGAGTGGCTCAAGGTGTAGGCCCTGAGTTCAAGCCCCAGTACTGCAAAAAAAAAAAATTATAACCAGAGCAAAAGGGACTGGAGGTGTGGCAAGCAGTAGAGTGCCCGTTATGCAAGCGTGAAACCCTAAATTCAAACCCTAGTCTCACCAAGGGGAGGAAAAAAAAAAAAATTGAGGCCAGCCTGGGCTATATAGTGAGTGTTTGCCTTCAAGAAAAAATAAAGTACAGAAAAGAAACCTTCTATCCATGCAGCAGGGAAGCAGTCACTCCCTGGCCCCTGCCTGGTCACACACTCATCTGCGTCTCATCCCTGTGGATTTGCTGCTTGTGTCATATAAATAGAGTCACGCAGTATATGGCCTTTGGTGTTTTGTCTTCTTTCCCTTAGCAAAATGCTCACTTCATGTTGTAGCGTGTTGGTATTCCATTCTTTTTTGTGACTGAATAATATTCCACCATATGAATAAACCACATTTTGTTGATGGGAACAGTTCATTATCTAACTTTTTTCTTTTTGCGGTGTTGGGGCTTGAACTCAGAGCCTCACACTTACTAGGCAGGTAGGTGCGCTACCACTTGAGCCACTCCACCAGCTTATCAGCATCAGCAGCTCCCAGTGGAGATCAAAGGTGGTCCCCGAGGCCAGGGAGTCACTCCTGCCCTCTTGAGTTGGGAGTTATCACTTTATGGGTGATGTTTGTTGTAATGACTCAACAGTTCCCAGATTTTCAATTTTAGCACTCCTATGGTCCCCTTGGCACAGGGGGAGACTGAGGCCAGGAGGCGACGTGCCCAGGCCCATGGGGTCTTATCTGCTGGTCCTTCCTCCTCTGGCCCTCCGCCCTCACTCACCCACCACCATGATGTTGAACTCGAATCCTGTCTTCATGGCTTTGATCTTCAGCTGGTCCAGCACGGCCTCGATGCCCACAGGACGGAGCATCTCTAAGGGAGGGGTACTGCAGCCAAGTGTCTCGAAGGGTGGGGTCCTGGGGCTGGAGGCCCGTGAGGAGCAGGGGGAGGGGGATTGCCTCAGGGGGTCCATGGGACCAAACGTACAATGATGCCTGTTCCTGGGTGGGGTGGGGAGAAGGCTGGTGTCACTGGGGCTCAGAGAAACCACCCAGAGTTTCTGTTTCTGAGCTCTCACTCCATACTCTTCCCCTAGTCTCTTCACATCTATGCCTCCTGGTCTGCCTGAGTCCCCATGGTTCAAGGCTAAGGCTGGGGAGACTGAACCCCTATCCTGAGAGGGCTCTGCCCTTCCCCCAGTCAGCACAGACAGGACTCCAGGTCCACAGGCTGCTGGCTCAGACATGTCTTGTGGCTGGATTGGAGTCCTGGGAGGCCACAGGGAGTGGGGGAAGTGGACCAGTCATTCTCGTCCCAGCAGGGAACTTGGAGAGGGGCTCTGGAGCAGTGGCCTATGTCCCCCAGGGGACACACAAGCAGAGTTGGCAGAGACAGAAAGAGAGAGAGATACCGAGAAAGAGGAAAGGAGGCAGAGAGAGAGACAGAGAAACGCAGACCCAGGCTGCAATAGGCAGAGAAGACAGCCGTAGGGGTTGGTCAGGGAGCCAGTAGTGACAGAGAGGATACAGAGAGAAGCAGCCTCACGTGGCACCTCGTGGATGAGTCCCGGTGGGAGCCCCTGGCAGGGCTTGGTGTGCAGGTGTGCAGTGAGGGGGAGGGGAGGCTGGCAGTTAGCCACAGAACCTGGCTCCCCCTCCTTCCTGTGGCCCCCTCCTACTCAGAAGCAGGCCAAGGGCAGGGAACACAAGCCAACCTTCTGGACCTTAACCACTCAAGCCCTCAAGGACTCTAGTCTAATCGCACAATGTCCCCCACCTAGAGACAGAGGAGCCCAGGCCTCCAGGGCTCTTCCCTCCATCCAGGCCGCCAGCTGGTGAATGCCAGAGCTGGGCTTCCACGTCCAAGTTCACATCCCTTAACCGCTCTGCCAGGGAAAGTGAGCCCAGGACCCACAGCGGAAAGCAGAGCGTCCGCATGTTTTCTTTGGTCCACCCGTTGTTAGCACCATTGCGTTTTTTAAATCGAGGCCCTGAACAACCAAGAGATTGATCTCCCAAACATCTCCCAGCCCCTCACCCTGCTCCTGGTCTTGTTCTGGAAATCCTAGACTGGTAACTTGTTTGGTAATCCCCACACTATGAAGCAGCGTGGCTTCTACTCCCAGGTTACAGATGGGAGGTCAGGCACATCGTTCAAGGTCACACAGAGACTGAAGGGAGGGACTCTGGCTCTGAGTCCTCCCGCTCACCCCCTACTGCCTCTCTTCTTGTTCTCAAGAATGTGTCTGATGCTCACACCTGTAATCCTAGCTACTCAGGAGGCAGAGATCAGCAGGATTCTGGTTCGAAGCCAGCCCCGGGTCAATAGTTCATGAGACCGTATCTTGAAAAAACCTGTCACAGGAAAGAGCTGGTGGAGTGGCTCAAGTGGTAAAGCACCTGCCTAGCGAGTTTGAAGGACCTGAATTCAAACCCCAGCACCAACGCAACACAAACAGAAAGGAATGGGGTCATTTCCAAAGTATTTTAAACTTGATAAACTGGGTGTGTGGCTTATGCCTGTAAGTCCAGAAGCTCTGGAAGATAAACCTATGACTGCAAGTCACAGGCCAGCCTGGGCAATTTAGTGAGACTTTGTCTCAAACTAAAGTAAAAACAGTTGGGAGGAGGGGGTAGCTTCGGTGGTAGAGCACTTGCCTAGCATGTGCAAGGCTTTGGGTTCAATGTCTAGTATTGTACAAAAAAAAAAATTTCTTTTTTTTAAAATAAAAGGCTGGCAGGCTGTCGCAAGAAGTAGAGTGTTTGCCTAGTAAGCTTTGACCTTGCAAATCAAGCACTCCACCTTTGAGCCACACCTCCAGGCCATTATTCTCTAGTTATTTTGGGGATGGGGTCTCGAAAACTATTTGCCTGGGCTGGCCTCCAGCTGTGATCCTCCCGATTTCAGCCTCTCAAGTAGCTAGGATTACAGATGTGAGCCACCAGCACCTGACCACTCTGCCCTCTTTCGATGGGCTATGTACTTTCTATCACCATAGCTTTTAAACCAAAACTCTAGAGATCAAGGGATCTGTGAATTACAAGGGTTTACGAACCAGAAAAAGCAAGGACCAGGTCCTGGGACAAATTTCTATAACACCAACAGCAGTGGTTGGAAAACATCCCATGGATCACAGCTAAGAGCGTTTTTACAAACCTTGAGGTCAGAAGACAGTGCAGGCTACATCCCTGTGGATAAGAATGTGGGATGAGAAGGGATTGATTGGGTTAACAGTCAATCAGGAGAGTGTATACATAAAAATGGTACCAGGGTCCCGATAGTTGCTGTGATGGGATTTAAGTTAAGATTTCCAACCTCTGACCTTTGTCATTACATTAAGGTCATCTCAAAAGATATTTCATTTTGCAGTTCTGGAGGTGGAACCTAGGGCCTTGTGAATGCTAAGCAAGCATTCTACTATAAGCTTCATCCTCAGCCCTAGGAATTCATCACAGTCCTCCCTCCTCCCTGTTGTCTCCCTGACTCAAGGCTTCTTTGACCAAGTTCATTGAGCTTGGTTCTTTCTGACCCACTTCCTGGCACCTGACTTTGCAAACCCTCAGTGACATTTTCTGTTAAGGGCCAGACAGACAGTCCCTATTTCAGGCTTTGCTTGTCCTCCGGTGTCTTTTGCAACTACTGTCACTGTGTCCAGTATAGTCCAAGCAGTAGAGTGTCTGTCTAGTAAGCTTTGAACTTGCAAATCAAGCACTCTACCTTTAAGCCACACCTCTGAGGTCCCTGAGACAGGGGAAGGGACCTTTACTGAGGTCAAAAGACAGTCCTTGAGCTTGTTGCAGAAAATGCCAGGCACGGTGGTTTGCCCCTGTAATCCCAGCTACTTGGGAGGCAGAGGCAGGAGGATGGCAAGTTCTAGGACAGCCTCTGTGAAGTTAGCAAGACTCCATCTCAATCAATAAGCCAGGCATGGTAGTACACACCTGTCATCCCAGCTACTCCACAGGCACAGGTAGGAGGATCTCTGCCAAGGACAGCCCTGCACTAAAAAGACAAGACCCTACCTGAAAAACAACTAAAGCAAAAAAGGACTCAGGTAGTAGAGCACCTACATAACAACCATGAAGCCCTGAGTTCAAACCCCAGTACCCCCAAAACAAGCAAAAATAAGCAAAACCTAAAACAACAAAACTCCAAAGGGCTGGGGACTTGGTTCCAATGATAGAGTGCTTGCCTTCCATGTTGGAGGCCCTGGGTTCAATCCTGAGCACCACACACACACAGACACAATAATAAAAGAATCTGAGGATAAGTCAGATGTGAGATCTAAGATTTATTGGTAAGAACGGTACACTGGGAAGTTGAGTGTGGGCGCAGGAGAGAATGGTGCTCTGTCTGTGGTGTGTGTGGCATATACGTGGTTTGGGCTACATTGTTGAGATTCTGGTGTTTATTTACATATATATTAACTACTCAGTTACTTATTTTGACTTTACTCCTAGTCTTATCGGATATTTTCTGTGACTTCAAACGAGGACAATCTTGAGGAGATGTACTTATTTACGGTTATTCCATGGAACCTGTTTAATGTGGTTGGTGACTCTCTCGTGTTTTCAAGGTCTGTGCCTTCATAGGGCTGTTTACCGTTCTCCGTGTCTCTGTGAGGTCAGAACTCTATGAGCAGGAATGAACATAACAACATGTGGAAAGGTTGTGTTAACTTGTTCCTGATTTATGCTTGTTTTTTATTTCTTCTTTCCTTGTCCTCTCCATTTCCCTGTCTCACTACTACTCAGTTCTTCCCTGGCCTCACAAAAGCAACTCCTGACAATGTTGCGGGAGTTAGCTAGTTGAGGCAGATTAGCAGGAAGCAATGTTTATTGTCCCAGCACAGAACCAGTGGACTCGTGTCCAAAGGCTGAGCCCCGCGAACAAAGGGGTCTCACCTTACGTACCCTGGCAAGCAGGTGACAAGCAAAAAGCAAAGCTCAACCCACATCTGGCTGCATGTGACTTCATTGGCTATTTCATTTCCCCAGTGCTATGTGACCTTCATGGTTCAATTCTTTAAGTTTTATCTCTCTGCTTTGCCATCCCCTCCCCGTCTCGACGTCAGAACAGCAGCCTGTCTGTTTCTTTTCTGGCCTCCCCTCTCTTGCTACAACAATAGCAGGTAGACAGGCATGGCTGTGTTCTGTGTAACTATTCACAAAAGCACACAACAAGCCTGTGCCAGTGGCTCATGCCTGTAATCCTAACTACTCAGGAAGCAGAGATCAGGAGGATCACAGCTCAAAGCCAGCCTGGGCAAACATTTCGTGAGACCCCATCACCAAAAAAGGACTGGTGGGGTGGCTCAAGGTGTAGACCCTGAGTTCAAGCCCTAGTACCACAAAAAAAAAAAACCAAAAAAAAAACCACACGCACACACAATGCTGTGGTTGACCACCTCCTCAGCCCTTCAGACTCACCAGTCCTTCTCTAGCTGCTCAGCTAATGGGCCCCAAGTCCCCGACCAACCTCCATCCTCCCTCTTACTGGTCTTCCTCCTGGGCTCTTCCACTGTCTTCTACTTGTCCTTGGACAAGGGAAGTTTAACTTTAAAAGCTTAGAAGGTAGAATCGAGGTGCCAGGGTAAAGGGTGGCAGGAAGACAAGACAGAGCCTGTCCTAGAACACTGTCCACTTTCAGCAGGGAGATCTCCCAGGCTCCCGAGGAAGTCGGCAAGGCGTCCTCCACTGCAAAGTAAATAGGATGTTATTAGCAGATGGCAGTATTGTCCCAGTGACCTGTGGGCTGAGTTGGGACAGAGGCAGATTATGTTTGGCAATCTCCCCTGAGGAAATGAGTCTTTAGGCAGAGAAAACACTTTTTCTAGGACTTCCACCCAGTATCAGTGATGTAGAATTCTGAAAATTTGGCGGAAATGTCTTGGTAAGTGCCATAGAGATGCATGATGGTGGTGCAATGTCTCCCATGCAAACTTTGGGGTTGGGATTGCAGATAGCACACTGTCCTCTGCTCCTGGTCCTATAGATGGGGCGAGCCAGGGTTGAAGGATCTGAGCAGTGGTGACCGCTGCACTTGAGCCTAACTGTGGACAAAGAAAAAAAGGCCGAAGGGACTCTCAGGTGCAAGTTGGAGGTAACCACAGCCGGCCACTCAGTGTGTGTCTTCCAGGAGCTTCTCTTAGGGCTTGGATACGGGGTGTGTGCCCAGAACTCATGTGTTGAAGGCCTGAACTCCAATGTGATCCTTGGAGATGGGGTTTTGGGGAAGCGATTGGATGACCAGGGGTCTGGCTTTGTCATTGAGTTAATCCATGATGACTTCATAACTGAATGGACTATCGAGAGGTGGTAGGAACTGTGGAAGGTGGGCTGTGCCTGGAGGGGCTGGTCACTGGTATTTTTAAAGGGGACATCTTGTCCCTGGACCCTTGCTGCATCTCTCTGCTCCCAGGCTGTCATGAGATAAAGTTTTGCTCTGCCACACCATTCTGCCATGATGCTCTGCCTCATCACAGGCTCAGAAACAACAGGTCCAAGTGAGCGTGGACCTGGAACCTCTGAAACCATGAGACAACTTTGCGCCCTTTTTTTTTTTTTTTTCTGATGATATTGGGGTTTGAACTCAGGGCCTACACCTTGAGCCACTTCACCAGCACTTTTTGTGTTGGTTTTTTCAAGATAGGGTCTCGCGAACTATTTGCCTGGGTTGTCTTCGAACCGCAATCCTCCTGCTCTCTGCCTCCTGAGTAGTTAGGATTACAGGCGTGAGCCACCAGCGCCAGCTAACTTTTCCTTCTTTAAATTGACCTTCTCAGGTGTTTGATCACAGCAACGAAAAACTGACAGCATCCCACTGTGCCGAGAAGACTCCAACTTGAACAGTACTTTTCTGAGTCCTCACAGAAACCTGAGGAGTTGGACACAGTAACATGCTCATTTTACAGATGAGGAAACCAAGGCAGAGAGGGGTCAAGAATTGTGCGCAAGCTCACATGATGGTGGGATCTTAAGAGCTGGAAAAGGCAAGGCGTGGATTTTCCCCAGTCAGTCTACGTTAGATCTCCAGAACTGTAAGATAATACATTGGTGCTGTTGGCAGCCACTAAACTTGTGTGTCACAGTCACAATGGGAAACTGAATACTTTAGGTGTGTGACTTGGGCAAGTTGCCTAATGTTGTTAGGCCTTAGTTTTCTCATCTGGAAAATAAGAATAGCAACGATAATCATTTTAGGATCAACACAAGGAATAAACCAGGTAAGACATCCCCAATGTTAGGCTCAGACTCTTAACATTAGCTAGTTTTTTTCATTTTCATTCTAAACTATAAGAGCCACAAGAACAAGAAATTGTGTCCAGCTGCTTTCCAGCCCTTCTGTAGGCTAAGCTCAGCGTCTGGCTCCTTTGGGTCATGAGAGAGAGGAATGAAAGCTGACTCGGCTCAGAAGGGTTAGAAATGCCAAGGTCAAACTGGACACAGTGGAGCACGTTGTAATTCCAGTTACTTAGAAGCAGGCAGGTTGGTGGCCCTTCTCCCTGGGCCCCTGCTGCAGGCTGGGCCCTGGACTCTCCCCAGGCTCTGGCAGCCCCACTTGGCCCTGGGAAGGGCGGGGCTGGTTGCCAAGGCCCCAGGTGTTGTGGAACAGGAAGCAGGAAGCAGGCTGACTCCCTAGGACCTGGGACTTGCCTGGCTGGGGGAGCGGAGGCCTCTGGAGGCAGGTGGGGAACTGGGGAGAGGGGAGAGGGAGGAGGGTGGCTCCAGGGTCAGGGTAGAGGCCAGGAGGATGATTGATTGGGAGAGGAAAGGCAGAAAGCAGGGTCTGGGGCAAGAAGGCAGAGACTGGCCCAGGGAAGTGGATGGACTGTGGCCTGGGGAAGGCCTGAGTCAGGCCAGGGTTCTAAAGGCAGCTTTCCGGGGACAGGAGTAGAGGTGACTCCTGCCAAGATGGGTCTGTCCACGGAGGAGCTAGGGTATGAACTGGAGGTCACGGCCCAGGAAGTGCTAGGGAGGCTGAAGAGCCGCCACCTGTTCCAGTCCCAATGGGACACTGCCGCCTTCGTGGTCTTCCTCATCTTCGTGGGTGAGTGTGGCTGCTGGTCCTCACGCCCCACCAGCCAGCCCCGGGGCTCGGTCTGAGGCCGTATCTGGACACCCATCCTGTCCCCAGGCACTGTGCTATTCCTGCTGCTTCTGGTCATTGTCCACTGCTGCTGCTGCTGCTGCTGCACCTCCCCCAAGCCCCGGAAGGTGAGCCCCCCGAAGGTGAGATAGAGGGGGAGTCCCGTGGTGGGCGGGCAGCCTGGAGCCCCCTGCATGGGGATGGGGCGGGAGGAATCTGGGGGTGGTGCCGCCAGGGTCCCCTCTGTACCTCTTTTGCAGGAAAGGTCCATGGGAGTGGATAATTTTGCCCTGGAGCCTTAACGCCAGTCCCTTGGCCTTTGTCCTGCTGGATGACAGTAACAAAGTCTGTTTCCTGGAGCTTGAGTCTGGACTGTGTGCTGAGCCCCTTGGGTGGGCAGTGTGGGGGCTCACTGCTGCACTAGGGTGTCCATGGGTCCCTTCAGGTCTCCCAGCTCCCGGGAGACCTCTTGCCACCACCCGATGGGCCCCTCTAGCCAGGCATGGTGGCACCTGCAATACCAGGAGCTCCCAGCAACTTGGGAGGCTGACTTTGGAGAAGCGTAAGTTCAGGGCCCAGCCTGGGCTACAGGGAGAGACTCCATCTCACGCTCACACAGAAAAGTGGGTTCTGTGCTTGACCCTGCCATGTCACTGAGTGAGAAAACGAGCCCTGGGAACGGGGAAGGCCACTGACCACCAGGGACCCTAGTGTGCTCCCAACTCAGGCAGAAAAACAGAAACAAGGGCTGTAGGCAAAGTCTGACAATCTTTATTTAAGTCCTTGGGGTTGCAGACCAGTCTTGGTAGTACAGCTTATTCACGGGGTGGCTGCTGCCTGTCTGCTCCCTTTTCCCTCCCTCCCAACCCCAGGTTCAATGTCACTACCCGCCCCATACCTTCCAGCAGGAGCTGGACACCCTGGGTGCATCTGTGGCCACAGAGGAAGGAAAACCCTGGGCCTGGCCCCACCCTGAGTCCAAGGTCCTGGGAAGGCAGGGGTAGGAGCGTGGCCACGCCTCAGCCCTGTCTCCCCCGACAACAAACACCAAACCAGCATCTCTTCCTTCCCGCGCCTCCAGTGGCCATTCCAGCAGTGCAAAGTGTGGCGGGTGTGTGCAGACGGAGAGAAACAGCCCATGTGCCTGGCTGCGCGGCACCACGGAGTGGGGGAGAACACAGCAGGCCGCCCTCCCGAGACACAGGCTCTGTCGCCCTGCTCAGAAGGGTCTGTAGGTCCAGTGGCTGGAGAACACTGAGATCTGCAGGGGAAGAGAAGAGAGGGCAGTGGTCAGTGGGCACAGGGGCGTGGCCATGAGGGGTCTGGGGGCGTGGCCAGCAGTGCTGTGAGGGTGGGTGCAGTGGTGGTGAGGGGTCAAGTTCCCCAAGGGCGATGTGTGGGTCGAGTCGCTGAGGCCCAGCTGCCTGGTGTGTATGGGCACAAGGACGCTAGGATTTGGGCACTGAGGAGGTTCCCCCTGCCCCTGAATGGAGGGCCCTGCTCTCCTCGTCCCCGCAGCACCCCACCTTGTCCTTGAGCTGCTGGCAGAGCTGCAGGGAGACTGTGAAGTACACCAGGGCGTCGTTGAGCCAGGGGATCACGCACTCCACCTTGTGCACGTGGCTCACCTCCAGCCGCTGTGCGCCCCACTCGCTGGGGGGACGAAGGGGTGGCTGAGTGCGGCCTGGGTCCCCAAGGTGGAGAAGGGTGGGCGGGGCCCCAGGACGCTAAGGCAGACTTACAACATGGCTCCAGGGCTGTGCAGCAGCGCGCCTCCAGCCGGGCGGAAGTTCTGGGCAGAAGCAGTGGCCTGGTGAGGAGGCCCAAAGGGGACGGGCGAGGGGGGCAGGGCTGAGGGGGAAGGGCCAAGGGGACGGGCCGAGGCTGTACCTTGGTGGAGGTGGGCTGCAGTGCGTGCAGCTGGTACACAGTGAGGCAGAGCTTGTTGAGGTTGATGTAGACATTCACCAGCAGGTCAGAGGGCAGCGTGGGGGCGAACATCCGCTGTGGGAGGCGGCAGGCTGTGGTCCCGCAGGGGTTCCTCCACGGCCTGGGGTTTCCAGGCTTCCCCAGGTGCCCCGGCCCAGAGCAGGGGTAGCATCTTTGTGGGGACACAGGACGGAGTCCAGGAGCTCCATCTCACAAAGCTGCCCAGGGTTCCCACCCACAGCAGGTTGGGCACTGCTGTGTCCACCCCGGGGTGCAGGCTGGGCCTCCACAGGAAACCCCGCTCCTGGAGCAGGGGCTTGCAAAGGACACTGACCGTGAGGCCACTGGCCGCAATTTCAGGCAGCGTGAGGGTGGCTGGGGTGGTGAGCCGGTTGCGGGCCCTGGTAAGCTGCAGCATCACTGCGTCCATGAGCTGGAGGGGGGGTCACAGCTGCTACATGAGAGTGCCCGTCCCCTCTCCCACCCCCAGCATCAGGAAGCAGCAGTGTGTCTCCCGCTCCTGCTGGGTCAGAGTCCCACAACTACTGCGGGGCTTCTGCCCAGGGACCCCAGTTTCCACCAGGAGGACGACTCTGGAGGGAGGTCCAGGACATGCACCCTGAGGACAAGGGTGTGGGTCTGATCTGGCCTGGGTACAGGGCCATGGAGGGCTTCCTGGAGGAGGCGTTGGGATGGATTTCATAGGTGAGGAAACTGGTCACAGGGGTGAGCCAGCTCATACCACCGATGGACGGTAGGACGACTGGAACTCTTCCCTTCCCTTTGCTATAGAACAAAGCCCTAGCTTTGCTCCTCAGAGTTGGTTTCCAGCTCCTCCTGACACCCATACAGCTAATAAGACAGGATCAGAGAGGGTGGGTAAACCACCCAAGGACACACAGCAAGTCAGGGGCAGAGTAAAGCAGCAGTCCTGGGCATCAGAGCCAGCTCTCCCACCGCGTGGCCCCGTAGTGTAATTAAAAGCTTTTACTGCCTCCCTCTGTGGGAAGTACTCGGAGCAGGAATGACTTGCTGAGTGCTGGCCAGGCCACTTCACCTGCATTTCCACTGGCAACAGCTGGTATGGTTTGTCCCCTTTTACAGGTGAGGCTAGAGGCTAAGCAGATGACCCACGGTAGAACAGCTCAAAGCAGAGCAGGGGGACTGAACCAGGCCTGACTGCTGCCCCTAGGCCGTAAGCCGTTTCACCGTGGCTGGACACCGACAGGGGAAGGGCCAGCCTTCAGCTCTGTCTGGGATGTGTGCCCAGGCTCAGAGCACACGGTTCTGGGAGCCCGGGGCCAGCGCGGCCCACCTTGAGGACCTCAGCACCCGTCTTGAACTGGTAGCTTTCGTCCCGGTTGGCGAGGAGGTAAATGGCTTGGCTCACATGGTTCCTGGCGTCCTGGATCTGAAAACAGCACAGGCGGAGCAGGTTCCTGTCACTTCAGAGCAACCATGACTCTGGGGCCTTGGCTAGGCCCAAGCATGCAGGCTCTACCCGAGGGGCTGACCTCCCGACTTCCAGTGGGGAGGGTGGCTGCTGTGGCCTGTGGTCATTCCACCCTTCAAAGCTGTTCTTGTGCTCTGGCCTGAGGTGCCAGCTGAGGTGGCCCTATCTCTGCTCTCCTGCAGCTCACAGACAGTAAGACCACAAGATAACGAGTGGGCCTCTCAGAGGGGAGCAAGCGTTGGGAAGAGGGTGTGCAGAGTAACCTTGCTGGGAGGGGTGAGACCTCAGCAAGCCACTTGTGAGCTCAGAAAAGCTGGGGCAAACGCCCTGAGGTGGAGACCAGTGGGGGGGAAGGGGAGAGGCTGGGATCCCATGATCTAGAAGCAGTAGGAATGTGGACTTGGCCCCAGGGCCATGGGAAGGCACTGATGGCTCTGTCAGGGGAGTGAGTGACTTGGTCAGGGGGCCCCAGGCACTGCCCACCAGGAAGCAGCTTCCTGGGCTTGTCCAGGCCGCAAATCCCCACCACCAGTCTCTCTGTGAGCGAGGCCTGCCCCTGCCTGCCCCTGTGGCCCAAGAGGGAGCAGGTACCTGCTGTAGCTTCCACTGCTTGTCCTCCCGGAAGGCAAAATGCAGCAGCTGGTTGTTCCGTGGCATCTTCAGGTTCACATCCTGACGGGCAAGAGTGGGACAGAGAGGGCGGAGCCATATCCTCTGGCTTTGGGGACTCTGAGTCCTTGAGCCACGCTGGGAACGGGGAGGTAGGGGGTGGTGGTGGTGGCTCAGGCCCCAGCTGCTCCACAGGGCAGGGGACCTCCTGATACCCTGGCCATTTAGCGGTGAACAGGGAGGTCAGGAAATAGGAAATCAGGCCCACAAAAAGTCACAGGGCAGCGAAAGCAAAAAGAGGTAGAGAAAGAGGAAGGAGGCCTCCTCCCCGGGTGATGGTAGATGGTGGGGAGCGTCCTTAAAAGCCAACAGGCTGCAGCCACAGAGGAGGGGCTTCCCTCACGCCCTGGCGCCCGGCTCAGAGTCAAGTGCAGGCAGGAGCTTGGATGCTGGCTGATTCGACTCGGATTCTGGGCCAGCCTATACCCATGCTTCACTGGGTCCGGATGACAGGCTGGGCCAAGCTCTTCCTACCTCTATCACATCAATCCCATGAGGAGATGTGAGGATGCTTTCTACAAACATGGAAACTGAGGCTCAGAGAGGTCAAGGGTCCTGCCAGAGTCACACAGCTGGCCGATGGGACAGCTGCTATCCACAGGCCCAAAGCTTTTCTGTATTGCAGGATGGGATGGGGGAGTGGTGGGGGACTCACCGCCTGGCTGAGGGCGTCCCCTTGCAGAGTCAGCACGCCCTTCACCTGGTCTGTGCTACAACACGGGAGGGTCAGAGGGGTGTCTGCTGTGCCCTAGCAGGCTGCCCCTGCTGTTCCAGGATGGAACATGCTCTGCTCCGGGATATCCCAGGAGTCCCCCATCCGGGGAGCCTCACCCCCCCAAAACTTCCCCCCAGCCCAGCTCACCCACAGCTGCCCAGGATGAAGTTCTCCTGCTTGGCGGGCCCCTCGGTGCCTGAGCCTGGCAGAGCGAAGCGCAGAGATGCCTCCTGTGGGAGACAGGGGTAGCCATTAGTGCACCCCAGTGCCATCTAGTGCTCCTTCCCAGCTCCCCCTCACCCGGGTCAGTTGGGGATGGGTCAGGTGGGTTGGCTTGCTTGGCATCTGGGCTTAGCCGGAGTGGCCTGTAGGGCTCCGTCCCCACAGCCTGGCCTTCAGGTCCCAAAAGCCTGGAGCTGCACTCAGAGGCAGCCCTTAGGGGAACTCGGGACAGAGAACCAGACAGTAGCCATGGTGGCCTGAGGTTCTGGGCCAGAGCCGGCACCACGTTGGGCATTTTTGAGATGCCTGGTTTACTAGTCTTCACAACAGCTCTCTAAGCTGGGTACTGTCACCTCCTTTTCAGTTGAGGAGAGAGAGGCAGAGAGGTCTGCAGGTGAGCAGTAGGGATCCTTCGGTTGTCAGATTATCAGTTCCCTCCCTTCCCTTCCCTTCCCCCCCTTCTTCGCTCGCTGTAGCCCAGGCTGGCTTTGAATCCATGATTGTCCTCCCCCACCCCAGCTCAGCTCTCAGATGAAATGTCACTGCTTCCCGTCCGTCCTCCTCACCCGGCCCGGGCCAGCTAGCTCAGCCCCCTTCTCAGGACTTGGCAGTACTCGCACAGCCTCTGGCGTAATTACGTGCTCGTCCCCTTGTGTCCCCCGACTGGACTCTGTCCATTTAGGTGGGGTCCAGGTCTGAGAACCACCGCGCCCAGAAATCAGCAGGCATGACGGGCGGAAGGGGTCCCGGGGGAAGGCCGGTCGGTAGGCCTGGCGGGGCACCGCGCGTGCAAAGGCCCGGGGGCAGGGCCGCAGCGGACCGGACGGGCAGGAGCGCTACCTTGAGGATGTCCTGCAGCTGTCTCAGCACGGCGTGCACCTCGGCGTGCAGCAGCCAGCGGAACTCCTCCTCCTGCCGGACAGTTCGGCGGTCACGGCCCGGCCCCGCCGCCCGCTACCCCTTCGCTCCCCCGCCCGCGCCTCACCAACACAGCCCGCTCCGCGGCGGTCGCTGCCATCGCGGTCGCCATCGTCGCAGCCCAGCGCCGTCCCAGCAGTCTGCGCCCGTCCGTCCGCGCGCGGCGCCCGCCCCTTAGCCTCCTCCTCCCGGAGCCGATTGGCGGAGCCGTCGCTGGCCCCGCCCCCGGGTTGTCTCCGAGCCCGCGATTGGCGAGCGCCTCCAGGCCCGTCCCGGCTCACGCGACCTGCGGGAACCCGGCCCACCTGACCTACCCAAGGAGCCTCCCGCACCAGCCTCGGCCCACCTGACCCGCCTAAACCAGCCTACGGCGCCACACGGACCGCTGCTTTCCAGCCGGGCCGCGGCGGCTACAGGTCCCACCCCCTTCCGGCCCGGATAGGGCGGCTCACTCCCCCTCCGCTCATTGATTGGCCAGCAGGCTGCCCGCCCCGCTCGCCTCGGTGGGCGCAGGGAACCTGCCCGGCAGCTGCGGCCAGCTTCGGACCCCGGTCCCCGCCCCGGGCCCGCTGACCCAAGCGCGAGGCTTACGCGCCACAGCTGTGTTACCAAGAAATGTTTTATTTTTCTTGCAGTAGCTTTGTTAATTGCACAAAATCATGTTTTGTTTTTGCCATTTAAACATTATCACACAATCCTATTCTGAAAGACAAATGTTCATTAAAAACAAAGCAAAAATAAAAATTCACAACCTTAATCACCTATAAGATTTGTCATTTAAAGAGGGTTTAAAAGGAAAAAGGGGAGGAGGGACTTTCTTACAAGCTTTTTCACAAGTGTCACATTTTCTCCTTAAAGGGAAGGATTTCAAAACAACGGTGAAATAGCTTAAACAGAAATATTCATAAAAAGAACTTTACAGAATTTCCAACAATATTAAGACAACATTGACTAACCAGTTTCCGTACAGCAGCTCCCCACCCCCGCCCTCCTTGTCCCCCAGGACCAGGACAGGCCGTGTTCAGGCAGAAACAACTTGAGTGTCCTAGGAGCGCCCTTGCCCTGCCCCCCAACACAGGCTCTAAGCAGCGGTGAGGGGGAGACGCCCACACCAGCATGGCCATCTTATGTATAGTGTGTTTCACTATAAATTCCAGCCCGCAAATTGCGACTTTGGAATCTCAACCCAGGAGAGGGAGAAAAGCTGACATCCCTTGGGTGACTTCTCCTTGTTCTCATTTAACAATCGGCCCCTCTGGTCCCCTGTCCAAGGAGAAATGCTAAGGCCTGAGGATGGCCCAGCCTGCTTCTGTGGGTCCATTGGTTCAGGTTAGGTCAGGCCCAGCTCTCTTCCCTCCCCACAGATGCTGGCCCGGGAAGCACCAGAGACCATGACACTGGCTGGGGCAAAGACACTCATTTCCCAACAAGAGCTGAGCCTAAGAAATGCTCAAGGTTGGGTCTGGGCCAAACAGGACAGACAGACAAAAAGGAATACTATCTCCATGGGAGGAAGGAGGGAGTGAAGAGGTGGGGCATGCAGGGGACCTGTGCAGGGAAGGCAGGAGCAAGTGGCCCGGTCAAAGCGGCTCTTCAGAGCCAGATGAAGAGACTGTGGCTTAACGGAAACAGGAAAGTGCCACCTCCACTCTCCACTGCTCACAGTGCCCTCAGAACCCTGCCCAAGGGCTGGAATGCAAATCCAAACACCAAAACAGCCAGGGAGAAGAGAAGCGAGCGCTGCATGAGGGCAGCAGGGCCTCTTCAGTTCACACAGGCGTCAAGAGTCAAGAGGTGGCTGCCCACTGGTAGTACAGATGTTAAAACTCCTTAGCTGGTCACCTGAAGCTGGAGGGCCCATGGAGTCTGCATTAGAGTCTGTGCTGGTTCATCTTGGCCAGAGTCTTTTCTGGCAGGTCCAGTGGGGGCTGTGGACGAGCCTCCAGCATCCACGTTGGGGATGAGGAAAAACCTCCTCCGGCGCTCAACAGCTGATCTTAAGTCTCTCAACTGGAAGGGGTTGGAGATAAGACAAGCTTGGAAGAAGAAAAGCCAGGCAGCAGTTTCTGGGCAGCTTCTATCCTGGGGTGAGAGCCAGCATATGTGTGTGTGTATGTGTGTGTGTGTGTGTGTGTGAGAGAGAGAGAGAGAGAGAGACAGACAGACAGATAGACAGAGACAGAGAGAGTGTGAGAGAGAAAGTACACAGTCTCCTACTCCTACTCCAGGGCCAGTGCCCAGCTCCAGAGCTTCCTCACCAACCACCCTGCCAACAGCCTCACTCCCTGCCCAGGCCTCAGGGAGGGGCTGCCATGCGCTGTGCTGATGGCAAGGTGCAAAGTCTACATAGAAGGAAAAGGAGACAGGTGGGCTGGGCCAGAACTAAGTCCCAGGACTCGACCCCACGTCAGGAAGAGGAGACCAGAGGGAAGAACGGAGGGGCGGGGCGGGGTGCTGGCAGCTTAGTGTATGTAGGCTCGGTACACGGCCGACATGTCATTGTCAGACTGGTCCAGTGCCTTGGCTCTTTTGTACACCTGGGGAATAAAAGAAACAGGAGTAAAATAACGTGGAGAGAGGCGGTGGGGTGAGGTGATGGTGCAGCTGCTGCATTAGACGGGGAGCTGAGGTTTGGAGCTGATTGGTAGGCGTTGAGCATTTTGAGTGAGGAGCATTCCATGCAGAGGGGATGGCAGGCACCGCAGCCCAGAGGATGCATCTTTGGAGGGTCATCTACAGCAAGGGATGTCACTAGAACTAACACTGAGTACTCTGTACTTAGTTCAGGCTGTGAAGTTAAGGTTGTACACTACAATTCTTGGCACGACCATTAGAAAAAAAATGTAAAGAAGCAGAGTCAGAAAGCCAACAGAAAATGAATATGGAATTTAAAATATAACCATAAAGGAGGCAAGAAAGAAGGAACGGATGAAGACAGGAGCAACGAGCAGAAATGAAATGACAAAAGGGTGGCTGTGCACCCAACCACACCTCTGTGCAGAGCCTCCATCCACACTATTCCCAGTCTTGAGTGGTCATGGGCCACTGCAGAACTCATCAACAGTGCACGTGCAGTGACCCATAAACACGTGATTTGAAAAGATGCTAATGGACTAAACATGCCAATTAAAAGACTGTCAGAAGGGATGAAAACACAAGTCCCAATCATGAACTATCTACAAAAGACACAATTTAAATAGAGACACCGGTGAAAGAAAAGAGAAGGAGAAAAAGACACAGGGACCTCCACAGGGCTGCATGTAGAGGCTTCCTTCATGTCCAATGATGGAGACGGAGAGGGACATTTCATAGTAACTAAAGGTCAGGCCCATGAGGAAGACACAGACATCATGAATGGTTAAAAGTCTAAAGTCATGACTTTCAAAACTACCAAGCAAAAATGGACACAATTAAAGGAGGAAAACAGGTAACACTACAATCACAGTTGGGAGACTAACAGACCTCTCTCAGCAATTCAAAGAACTGGAAAAAAAGGTCTCCTCCATTTCCTTACTGAAAGATGGTACAGAAAACAGCCAGCCATCTTGCTAGTATCGGGAGAACACACACGAGCCACTACAAAACTCATTTTTTTTTTTGCAGTGTTGGGAACTGAACTCAAGGTCTCGCCCATGTTAGGCTGTACCATGGGGCTATGTACACTTCCAATCCTTTTTAAAAATGTATTTTGAGACAGGTTCCAAGCTGCCCAAGTTGGCCTTGAACTTTGGATCACACATCACCATACCTGGCAGAACGCACGTTCTTTTTAAGTGTACATGGTACTGTCACCAAGACAGACTATCTGCTGCCACAAAGCAAGTCTGAATAAGTATAAAGTTTAAAAAAAACCACACAGCATGTTCTCTGACCACAAGAGAAAAAAAAAAAAAAAAAAAAAAAGAAAGAAATAGCCATTAGCTATCTAGGAGGACTCTAAATACTGTACGAGTTTTTTTTTTATTTTTAGTTTGAGATTCACCCTGTTGCCAAGGGTGGCCTTGAACTCCTGGGCTTAAGTGATTCTCTTGCCTCAAGTCACCTGAGTAGCTGGGACTACAGGTGTGTACAATCATGCTGGCTGGAGAAATTTTAAAATAACCTACAGGTCAGAGGAAATCACAAGAGAAATAAATTAGCATGGATCAAAAATAAATTTATAGCTTCAATGCTAATGTCATCAAGAAAAAAGTCTAAAGACAACAACCTAAGATTCCACCCTGAAGAAGTTAGAAAAAGAGCAAACCTAAGATTCTTAACCATAGAACTTGTTTACACATATTTCTTTCCCAGCCCAAGGAAATGAGAATACAATGTGGAAAGAATAAAAAAGAAAAGAAAGGAAGAGAAAAGAGCAAACAAAAGTTAAATAAGTAGAAGGGCAGAAATAATAAGGGTAAGAAAGTGAAGGGTCCCAGGACTTGGGCCACATGCTGTCACGTCACCTCATTGGCTGCGGCTGCCATGGGAGTCGGGTGGTTGACGGCATCGCCCAGCGCAATGGCCAGGCGGAGATCCTTTTGGATGTACTTCAGGTAGAAATCAGGCTTAAAGTTCCCTTGCAGGATATCTGCGGAGCAAATGTACTGATCAGGACTCAGGACTCTACATAAGCCTCCCACACATCTCAACACCAGCATCTCCCATGGCAGAGCCCTATTAGAGCACTGACATGCAAGAGACTGGGCCCTCAGCCCATGCCCCAGCCTGTCCACAGCATCCCTGGCTCTCCTCTGGCCCCAACATGAACTGCCTGCAGAGGGCGTCTTTCAACACAGTGAGCCCCGTTAGAATGGTGCTGGACAGTGGCCAGACCCAGCTCCCCAACTCTCACACAAAGGGAAATGAGAAAGGGCCACAGGTGACTTACTTTGGCACTTCTGGTCCAGGAAGATGCTGGCCAACTGTCCCTGATTGAGGATGTCCAAGAGTGTCTGCTGTGACTGGCCTGTCACCTGGGCCAGGGTCAGCCCCTCGGCGATGGTGGCCATGAAGCTCCCCTGGACCATGTTCACGATCAGCATCATCTTGGCTGCGTTGCCGACCTCGCCTGCCCCGGGCAGAGACTGGGGGTCACGTCCCGAGGGGCCCGAAGGCAGGCAGGCAGCCTCTTCCTGCCCTCACCCAGCACCCCAGGAGCCTCTCCACCTTCCCTTGACAGAACGGGTTCTTGTTCCTTCCTGGCACTGTGTACCTGTCCATGGAAATCCTTCTGAAGGTACCCATCAGAAAGGCTGATGTTAGGTGGTGGTGTGTCCAGGCCTAGAGGCCTGATGTGGCAGAGAGGTGGCAGGCACATTACCTAGAAAGAAGGAGGTCTTTCCCATTGCCTGGAAGCAGCTGCTGCAGTCCTCGTACAAGCCCCTGTCCCCGGCTGCTAAGATCACCAACATCCCGTCATTAGACAGCTGCTGATTCCCTGAGACTGGGGCTTCCAGGAATCGGCCGCCCCTGGACACAATCACCTGCAAGGGAAAGCCATTTTCTGGAGGCCTCCCCTCTCATAGGTTCTCCAGACAGGGCAAGGAGCATCCCAAGGGTCCTGGCTTCTCATCACACCAGTTAGGACCAGAGTGGGAAGCACATAGCCATGCACACTGAGGTCCCAGGGCTCGGTTCCAAGGACTATGCTATGGAGGGTGGGTCAGACAGGACAGGCCTTAAGCAGATACAGTCATAGGCAGAAAGAGGAGGGAAAGTCTGCGTCTGGCCTCCCACTGTCTCTGTTTTCTTATAGACACTGGAGCAAACATAACCAGGCCAATGTCTGGCTGAACACACTTCCCCTCAGGACACTGTCTGGACCTGACCTGACCATCTTCAGAACACTCATGGTCCCTCGCATGGCTCAGGAGGAGAGATCCTCATGGTAATCAACTGTGACAACTGCTTAAATCAAAAAAGGCCAAGCTGGCAGTTGGACTGCTTACTGTGAGGCCAGCAGCCCCAGGCTCTGGTGTCTACCCAGTTTCTCTTGACGTCTGGTAGCTTTTCAGACCAGCAGAGGCTTTCAAGGTAGATATCAAGATAGGCTAGTCCCAAGGCTCCCAGTGTTTCCTCTTTGCCTTTGGCTCTTGCATAACTCAACTGACCACACTTGGGCATGATCAGCCTAGGTCTTGGGGTCCCCACTAAAGAATGATCCAAGACTGCTACCTGTGCCAGCTCGGTGACTGTGTCAGCATCCACCGTTGACATGTCCACATAGCACTTCCCGGGGCGGATCCCTTGCAGCACACCACTGGGGCCCAGTACCAGCTGTGGGGACATAAGGGAGAAGCAATAGCCCAGGCTCCCTGCTAAGTGCTTGGCAGCCCCCGGAGAGCAGAGCTGGTTGGCTCTTTGGCTCACTTCCTGATTAGGAGCTGACTAATAAAGTTGAAACGGGAAAAGCCACTAAATAGACAAGGGATAGAAAAGTATTTATCTACTCTTCCCCACTCATACACACACATATTTAAGAGACAGGACCTCATTATTTACTTTGGGGCTTCTTTGGATTTACTTGGATTAGACTAGTCACCAGTTTAGCAGGGTGACTATTGCACTTCAACTTTTTTTTTTTTTGGGCAGTTCTGGGGTTTGAAATCAGGGCCCATCTTATGCTTGCTAGGCAGGATCTCTACCACTTGAGCCATACCTCCAGCCCCTGCACTTGAACTTTCAACAAGAACAAATTCAGCAATAGCTAAACACAGGAAATTGGCCCTTGAACCAAAGGCTTATTCACCACCAAGCTTCCTGCCCAACAGAATTTCTACAGCCTGTTCAGGAACCATTTTGGCCCAGACTTCAAGGACTGTGGTAGTTTCACGCTTTGGTCTGGATTAAAGGAAGCCTATATTCAACTTAGGCAAGCACCCTTCCCAGTGGGAGAAGACCCCAGATGGAAAATCCAGCCCTTACATGCAGACACTCACTCGCAGTGCAGGGGAGAAGGGGAGGAGGCCAGCCAGCTCTCCTGGCCACGACCTGAGACGCTGAGGGGAGGGGGGAATCCTTACGTCCTTGGCTGCCTTTGGATCCGACACACAGGCAAAAGTGATGTCACACGTTGAAACGACTTCAGCGGGGGTTCTTCCTAGGCGGGCCCCCTCCTGGATGAACAAATCACACTGCAAAAGTCACAGATCCTAACGTGAGCTGTAAGCAGCGCATAGTGACATGCCAGCCAGATGCGTGGGCCAGCCCGTCCCAGGATGGAGGTCTTGTTGCTCTTAAGGACCACCTTGTGCTTCTGCCTACGTGGCACCTATCGTGTGCTGCTTCACAGAACACTCAGAACATTCCATAACAACACACATCACTGGGGTGGAGGTATGGCTCAAGTGGCACAGCACTTGCCTAGCAAGCACAAGGCCCACCGCTGGTATTCTGGTGCACTTTTCCCCCATAAGCATTTAGGGAAGTAAATAGAATAATCCACACTGTTACCTGTTTTCCTCATCTCCATTTACAGTGGGTGACTGCAGAACGTCTCACTCACCTAATGGCTCCCTTGCAGTTTGATGTTTAGTCTCCTTTCACCTTTCATTATGACACCAAGAAATATCTCTACACACAAAGTTTTCTCTATTTTGAAGTTAGGTCTCCATTGAGTATAACAAATCAGGTTTTAAAAAATTTTAAAACTCTAGAATGTTCCAGTGGGGCTGTGTAATCTTATAATGACTACCTGGAGGTGGCTGAATTACCAGCACTCAGAATGTAACTTAAAAAACAAGTACACACCCATAAATATATTTATTTTTATTATTCTTTGTGGTACTTGGCCTCAAACCCACAGCCCCAAGCAAGCTAGTCACGTGCTCCACCATCATGGTGGTGCATGCCTATAATTCCAGCTACTCGGGAGGTAATTTAACCACCTCAAATGATGTATTTTTGATTGATATACTTGGATTACTTCTCATTAATGAATCTTTATTTACTGTTTCTCCTTTGTGGATTGTTTTTATGTGTTTGATATCATCAACATATTGCCCTTTTCCTATCTTATTTGCTATAAGTACCACTCGTTAGCACACCTTTCAGTTCTGCTTACTTTCTCCTGTGAGAGAGTATCATGGCATTTGTCGTTAGTAGATGTAGCTGCTTCTGGGCTCACAAAGATCTACATTCATATTAAGTTTTATTTTCTTCTGGCTTGTTTTGCCTTTCAGTAAGTGATCTGGGACATGTTTCAGTAGTGGTAGGAATTGCATCTTCCACGTTTTTAACCAGTTTCCCTGCAAACCCTTTTCTGAGCAGCCCTTCATCTCCTCCCTGATTTGCAGGGAGCTGCCCAGTTTCTGTGGCCTGGGTCTCTTCAGTGGTCTTTCAATAATGAAGCTTTCTATTTTACTTTTAGCTTTGCATGGCAGAGGCCTCCTCATTGCTCCTTTTTCGAAAAATCAAAATTGTATTTCCTATTGTTATTCCAGAAGAACCAGAGGATCACTTTGCTGTCGTTAGGGTCTCTGTATGTTGCCCAGGCTGGCCATGAACTCCTGGGCTCAAGTGATACTCCTGCCTTAGCCTTCTGAGTAGCTGGGACTACAAGCATGTGCCACTGTGCCTGGAGACAGGATCATTTTTATCAAGAACCTTCTTATCAAGAAATTCCATGGAAAGTGTAATAGGATTAAGTGGCTTTTTAGAGAGAATATTACTGTATAAAGCACTATAGTAAGTACTTAAGACTACCTCACTCAATTGTCAAACCTGTGAAAGCACCGTTACTTCTCAGATGAGGATACCTTGCTGAAGAAAGTAAGCAGCAAGTCTGGCTGTGAACCTGCACCTGCCTAACTCCAACTGAAGCTCGCAGTTCCGCTACTCTTCTGCCTTCCCTTAAGTCACTAGGAATGAACGGTCCTGTGATAATAAGCAGGTTTTCCAGGATGCCAGAGGCACTTCTGTTAGGGGATCCACACTCGTTGCACTGACTGTGGGTTCTCCCCATCCTGTGACCATGCATGCCCACATTCCTGATGTTCCTTGCCTTTGGCAGTAGCTGAGCCTTACAAGAATGAGCCATAGTGCCTCAGCAATGGAGCCTCTGGGATCTTGCGGGGCCTCAGAGCCCACCATGCCCCCATGCACAGTACTGCAGCCCACCTGAGTGGGGTGGGGGCTATTTTTCCCTGGCCCCCATAATTCCTCAACTGTCTCTTTGTTGTTCTTTTTTTTTCATGGTACTGGGGTTTGAACTCAGGGCCTCATGCTTGTTAGGCAGGTGCTCACCACGTGAGCCACTCCACAGCCCTTCTGTGTTGTTCTTAATTTTTTCTACTTTACCTAGAACTTTGTTTTTGGGGGTGCTGGGGATTGAACCTAGGACCCTGGGCATGCTAAGCATGTGCCCTACCAAAGAGCTCCACCACAGCCCCTAGAACATTTTGTTAACTCAGATCATCATTCAGCTCCAAAACTTCTTTTAGCCTTAGCTATTGCTTATGGCTTCGGTACTGGCACAACTGGCTGTGCACACACGGGCAAACTCACAAGTGCCGGCTCAACCACACCATGTGCCTCAAAAGGGTGCACTTTTCTAGTCTCTCTTCCTTTACTTCATGCACGATGGTGGCGCATGCCTTTGTCTCACCACTTGGGAGGCAGAAGCAGGAGGACTGTGAGTTCAGGCCATTCTAGGCTACATAAAAAGACCCTGTCTCAAAAAACAAAATAACAACAACAAAAGTATAATACTTTAGTTTCTAGTCCTTAAGATTCTAGTTCTTCTCCTTTTCTTGGATGAGACTGTGAGGGGACCCCCCCCCCGCCCAGCCCTCTCCATCAGGAAGGGTACACTGACTTTGTCACTGGTGTGTCACTATGCAGCCCAGGACTCCTGACTCACAACCCTCCTGTACAACACCCAGCTGCACATTTAGATTTAGAATTCCATTTCTAGACAAACATGGCCCCTGAACCCATGGCTGCCACCTTAGGTTAAGAAACTCTAGACATATGAGGTCTCATATAGCTGTTTCCATTTTAGCAAAATAAAGTAAAAACATTCAGCCCTGCAGATAGATGCCACACGTCAAGTGTTCCACAGTCAGCTGTGGCCAGTGGCTCCCATGCCAGGCAGCAGGTCCACACAGCTGAATACTGTGTGATTGTTACAGAGGATGAAGCAGATCTACCTACCTGCTCTTCCCTCTGCCCACAATGGGACATGTGCACGTATGTATATCTGCATGTGTGCTAGGAAGTAATGCAAAACCTAACAGGATCTATCTTAGGGAATGGCAGGGAGGGGGAAATCACCCTTCATTTTATACCTTTTATTTATTCTTCTCCTTATTTATTTTTTTTTGTGGCACTAGGGTTTGAACTCAGAGCCTCACACTTGAGGAAGGCGCTCTACCGCTTGAGCCACTCCACCACCCTGTATTTTAAAATACTTAGTTTTTACAACATCCTAAACTCACATTTGCACCACCTGGGCTAAGTTTGCTTTCCCCTGCTTCACTTCGAGCAGAACACTGAGCAGAGACACCAGGAACAGATACACATCTTTAGAGGTACCGCACACCCCAAGAACCAACAAGAACTACCTCCAATACTTACTTTCTCTGCAGTCCGGTTCCAGACAGTCACTGTGTGACCCATTTTTAGCAAGTTGGAGACGATGCCACTTCCCATGAGGCCAAGACCCAAAAATCCTATCCTGAAAGAGACAGAGATGGATCAGTGCAGGTTGGAGTGGGAGGGACACAGTCAAGATTGGGGGATGGGACCTCAGGCCACTGAAAACACTGCCTGGTATGTGGATACTTATCTGCAGAGCCAGGCATGCTGCGTTCACACGCACCTTTTCTCCTGTGTTACTCTAAGTGTCCCTAAATGCAAATAGGCATGTCTAAACCCTTGGCCACCACAGAACAAAGTGTGACCTGCACAGCTCAAGGCTCACAATTGCACTCCAGTGTCTTCGGCCCTTGAAATGGCCTACTGAACGCTTCCTGATCAGTGATCTCCTAGGGCTCCCTCATGTGCATCAGGGCACACAAGTCATGGAAGCAATGTGTTTACAGCCAGACAACTTCCACTAGTGTAGGGACCAGGACCGGCTGGCACCTTCTCTTCTCAACTTTGGTTCTTCCAGGTTCTCCCTTGCCTTCCTAATCTTCCGGCTGCCAGGAGAGATGCGCTTTGGAGTGATCTTCCCATGCCTTCCTCCCTCACAGCTTTCATCTACCATCCATCATGACCCTCTGTGACTGAATGGCCTATGGCCAGGCTGCTGACCTTCACTTCCTACCTGCTCCTTCCTGCCACCCAAGACCTCTGGGCTAGTGACTACTACTGTCATTTCTACATGCTTTTACAGAGGGCTTTCACCCAATAGCTTTTTCTGATTCTTACACTTTTTTACCTCACAATGGCTCACTTTTTATGCAGTTTTTTTTTTTTTTGGCAGCACTGGAAGTTAAACTCAAGGCTTCATGCTTGCTAGGCAGGCGCTCTACTGCTTGAGCCATGCCTCTAGGCCCATCATTCACTTCAGATCCCACCATGTTCTTATTTTCAGTTTGGCTTTTCTCGAAGTTCTAGACACCCTCTGCAGCCTCTCCACTTTGACCCCATGTTATCCCCTCTGTATTGCTGGTCTTCTGGAATCACACCTGCAAACTGTCTCCTCTGCTCCAAACTCCCCCAAGCCTCTCGAGTGCTGGGATCATAGCTGTGCTTCACCAGGCCTACCTCCATCTCCTCTTTGACTAGCATACACAAAATGTTCCTATTTCTACAGGGGGAAGTTCACTAAGAATAACTTGTATGGTTACCGATTCCAATGGTACCATCAATCATAAAGTAAAAGATGTCCTGTTTTTGGTCTGGGAAGGAATTATGTGGAAGGTACACATAAGAAATTTACACTTCTTATCTTGCTCAGGAGAACACATCCTCTTAGTAAAGAAACCCTTTCTCCCACGTAGATGCAGATATGACTGGCCTACAGAGGAAGAGCAGAGGTCTGGGAGCACCCTCAGGTTTGGGGACCACAGTTGAGGCAGAAAAGCAGCTGGCAGGTATATGGGAAGGACTAGGAGGCAACAGCAGGGACAGCTGGGGAAGACAAGAATGGGATTTATGCCAAATATCTTCATGTCTCCCGTTAACCTTGGAGCTTCTATCATAGGTCAGTGATGCCAGGGACTTTTAAAGTGTGGTCCCTGATTCGCAGTGACAGTAGTGTCTTTGTTACCTGCTTAAAAAAAATGTAGCCTCGGGCTGTACTGGACCTATTCCACTGACTGAGAAGCCCAACAATCAGTGCTTGATAAGCCATGTCACCTTCTGGATGATTCTGAGAAACTCTGAAGAAGGTGCTCTTGCCTGGAAACTCAACAGAGAGTTACAGAGCCATCCCCTGAGCCTCAGCTGTGGGAGACCCCACTAAGGACTCACATGGTAACTTCTGCCTCTGACAAGTCAGAGTTCTCCCAGACAAATCATTACTGATGAGAACTGTAACTTTCTCCCTCTTTCCATTTGATCCTAGCAGTGACTGGGACACAACACTAAAGGGCACCTGTGGGGTCACCTCCTCAACCCTAACAGAACCCGAGCCCCAAGAGGCCCTAGCACTTACTTTTTATCTGTGGGTGTGATGCTGCCATTCACAGCTGTGCTGTCCGCTGCCTGGATGGAAGTGGAACCAGTTTCCTAGGGACAGGAAGCACAAATCATCCAGTCATTCTGCCCACGGTGAGGCCCCAGGTGAAAATAAAACTGGGAGGCATGGAGCCTACATACCTCTTCACATATTTTCAACTTCTTTGTGATTGCCTGGTAACAGACAGCTGGCTAATAGAAAGGGGGGAAAAAGGCCATTTATCAAACAGAACAGTTAATGGGTCTTCATTATAATTCCTCTAAAAGGTCAGGCCTGAAGTAGGAGGTTAACATATATATACACGTCTTCATTGTATAATTTTACTGAACTCTAAATGAGCCACTTGAAAGCAAACACACATTATCTCACTCAATTCTCCATTCAACTAATGAGTTTCTTAATTTTTTTTTGTGGTACTGGGGTTTGAACTCAGGGCCTCATGCTTGCTAAGCAGACAATTTATTTTTTTAAATTTTTAAAAAAATTTTTTATTTTATTCATATGTGCATACAATGTTTGGGTCATTTCTCCCCCCTTCCCCCCGCCCTTTCCTCCCTTACCCCCTCTTACCCCTCGCTACCCGGCAGAAACTATTTTGCCCTTATCTCTAGTTTTGTTGAAGAGAGAGTATAAGCAATAATAGGAAGGAACGAGGGTTTTTGCTGGTTGAGATAAGGATAGCTATACAGGGAGTTGACTCACATTGATTTCCTGTGCGTGGGTGTTACCTTCTAAGTTAATTCTTCTCGAACTAACCTTTTCTCTAGTTCCTGGTCCCCTTCTCCTATTGGCCTCAGTTGCTTTAAAGTATCTGCTTTAGTTTCTCTGTGTTGAAGACAACTAATGTAAGCAGACACTTTAATACTTGAACCACACTTCTAGCTCCTAATCAGGCTCTTTATCTGACCAATATACCGAGGCTCAAGGTGTTGGATCCCGTGTCCAGAGTTAAAAGAGCTGGTAAGCATCTCTGTGCTATAACCCAGGTCACGGGCAAACTCACAGGGGCTGCTAGGTCACAGAGTCTGGCTCCTTCGGCCACATGTCTCAGTCACACAGTGGCTGGTTCTGTTTTGAATCTTGGCAGTGCCTGGCTCCCTCATGGCCTACACTGTGATTTCTGCCAGGTACGGGACCCCACTCCCCACAGCCGGGCAAATCAAGGGTTAAGAGACTTGCAGTCACTCACCTTCTCTGTTTGGCTCAGCAGGAAATGATGGAAATGAGGATCTGCATCTTTGACTGGCTGGAAACAGAAGTTGATTTAATAAACAAGTTGCCCTCCACCACGTCCCTTCCTCCTGCCCAGTAACTGGAGTCTCCTGGCTGCACTGCCCTCAAACGCCCCCTATTTTTGGCCTAAGCCTTTTATAAAGGACTGCTGTTCTAGCTAGGAGAAAGTTGGCTTAAGTGAAAAAGGACCAATGTTTCTGCCAGGTTGGTACAAATCATTCCAGGAACATCATGGGAAAATATTCAAAAGCAGTTTCACATTTTAGTATTCACTGTTCACCAGGCCCTTAGGCAACCCAACAGACCAGGCCACAGCAATTCCCAGGACTCGTCCAGTTTCAGAACTCTGGGTCCTTGTGTTGGGGAAGTGTAACACCGGGCTATCAGTCAGGTGTGGTGCTGCACATCTGCATCCCAGCTCCCTCAGGAGCCTGGGGCAGGATGACTGAATGACAGTCTGAGCTACAGAGTGAGACCCGTTCAAACAAACAGCTGCATTTATGGACAATGAGAAGGTATTTATAAAACACAAAGGGAGAAAATGTGCAGAATGACCCCACTTTTGTGGAAAACCACCATGCCCCCAACAATGAGAATGACAGAGGGTCTATAGTCACCTGCAAGACGGCTTAGTGGGCAGACCAATGCTTGGAATCAGTCAGCTGAGACCTAACCACATTTATCCTCAGGTGAACACTCTTTACCTCATCAACTTCCATACCATTTTGTAATTAAAAACAAAACAAGTCTGGGGCATGACTCAAGTGTAGAGTGCCTGCCTAGCAAATATGAGGCCCCGAGTTCCAACCCCAGTACTGCTACCAAAAGAAAAAAAAGGCAGGAAAGGGGGCAGGGAGAAGGAGCACACAGTAATGCCAGGAAACTGGTTCTGCTACGAAGACCTGTCTAAGAGCTCTTTTACCTCACTCGCTGTTGGCTGCCATTTGAACGTGGCCATTGGCCCAGCCATCATCCCCTTCACGGTACTGGACTCAGGAATAGTGAGGTCCTGCAGAAGGAAAGGCAGGGCATCAGGACACTTTGCTTCCTTTTTGTCCCACTGAGCCCTGAACTAAACCCATGCAAGTCAAGTCAAGTCAATCACTGGGCACGGTTCTGATGACCATTCCTGGGGAGAGATAGGGCGAGTTCTTTCTGTCTACACCACACCAAGTGAAACTTTCTTCTCACTCTTGTAATAGGAAAATGTGCCCTTGCACCTAAGTTTCATGAGGATAGCGGTCATCAGAAAGCCCTACTACGGCCTGCAGTGTTTTCAGCAGCATCACAAGGGAAATCCCCAGGGTGAATAGCGAACATTAAATAAGTAAAAAGGAAGAAGCTGCACGGTGTTGCCTAGGCCTACCCACATCTCCCTGCTGGGACTGAGAAGCCAGAACATACCTAGGGTTGTTGCACAGAAGCTGCTCCTTTTCTGCATGCTGGGGCCCTCCTCTTCCTGGGCAAAGAGTCCTGGCTCTGCTCCACTGTCAGTGATGCTACCTTATACCTGCCCTTCCCACTTGCTCCTTCCCTGCCTTGGTGGCCCTCCTGATTTCCATTTGGATGCCAGGGTGACTCTCACCATGACCACAAACCCTCTCCCTACCCTGCCAAATTGCTCTTCCTATCCCTCCCACCAGGCCAGGGTCTCTGGAGTCCTTCCTGACCCCTCGCCTCTACCCCATCAGCAGGGACTGCTGCGCTACCATTGCTCAGCCATCCTGCCACTCATCACCCTCTCTCCTAACACCCACGCTCTTGCCACCATTACTTTTCACTTGGCTAGTTGCAGACTAAGTCTCCTTGACTGTACTATGGATCCCTGCAGTCTAGTCTCCACATGGCAGCAAGAGTCATCTTCTAAAAATCAAGTCAAACAAAGTCACTTCTCTGCCCAAAGCCGGCTTCACATCTCACACAGTGGAGATAAAGCTTTACTAAGGAAGCCACAAGGAGGGCTCTACTGAGTCTGCCACCCCTACCCCACACTAATCTCCAACTCTGTGTCTAATTCCTCCCTCATGACTCCCTAGCCCCCAATATTCCACTGCCCCACCCCCATCGCTAATACCCCAAGCAGGTACCTGCCTCAGGGCCTTTGCACTGCTAGGATGTTCTTCCAACAGATGTCTACTGGGCTGACAGGCTCACTTTAGGTCTCTGTTGAAATGAATGTCCCCTTATCAGAGTGTCTTTGCCTGATCTCTCTACCTTCCTCCATCAGCATGCAATGCTGATGCTGACGATGACAACTGCTAGTTTATAGGTATGGTCTCATGTAATCCTCACACCCTCACGATAGACAAGTAAGGAGAACTTAAGCAGCCTTGACTAAGGAGCTGCCCATTAGTGAGGCAGATGAAGATTAAACTCAGGCATTTGGCTCTGTGACCAAGGCTATTACCAGCACATTCTAGAAAAGCAAGATCGTTGCCAGCTGGGTCCACTGCAGACCCCACCCTGGGACCCACACCTGGCACGTAGCAGAGGTGCAATACTCACTCAAGAAGTGACTACATTGCCTGAGAGAGCTTTGTCTGTCTATTATGCTTTCTCTCTAGACACGTGGCCTACGGTGGAGCTGCTGAATAAACATTTGTCAGATAATGAGGAGGTTAGCTTCGGGGCAATTCTGCGTTTCATCTGCACTGCAACACAGGAGCCCCCAGCCACCAGGCTAGTATGACTGTGAGACTGAATTTAAAGTTCTATTCAATGTAATTTACATTTACATGGTCATGTGGGCTAGGGACAGCCCAGCTCTAGGGACAACAGAATGGGAGCAAGGAGAGCACAGCTCTCAGTCCAGCATGAAGATGACAAACTGCTGCTCTTGGGGGGAGCTGAAAATTTTTGGAAAGCCACAGTCCTGGTCAGGTGACTTCTACTGAGGTGCTCTTGTGCTCAGCTCAGGATGAGGAAAGAAGAGCCCTAAGGGTAGGCTCTCAAATGGAAGTCTAGATGCAAACCCAGCTTTGCCGGTCCACATGCAGTTGACACCTCCAGGATCAAGGTCAGCCTTTCCATTATCCATAGGGTGGGAAGATTACAATAGGGTGGCATAATCTCACCTGGGGCCTTGCCCAGCTATCATCAGCCTGTGCTACTTACTGTTCACTGCTTCCAAAAGGAGCAAGCCAAGTGACAGTTGCTATGGCAACATACAGACTCATTTGAGCTACTGGGTAGATCAGGTTGGCTGATGCACCTCAACTTCTTCGCTGGGCACAGACTCCCTGTACCTCTGGCAAATCTCCATCCTCTCCTGAGGACACATCTTTCATTATGGGCCAGGCCAGGCACAAAAACCTCTCAGAAAGGACCCCATGAGGGGCTAATAGCAGGTAGAGCTCCTGGACTGAAACCTGGCTAAATGTCACTACCTTCCAGCCTCAAGGGCAGATTGCTTTCTGTGGGGAACTTGAGAGAAGCCTCTAGAAGTAAGTAGGGGCAGGGGCTTTGGGGGCTCTCACTGTACAACCATATCCCACCCTAGAAACAGCCAATGCAGGGCCTGGACTGAATACTTAGTGCTTTACAGACATGCTCTAGCGCTCTGCCTGTGGATTCACTCAGTGCTCAGCAAACCTATGAGATACAATGGTCAGACAAGGAAATAAAGGCAAAGGAATGTAGCCAAGGCCACTAAGATGCAGTAAGCCACAGTGTTACAACCCAAATTTGGGGCTCTTGTTCTAACTTTTCCACTGCATTTCCCATTATCCAAAAGGAATCTGTTTCTATCCAATGTGACGCATGAATCTGTGAGACACCTTAAGACAACATGAATTTGGAAAACAGTATAAAACCTGACAGCCCTAGCTGGGTGCTGGTGGCTCATGCCTGTAATACCAGCTGCTTGGGAGGCTGAGATCATGAGGATTGTGGTTTGTGGCCAGCCTGGGAAAATAGTTCACAAGACTCCATCTCCAAAATAACTAGAGCAAAAAGACTGATGGTATGGCTTAAGTGGTAGAGCACTTGTTGTAAGTGTGAAGCCCTGAGTTCAAACTCTAGTACCACCAAAACCAACTCAAACAAACAAACCAAAAAACCCCCCAAAACCTGACAGCCCAGATTCCTTCTGGGTCCCAAGGAAATAAATTCAAAAATCACATTACATCTATTGTGGATCAGATTAGGCAAGGCCCCTTGCCTTGCCCCCTGCAAAGTCTTTTACACCTGGAGGTGTGCAGGCCTCTAAGCCTCCATCTCCTGCGGTCATATAGGAGACTCTTGCTATCCTGTGTCCTTAGTCTTAGAACAGTGGGAAGGACCTTGCCCAGCCAGATGCCACACAAAGGCAGCCCATAGACTGAGCATAGCCAGAGAGATATTCCTGTGGACTCACAGTATTTTAAAAACTTGAATTAACTTCTAACACCTAAGATTAGGATGTTTTCACATACACATCTGTATTCCCAGCTTCTTTTAAGGAAAACCAGACAACCTGGCAGCAGCTGGCCAGAGCCCCATGAATGGAGCACGACCTGGCCAGCCTCCAGCCTTGGCCAACCTCCTGCTCTCCATGCACGCTGAAGCCCTTTCCTCCTCCATCCAGGTGGCTTCAGCCTGCCTAGTCTCACCAGTGTCTTTTTTATTTTGCAGTACTGGGATATGAACTCAGGGCCTATACCTTGAACCACTCCCCCAGCTCTTTTTTGTGATTTTGTTTTGCGATAGGGTCTCACGAACTATTTGCCCAGGCTGGCTTCAAACCGTGATCCTCCTGATCTCAGCCTCTTGAGTAGCCAGGATTCCAAGTGTGAGCCACTGGTGCCTGACTCCCTGGTGTCTTAAATCTGCCAGATCTGCTCCATGTCTACATTTTACCAGGGCCTTATCACCCGACTCCCACCAGCGGCCTGGTTTCTGTTCCCTTTATCCTCTTGTTGCTGATCTTGCCTGTGCTCCCCAAACACCACCCGTGCATCTCAAAAGAACCCCTGCAAGAGGATGAGAGATGCACCGTTTTCTATGGTCATGCTTCTAACCCTACCAACTACCAACCCCAACCCCCATGTCCCTCTGCACACCCACCTCTTCCCTGCTCGCCCTTCACTTTCCAAGATAAGCCCATTCATCTCTGGATTCACCCATCCTTCTTCCAGGCTCGCCTCCCAAACATGTACCTCCAGCCCTCGCCTCAAATGCATCCCATTCAAAACAGGACTGGGGCTGGGATGTAGCTCAGGGGTACAAAGCCCTGGGTTCCACTCCCGGCACAAGCAACAGCGAAACGTTAGAAGTTCCACAGAACCAGTTCTCTCCTTTCCTCCCTGTAAGCCAGCTCCATCTCCAACTCCTCTGCACATAAGGAAGCGATCATCACCACTTTCCCAGGAGTAAAGCTTGAAATCATCTTCCTTCCCCAACTTGTATAAACGCTTCACATAACAAGTTGCCAAATCATGGGAAGGGTTCTTCTGCTGTACTTCTCGCACTTGGGATTTGCTATCGCCTCTCAAGAGTGTGCACCTGGCTTGGCCCTTCTAGTTGACTTCAAGCCCCTCTTCTCCGCCCTTAGGATCACTAAGGTACAGCTTGGCATACATGGCCACCTCGACACTCAGTTCAAATAGCTTCACGGGGCCCCACTGGTCACAGAGACCTCCAGTCCCTCCGCAATCCAACATCAAGCTGCCTTCATCTCTCTGCTTGCCTCTGGTCCTCCACCTGTACAGAGACATTCACGCCAATACTGCATCTCACATGGCTGTGCCCTCATCTCTGCTGTGCCCTTCTCCCCCCCTTCTCGCTAGCCTTTCCATGGCTGACCCTGCACACCAGCTCAGATGGCTGCTCCTCTGTCTCCTGCTCCTGCCATGTCTGTGCATCCACCACCATCTGTCTGCAGGATTCTCTAGGGGCAGCACTGGGCGCAAGCATCCATGCCCACTGGCTGAGCAGAAACTTACTTAGAGCCAAGCTCTACCTCACACAAGAGGAAGTCATGAGTCCCAGAAGCTACAGTGGTAAAACAAACCTTCTCGTCCTTTGGGGGCCGACCCCGCTTCCGGGGACTTTGCTCTTGGGCTCTTTTCAGAGAGCATTTGGTGCCTCTCTCTGCAGAGCCTGAAGTCACCCTCTTCTTTCCTTCTCCCATGTTCTTCTTCACCTTCCCTTCAGACAGGCTAAGCTTGCGCTTCTCATCACCTGAGTTTGGCCTACTTCTCTCCTCACTGGAATTACGCCGATTCTTGTCATCAGCAGAAGTGTGGGATGATGTCTGAAAGTTCAATAATAATAGTGATAGCCACCACAACAGCTGCTGCCACCATGCCTCAGACATGGGCTGTGCACTGCTACAGGACCTTCTGTGAGCTACCCTCACAGCTGCCTTATGAAAACAGGTTCCTCACTCACCCCCACTTACACTGGGAGAAGCAGACTTAAAAAAAAGAAAATCAAGTCACTTGCCCACAGTCCCAAGTCTAGGAGGCAAGACTTAAACTCAGGCAGGACACACATCCCAGAGGCTGTGCTCCTAAGCTCTGTGCACACTTCAAAGCTGAGCTACTCATCCTAAAGGCAACACGCTTCTCAGAAAGGTGGATGCAGGCATGCCATTCTACCATTCCAAGCTGAGACTGGTCCCTTAGAACAGCAGTGGCTTTCTCTGTAGGCATCTCTAAGAACAGAGCTGTGGGTCTGGGTGACGTTTCACCTGCTAGGAACCACATTCAATCCCAGACTGGTGGTAAGGGGAAGCTGAGGTCTCTCTCACCTGGTCTTTCCCTTTGGCTCTCCTGAGAAACTCTTCGACGGCATCCACAGCTTGCTGGAACCGTTTGCCCTTGTTGATCTTTATCATTTCTTCTTTGTGAGCATGGTAGGGCTTTAGCTGTTCCACTTTGATCCAGGCACTAGCAGAAAACACAGAAAGGGTCTGAGCTGAACTGCATGGGCCAAAGCATGGCAGAGGTCTAATCAGAGCAGAACACAAACATCCATTAGTGTAGCTGCACTTTGAAAGAGGCCTGACACTTTTCAAAACTTGTTCAAAACCACCCAAACTTTTGAGCCTAAAGGGTATTTTCTAGAAACAAGTTAAGCAGAACCACAGTAACACCACACAAATCAGAACATTCCTTAAGTGATGTCACTATGGCACACACAGTTTATTTCCACTTTCATTCACCAGCGTTCAGTGCCCAACCACACACACACTGCCAGTTGCTCAAGTCAGGAGAAACCTGGAGACAGCCTGCCAACTCTCAGCACACACCTGAGTCCCTGGGAGTCAGGGTCTTGGAAGCATCAGAAATAGGCAGCATGCGACACCCAAGACTTACTGTCTGCCCATCAACTGAGAGTCGGGAGGTGGCCAGGCCACAGAAATGCAACTTGCTCTAAACTGGTTGCTCTTATAGATATTTGTAGCCACTGAGTCTATATTTGTTCATAAATGGTGGTATCCATGGCTACTAAGCCACACAAAACATATGGTTTGGAATGAGGGGAGCAATCACAAAAGGAGGCCTTTTAAAAAACCAACATTCTTCCTGAGAGTAAAGGTAGAATACACTCCTCTGGAGTCTAATATTTAATTGCTACTGTCAGCACATGACTCACAAAGGTGAAATAGTTGTCAGTCGTCAGTTCTGGAATACCGGGCCCACCATGCTAACCTGAGCAAGTGTGCTGCAGCTGGCTTTCTGTGGCTTCTCTAAATGACTTTCAGACATACAGAAGCCAAGTATAAAAGACAGTATTATACAGGCTCAGCAGGACAAAGTTAATTTACACATTTTTGTCCTATAATACTCACAGGTACCATAGTATAACCTTCAGGAAAAGTGGGTCATGCTAAGGATATAGAAACTGGGCTACTCCATAACTTAAAGTTCTTTCTTTAGAGAAAGCTAGAGGATATTCACTAATAATAGTAAAAGTGCCAACCTCTGTACATAAAAACAATGCTGCCAAGACACCAGCAGCTCCCTGCACTCTGAGTGCTGTTTGAATAGTTATGATGATGGGTCACAACCAACATGGCAGCCCCAGGGCCATCAGCCTTCCAAGTGCCAGGCAGCAAACCAGGGCCAGGCATGTCATCTCCATCCAAAGGAAAGAACGCATGAGACACAGACACTAGTCTCTGGCACAGAGTTCTTGCCACAGCAGTGAAGCAGGTGCTTCCTAGTGACCAGCTCAACTTGTGGTTTGCAACTTGACATGAGGACTGGAGGTGTGGCTCCAGTGGCAGAGCGTCTGCTTCACAATCACAAAGCCCTGAGTTCAAACTCTAGTCCCATCAAAAAAAAAAAAAAGCAACTGGACATGAGCTCAATCCATGGGAAGGACACACATGGAATGAGATTTTTGATCCCCTATTTTTGGCAAGTGTGTCATTGGACTGACTCCCTGGGCTTCTTGCTGCATTTATAGCGATTCAAAGGACAGACCAGAGCAATCAGATGCAAAGACAGTTAAACCTCCATTCTAACTGGCAGTTCTAAGACCATTAACTCCTACCAAGGATTGAGCAGGAAGAGCCCTGACTCTCAGGACACTCCTTGTCCTTCTGGGAGCTGCAGGTTGGAAGCAGAGACTCATACAACTTGAGGAAGACCAATAAGGTGTTTTTTTGTGGAGCGGGGACAACAGGCCCAAGAAGTGCTAAGTCCACCCACTCCTTCCTGCTACTGCCATCCCTACCTCCTACCCAGCCTAACATCAACCTCTGATTCAGAGAGAATGCAAAGGTGAGGACACCTTTGAGGGAAGCACCAATAAATCAACACTGGTTTTTGGTCAAAGCAATTGAAATGGATTACTGATTTCTGCCAGAAGGAACAGAAAAACTCCACTTGCCCTAGAGATAGGAAATTGAGATAATAAAATTTTCCTCTCTACAACTATCTATGAAACGTTAAAATGGTTTTCTAAATTAATTGCCAGTGCCAATATGACTTTAAGAGAATAAAGGCAAAAAATGTTAATCTCCTTAGGAAAGGACCTTAGGAAAGGACCTATTGTGGAAGAGGCATACTGTAGCACCAGAACAGTCAACGAAACACCAGTTCCCACAGGCCAAAAGGATCACTCCTGAAAGCAAACTACACTTGAATCACTTCAGCCATTCAAAACCAACTTTCTCTCTAAAGGCTGCCTTCTTAAAGAGGACATGCCTTTCAGCTGGAACTTCAGTAACATCCCTGCAATTCACACAGGTCCACACAGCTGTGGGCTGGCATGCAAAGTTCTCAATAAATGATCGCTAGGTAAATAAATGATGCCTTCCACCATGTTCAGGGAGTGGGCACCCTAAAGCGGGCTAATGGCTCAGCTTGGTAATGACTGTTCTGTCTCCCCTTCTCTCTCTCACCCCCTCCTCCTTCCCTCCCTCCTTCCCTCCCTGTGCTGAGATGATGCCAGGGCCTTGAGTATACATGCCACACGCATGACCAATGAGTTACACCATAGCCCTGAATGACCTGAATGACTTCTGCTTCTTCCCCAGGTAAAGCTGTAACTTGTGATTGTCCTCATCCTTCTCCAAGGCCATAGATGGAGTTGGATCTTTTCAGTCCAGTTTGCTGTGGGTTGGGAAGTCAGAAAAATCAAGCTGACACAGTTTGTGTCTAAAGCACGAGGCACTAGTACAAGGGAGTTAATTACACATTGCTTATGGCGGTAAATGCCAGAAAACAAACTAACTGGCAGTCTATGAAGCCATTCCAAAGAGGGAAATAAAAGGTCCCTTAAGATATCTGGCTAAGTGGAAAAAGCAAGGAGGGTGGTGTGTGTAGCATGCTACTACCAGTCATGCAAAGATGAGGAAAAAGGAACATACAACTTCTTGATTCTGGACAACATACCACAAGCAAGGAGTAACCCTGGATGGCTGGGGATAGGGGCAAACCGCTTCACTGTTTTCAGCTTCAGTTTTTGTTTTTAGCCATAAACATGTATTAGCTTTAAAACACAACAAACCAATACCAAAGGCCTCCATGCAGAACATGGGCTCCCCAGTGTAGAAAAGAGAGTGCTCCCCATGACTTCTGGTTTGAAGCCCTGCTGTGATGGGGAGCTCCGCCTGGCAGCTGGGGTAACTGCACCTAAAGCCCCACAGTAGCCAACATACCCTGGTGCTTGATGCACTTCCTCTAGTCTCTTCACTTGTGACTACAGACCTGACACTAGGCCAGTCTCGGATTACTCCACTCAAAATAAATTTTAAAAAACCAGCATCTTCATACACTTCCACACTTCTGACTTGCTCATACCCTGACATGGGTCTTAGTTTTAGCCTAGACAGAAGAACCTGGGCTAAAGCTTTGAAGGTGGGCACATGACAGTGACTCTGGGACGTGGGGACATGACAGGATGGGGATGACATGGAGAAAGAGAGAGAATGAACACAGGGGCACAAAGTCCAAAGGTAAGACCCAGAAGACATGGGTTTCCATCTGGATTTGGTGAGTAGCACTTGGTAAATGATTTCTATGTCTGTCTTCCCCCTCTCCCACTTTTGGGTGGTTTTGGGGTTTGAACTCAAAGCCTTGAGCTTGCTAGGCAGGCACTCTACTACTTGAACCATACCTCCAGCCTTTTCTCTTTTTTTAAACTTCTGAAAGAGGCCAAGGATTACTGAGGAGTTATAGGTCCAATCTAATCTAGTAGAAATAGAGACACTACGAAATACATATGTCCAGAGAAAATAATGTAACATTTCTCAGTTAATTTCAAGCAATGATTAGCCTTTTCAAAATTTTTGTGGCGGAACTAGGGTTTGAACTCAGGGCCTCACACTTGCTAGGCTGGTACTCTACCATTTAAGCCATGCTTCTAGTCCATCAACAAAGGCTGGTAAAGTGGCTTAAGTGGTAAAAGTGCCTGCCTAGCAAGCATGAGGCCCCGAGTTCAAACCCCAGTGCCACCAAAGGAAAACCAACCAAACAAATAAAAACAAAAGGAAAAAAACAAAAAAAAAAAACAACCACAAGACGAAGGCTTGCAGATAAGACAACAGATTGAGAAGACTTTGTTTCTAAAACTTGAAAACTCCCAAACACTGGGTGAGGCTTTCAAGTTGTGTTGCCTATATCACTTCTTTTTGGGCCATTTTCTACAATTCCATTGCAATTCCTGCTTATCCCTGGCATGTCATCGGCCACAGAGGGAGTCAGCAGGACAGGAGCTGCTGCTGCTGCTGGGAGAGGAGAATCTGAGTGATGCATATCCAGCCTGGCACAGAGACACTGTAGTGCCAGTCAAATATCCAGAACAATGGCATCACTACCCACTTGGCTCAACTCGTTACTATTGCATGGTGTTGCAAAGTGGGTCAGTCAGTGCCTGGTGAAAAGAAAAGGAAGTTAACATAGTTACAACTGGTGTGCTCCTCATCATTAACCACTGTAGATTGTTCTAGATGGGTTACTTTTAGTACTGACTCAGACACCTCACACCCAGCCCATCTTAGATGAGGCTTGATGTAAAAAGCACCTCAGGCTGGACTCCTGGACATCTTACTAAAACCTGCAACCCACTGGCCTGTGTTCTCAAACAGGAAATACAAGAACCAGAAGGGTGCCCCTATCCATTTTCTGAAAGGCAGAAGCAGGATCTGACGTGAAGATCGCTGTGACAACTGTGAGGTCGTCATTTGCAAATTTCCCACTGTTTGCCCACACTATGATTGAACTGTTTGGTTTCTGGTGGCTCTGAGCACTTGCAAACTAAATGATCCCTCTGTTCTGGGACCCAGTGCCACTGATCAAACTTGAACTGAAACCCTGAGCTCTGTCTCGTCTCTGATAGATAAGTCATCAGACTGACCAGACCTGCCCAGGGTGGACTCACAGTTGGCACTTGTTTGGTTGTGCTCACATGGTGGAGGAAAGTTATACTGAAATTGCTTTTCTCTTTGTACTTACATGGAAATAGTTAATGATTATGGGCAATTTTGTCTTCACCACCTGACATGGAGAGCTAAATGCAGCCATCTTATTAAGTCCTGTCCTCACCAGGGAGGCCCCATTAGGCAGGCCTGGCCCTCTCTTTCTAACAGTGGGGTGTGAGCACAATTTGCTGGATGTTTTGGTGAGGAAGGGAGACAGAAAAAGGAGGTTTCTAATAGATTGGACACTGTTTATGTTGCTGTATTGTTCTCTTTTTTCACTGTTTAATAAAGGTCCTTGCTAATAGAAGAAATAATAACCACATTCATTTTTTCTGTTAAGTAGTGTGTCAATTTTGAAATTTAGTATCTCTGACTAAATCCCACATTCCCCAGGAATACAGGAACAGACTGTATTCACCTGGGCCAGGGTCCGGTGACCAATGGAGTCCCCACTGCAAGATGGGCAAGGATCATATCACCCCTATCGCAAAGGTCAAGCCTTAAGAAGTGAGAAAGCCACTTAAGGCTTTGCCCTCATAAATTATCTCTAAAAAATCTACTTGCCTCACCTGTCTACACCACCTCCTCCTAAATGACCAATTCACAAGGGCTCCTTGTAATCTTCCTGAACAGTCACAGGACATTCTACTAGCAGTGCTCCTTGCACTCCTGAAGGCCCTTTACTGCTTCACAAACTGTTCCTTTTTCAACAATGCTTTCCCACATCAAAGATTCCAACTCTTTTTTAAATTTATTTTTTGGTGGTACAGGGGTTCGAACTCAGGGCCTCATGCTTGCTAGGCAGGTGCTCTACCGCTTGAGCCACTCTGCCAGCCCTTTTTAATGTTGGGTATTTTTGAGATGGGGTGAACTATTTGCCCGGGCTGGCTTCAAATGTGAACCTCCTGATCTCTGCCTCCTAAGTAGTTAGGATTACAGGCATGACCACTGGCACCCAGCAGATTGCTACTCTTTGTCTCATAGGTCCCCTTCTCTGCATCTTGATTTGTGTGTGTGTGTGGTGCTGGGGATAGAATGCAGGGGAGGGCATTAGCTATGTAAGTGCTCTACCACTTGAGCTAGACCCTAAGGCCCCTTCTCTGTATCTTGAGTAGTTCTATCTTCTGATCCTCTTGGAAGCATAAACTGAACTGCAGCATAAACTAAACTGAACTGGTGAGGCACACTGCAGTTTTACATAAAGGTGGAACAATGTATTGTTTTGTTCCAAGCACACTAACAATACATTGTTAGGAATGTAAGGACATACTTAGGAACCATCCAGAGTCCTTCCTGTCTTTTTTTCAGTACAGGGTTTTTTTGTTTTTGTTTTTGTTTTTTGCTATACTGGGGTTGTCTTTAAGCTTGCTGGGCAAGTACTCTACTGCTTAAGCCACACTTCCAATGGTACTGGGGTTTTTGAACTGGGGCTTTGTGCTTCCTAGGCACAAGCTCTACCACTTGAGCCAAACCTCCAGCTGTTTTTGCTTTTTAGCTTATTTTTCAGATAGGTTCTCAGTTTTTGCCTGGGGCTGGGCTAAGATGGAGATCCTCCCACCTATGGCTTCCCAAGGGTCTGGGATCACAAGCACATCTACTTATCAGGCTTATTGAGATGGAATATCGTTAACTTTGCCCAGGCTAACCTCAAACCTCAATCCTTACAATCTCTGCCTCCTGAGTAGCTGATATTACAGGTTCCAGTCACCAGCTTTTTTTTTTTTTTTTTTTTTTTGGCGGGAGGAGGCAGTACTGGGGTTTGAATTCAGGGCCTCGCACTTGCTAAGCAGGTGCTCTACCTCTTAAGCCTCATTCCAGCCCCTGGCCTTTTTTTTCAAGTGCACACACACTCTCTCTTTCATGGGCAGTCTGTGTCTGCCTCCGTCACATTTTCTTTGTGTATAGGCACTTGTTTCTTACCACCTTTGTCTTGGAACAGATCCATACCCTGACCTGATGTTTGCTGAACACCTGCTACATACCAAACCACATGAAATACAAGTGTAGCTACTTTTCTTAGTAACTGTAACACTCTCTTACTTGGAGGAGGATAGAGGTTTACAAAGGTTGCCCAGATCAAAGAGCAGGTGGAATCAGCATGTGAGGATGGTAACAGATCAAGCACTCTCCCCTCAAAGTAACTTGCTGCCACCAGCCTATCTGGAGTTCCTACAGCCCAACAATATAGAGCTACTAAATAAAATCCACCATAGTACCGAACACTATGGCAACATTCCTCCTTTAGAGAAGTGCTGCAACTCCTTGCCTTTGTTTCTCTAAGTTAACTGCCTACCTACAAAATGAGAACGTTAGCCCCATATTGATTTAACTAGGTTTTTTTTTTTTTTTTTTTTGGTGGAGGTGCTGGGAACTGATTTCAGGACCTCTAACCCCCCCACCCCCTGGCCCTTAAATACTTCATGTGGAATTCCATGAAGAGAGTTTAAAAAGCTTAACATTATTATGCCTAGCAGTGGTCCCCATCCACTTGCTCACAGATCCACTCCAAAGAGCATTAGTCAGAAACTAACCATGACGACCACTAACACAACACAGGAGGTTGTTAAGTTTGTGTTCCGTGTGCACATCCTTTACCACTAGCTGCACCCTGTTTGCCAATTTACTTTCCTAGGCAGTGTCAAGCACCATGGGACTGTGGAAACAAGCCAAGCTTGTTTTCTCATCAGGATAGTCTTCCTGAGGAATCCATGGCCTTTGAAGAACAATCCCTCTTCTAAGGGCTCTGTTTTTATAGCTCAGGGCTCATCGTAAGGCTGGTAAAACAAGCTTATGATACAGAATTTGGGATGGGGTATACCTGTATTATGAAGGTCAACACCCTATGCAAACCAAAACCAAAAGAACACTCTGATGGTAAACTCCTGAATGAGTGAAACACACTGTTTTAAGGGATCTTCATCTGTAATTATACTGCTTTCTAAGAATTAAATTTTAACCCATCAGTGTTAAGTTTAGCAGGAAATCACAGTTTTCAAACCTAAAGTTACATTTTCTTATAAGAATCCTAAACAGAAATATAACTACTTAAAGAAATCAAGCTAGATCCAGCAATCATCCTGATGTAGGGATGAGAAAACTAAACAAATCACTGGAAATTCAAGTTAGTACACATCCTTCCACTCAGTGTGACTTCTTATGGCCTTATGATAGGTCAAAGAATCTCAACTCATGGTTCTGGATTCCTCACCTTTAGCACACATCTGGTAAGTCACAATGCCACAGCAAGTTACCTACTTTTACAAAGAACAAGATTTAACAACTACTTTAAAGACAAAACTTTAGTTTTCACTCTATCTTTCATGAATGAACCATGATACATAGCCATTAGAAGAGAACCAAACATGGCTCTTATAGAAGGAACCTCTGATGGAGTAAGACAGAAAGACAGATGTAAGAGACTCTCTCACATGTGGAAGGCAAAGAACTCTAGTTTTTCCCTCACTGACACTGTTTTGGCCCAAGGACAATTTCTGTACCATGAGAACAGCACCTTTTAGTTAGGTCTGAAACCAGCATGATGCACTATTCTTACACACTACCAGAAGCCTGAGCTAGGTATCCTCAGAAAACATTCTCATAGCAGCTCAGACTCAGGGAAATGCCCAAAAGCAACATGAATTCTTGGTGAATACTACTCACTGATCTTCTGTTCCAAAAAACTTCACAAAGAAGCATTTCTTTCCACGTGGTTTCTTCAAGTCCTTGGGTGGATTAACAATCTGGAGGGGAAAGGGGGAAAAAAAAAGTTTTGATGGCCACACAGCAGCCTACTAGAAACATAATTTCCCACAGTTCTAAGTTGTTATTTAAAAAAAGAGAAAAGAATATGTATAAAAAGAACCCCAGGCCCAGTACTTTTCTACTTAGATGTGTTCCCTGTAGCTAACATGTAGCACAGCAGTTAAGAGATACAATACCCCCTTTTACTACAATGGCTCCTGTCATACAAGCAGTGAAAACTAAGAAAAACATTCTCTTGCAGTGAGACCTATCAGCATTGAGGAAACACAGAGGATACTTTCCAAAATACTTCTGGTGCAGGAAGAGCTGAGACAGGAAATAGGGGAAGGGAAAACTGAGGCACAGAAAACACCATATTGCAAAGAGTCTAAAGACATTTCCTGCAGTCCTAGTGAGCACAGAAAAGCAGAACATTTGGAACGCTATGACGGATCACCTCACACAAAATTTGGAATGGCAACTTCTGCAAAGATGCACTGGAGCAGCACATATGGTGACAGGGGAAGAAGATTTAAACTTAGTTGGGACAAAAATACTTCGGCTTTTCCCTAACCTACATTTAGACTTCTCTCTTCCTGGAGAACTTATTTTCTTCTCCTTTTTGTTAGATTTAAGAATAAAACTAAACTCAAATTAGAATTGATTTCCAGGGTTAAAAACAACAATTTTCACAAACTATGTGACTAAATGATCTGGCTTATGTTCTATCATCTTTTGCAAAATAACTGACATTTCAGAGGAAAAAAAAATTGGAGTGTTATCTGAATGGGCCCAGCTTAACTCATGTTGAGACATAGGCATCTCACTTCCCACCTACTCAAACTCAACTTCAGAAAGCCTTCTTCACTAGCAAGACACTTACCTTTCCTGGCCAGGGAGGATACCGGCCGAGTTTCCCCCTAGAGAAAACACAAAGAGTCAGAACTTGCCCTGGAAAAGCCAGTCCGTCTCCTTCAACCCACTCAACGTGCAATTTATGCTCCCAACCCTCTGCGGGCGCTCTCAAGGGCCACAACAAAAAGTGGCGGACCAGAGCACTTAATCTGGCTTCCACAGGCTGGGCCCAGGACCCCACCCCACATGGAATGCAAAACTGTCTACGTATGTGCCAGAAGGCTGTGCATTCTTCTGGGACAAGGGATACAGACAACAAAACGGGCAAATGTCACTCGTCCGGAGCCTCCCAGCCACCGGGGTGGGGGACAGCTCTCTCTGTAAACATAGACTTCCTCTAACTAAGTCTGGTTTAATTCACCAGAAGACCAGCGCGGCTTTGAGAAATGCTTATGGAAGCCTTCCTCTAGGTCAGGCAACAAACTACGCAGCTCGAGGAGGGCGACGACCGTCAGTCTTGGTTCTGGCTAATGTCGGGGACACCGGCGCAGACCACCAGAGGCACCCAAGGCAGCAGTGGTCGCTGCTAAGCCATCGGTTGGAAAGGAGGAGCTCCCCACTCCGTTTCTTCAAGCCGCCCGCACATGTCGGTTCCATCGAAACGAGGGTTTTGACGGTTCCGCCCCGGCGAGGTGGCCTCGCGGGTTCCCCCGCTCTCCACCTTTCCGGGGTGCCCCAGCAAGACCCCGGGGATCCGGCGTTCTGCAGAGCCTCGCGGAACCGGGGACTCGCTCTGCAGTGGCCGCCAGCATCCGGGTCCGGGTTTCAGCCCTGCCCGGGACGACTTCGGGGCTTAGAGCCGGGACAGTCGCGGCCACTCTCGGCCTCTGTCCCCCGGGGCCGGACTGCCCCTTCCGCTCAGTGCCGTTTTCAAAACCCGCACACCTCACTCTCCCCTCTTTCCGCGGCCAGGAGAGTGCAGAAAGGCAGCTCCAGGACTGGCCGTGAACCCCGCGCCTCGGAGGGCAGTTTTGCGGCGCATCTCGCTCGGCTGGGACTGCTGGGACTCACCACACCAAGTCGCCGAGCCGCAGACTCACAGCCGCCATCTTACCACCAAACCACCTCCGCCGCATGGGCAGCCGGGAACTTCAGGTCGCTCCGGCGCCGCCCATTGGAGTGGGCCCCACCACGTGACGGGGGCCTGCTGTCAGCGGCCACGCCGCTGCTCTGACGTCACCGCGCCCACAGAAGCTCATTGGCTGGCGGTGCGACACGTGACTCGAGCGCCGCGATCTGCGCGCGCCGGGGCTCTGAGACTCCCGGCTCCGTCCCCTCCCTCCGGCTCGTGACAACGAAGCGTCCGCGATTTGAGGTGGCGCGGCGGCGACGGTGCGGCCGGCCAAGCGCGGGAGGGAACCAGCCTCGCGGCCTGTCTCGTCTCCGGGCACTGGACTCAACCCCCCACTCCTTCTCGGCGCTTCCGTTACGACCGTTAGTTGGGCGCGGGCCCCGGGCCATTCCCGAGCCCGAGGAGCCCTCCAGCCCCGTCGCTGCACCCGGAGCTGCCCTGACGAACCACAGCGCGGCCTGGAAGCCAGCCTTGGCCCCAGCCAGGGGCCTCGCGCCCGGCGGGCTCTGCTCGGCCGCAGCCCGAGGGGCCCCGATACCCCGGTGTCCGCGCTTAGGATCCGGGACATCGCTCCCGCCGCCGGCTGCTGGGAAGCGCCGTGCTCGACGGCTGGCTCCTGGAGCAGCGTCCGAGCCTCGGATCACTGCTGCGAGTCCTGCCCGAGCCCTCGGTGGCCGCCCCCTCGGCGCCGCGGGAGTTGCTTTTTGGACGTGGAGTTGGCTTTTCTCCGCTTCCTCCTGGTTCCGCGCGGCTGACGAGCCCCCCCCCCCACTCCCGGGCGGGGACCCGGCCATGGGCCGCCCGCCCGCCCTCAGGGAGGGCTCGGGAGCTGGTCATTAGCCACACCGCAGCCCGGGGTCCGGACCGGCATGAGGACCGCCGCGGGGGGACGTCGGCGCTGGGGACAAAGGTGCGTGTGGTTGTCGGGGCCGGTTCCCGGGTTGGCCTTACTGGCGTTTGACACTTTGCAAAAAGTTGTGACAGCCGGAAGACCGCTGCCCGCGTAATGGGAACTGCTGGTTGCGGTTGATTTGGGTGGCCGCCCAAACTTCCGTGGACTGGGCAGCTGCATTACGTTTGCCAAAGATCCCTCTTGCCGGGAGCCCGAGTCCAGGGCGGACTTGACTGAGAGCCCAACTTTTCTTGTCCCCGCCGGCTTGGAAAGGTGGCAGGTTCGCTGCTTTTCCCCTTAGGCTTTGCGCTGGGCGGAGGCTTGTGTGGTGGGTTGTCCCCGCAACCTGGTGTTTCTTTGGAGACCAGTTTCCCTGGAATGGCATGAATTAGTTGCAGGGACTGTCATTTACAGAGTGAACTGGTCTAGCAAAGCGTATTTAAAATTACAGAAATTTCCAAACCTTGAGAAATAAAATTGCAGAATAAACTTCAACACGTGTTCCTAGTTAGAAATTCTAAGATTTTTGAGGAATAAAAGGATTATAATGAGTTGATTAAAAAAATGTGACTCTTAACATTACACTTGACTTAGGCTGGATTGTCTAACGCCCTGGAAATTCTAGCCAATGCAATAAAACAGGAAACAAAAATCAGAAAAGGAAAGACTAAATTCTCTAATTCTTTTTTCTGAGTGGTAAGACTGCTTGTTTTGAAAGAAAAAATTAAGAATTTAGTAAAGGGACTAATTACATAATTAGCATACATGAATTAGTTTTTCTGTTTCATTAATAAGCAAGTAGAACAGTTGAAAAACGATGTATTTATAATAACAAAAACATTTACAGTTCCTAGGAATAACCTGGGATACAAAGGCTCACATCTTTTGCATAACTAGTTGAAAAATGCTTTTGTGTGTAGAATACTAAGAATGTTGAGGATTTAAAACCTTAGCTATTTTAAAGACTTGTGCGTTTTACTCACAAATCTTGTTTCATTTACACATTTAGGACTGTTTATGTAAAAAGAAAAAACCCAAAAAAAACTGTGAACTTTGACAAATGCTTAATGAGACCATCATCCTAATAGTTTAAATACCTTTAAACAATTAACTTTTTAAAAAACAGGTTAATTAAATTCCCTTACATGTTTTAAACTGCAGTTAATATTTTGCGTTTTTTATTCTCTCAAATACTTCAAACTTCCAAAGAGGTGTGCTGGTAAGCTTGATAGTAAAACCTTTCCAAGAACCTAAACAAATCATAAGTTTAATAAACATGTAAGTGTTGGGCTGGAGGAGTGGCTCAAATGGTTAGAGTGCCTGCCTGGCAAGTGTGAGGCCCTGAGTTCAAATCCCAGTACTGCACAACAACAACCACAATAAAAGTAAGTCATTTTAAACGTGTAAACACTTCAGAACATAATTAGGTTTTCTCCCTTTTTTTTTGTGGTTCTAGGGATGGAACTCTGGACCTTGTATGTACATACTAGGCAAGTGCTTTACCAGTGAGCTAAATCCCCCCTGCCAAATTATATTTTCTTAACATTACAAATTAAAAAATGTAAGTGTAACCTATCCTTTACTATATCCGATTCTCTTAAATGGCTTAGAACAGACCACAGCATGTTATGATTATAAACTTAGCCCCAAGTCTGACTTCTGTGTGTGAATATTCCATGGCTTGCTTTACTTTGTCCTCGAGTTCTGTCTGTGTTATCAGCTCATGCTTGCACAGTCACCTTTGCAACTGTAGATGAGGAGCAGTTTTACTGCCTAGCTGGATTAGAATTACATTCTTTAAAATTTGGACTGAGATAAAGTTACATTTTAAAATTTCCGGCTAGACAGTGTCACTAGGATCTGGTCGCCACTTTCAGGATAGCCTTCCTTCATCCCATTGAATGACCTGCTGATTCTCTTCTGGTAGAGAGACTGTGCTGTTCTCTTGGGGGTACCCATAAGCCTTTAGCTGAGATTTGTTTTCACAACCCAGTGCATCACCAGTGTCAAGGCCCTTGAGGTTTCTTTGAGGGGACTCTCAGCATCTTAGTGCATGTTGGTAAATGCTCTTTGCAGTGGTCAACCTGTATTACTGCTGATCACTTTGCCTAATTAGAATTATTTTAACTTTTCATTTATCTGATACTCCCTTATCTGGCCTTAGATGAATGGTTATAATGAAAATAATATTTTTTATACATGAAGGCTACATGTACATATATGTGGGTATATACAAACTTCCCTGCTTAAGTAATTCATATTTGTGATCCACTTACAATCAAAGTACTGTGACTTTTTTGAGAGAACTTGCCAAAAATGATTTCAAAATTGACCACAGCTAATTAAAATGTAGAATAATAAAGTTTTAATTGAAGATACGAAAATATGCCAGGTGCCTGTGGCTCATGCCTGTAATCCTAGCTACTTGGGAGGCAGAGATCAGGAGGATGGCGGTTCAAAGCCAGCCTGGGCAAATAGCTCACAAGACCCAATCTTGAAAATACCCATCACAAAAAAGGGCTGGTGGAATGGCTCAAGTGTTAGAGTGCCTGCCAAGTGTAAGGCTCTGAGTTCAAACCGCAGTACTACCAAAAAAAAAAAAGATATTAAAATATTGCCATAAAACTTTTTAAAATAGTGCAGTGCTGGTCAGACTAAGTACTAGATTAGTATTAGTTGGCTTTCAGAAATAGACTTTAGACCCTGAGACATTACTCTATGCTATATGCCAAGTCAGCAGTGATTGGTGCTGGGGAGAAACCAAGTTGGAGTGTCCTCACACTTTGTAGCATAATAAATTTATATGCTTAAGAGTGAAGTGAGAAAAATGCATCTATAGAAGACTATAGAGGTGAATTCCTACATAAGATCTGGTTAGAAAAGGGCTTGCTCTGCAGGAAAAAAAAAGGGAGGGGTTGGTATAACAAAAGCCTAGTTCTAACTGTGTATCTCCTTGGGCTTTTGATTTAAATCATGGGATCTGGGGTGATTTTCAAATAGTTACAAAAAAATTCATATTTAGAACAAATTACTTAACTGGAAAAAGCAATAAATAGCAATTAAAGTAAATTTTAACAATGGATTCTTCTTGACAATGAAATTTAAAAAACTTAAATCTGTATAATTGACCAGGAAAATGTTGATTTTTGTCATCTTGGTTTGACTTGGCCCTTCTTTTCATTGTTAACAGAAACCATGCAGTGACACCTGCTAAGACTCGTTGGTAGCCATGTCGGAGCCCCACAGGGTCCAGTTCACCTCTCTCCCAGGTTCTCTGAATCCTGCATTTTTGAAGAAGTCCCGAAAAGAGGAGGTTGGAGGAACAGAACAGCATCAGGATTGTGAGCCAGCAGCAGCAGCTGTTCGAATTACACTCACTCTCTTTGAGCCAGATCATAAACGCTGTCCAGAGTTCTTCTATCCAGAGCTGGTGAAGAATATACGTGGGAAGGTGAAAGGCCTTCAACCTGGAGACAAGGTATGCTTCAGTATCCAGAGTTGCCCTGCAGATCTAACATGAAGGTGTCAGCACAGGCGCCTTCATAGCAGGACGCGAGACTAGAAAACCTTGGATTACCCCAAGATTATATCACACATCCAAAGCAAGCCCGAGGTTAGCTGCTCTTACTGCTGGGCATGAAGAGAGAGCATTATTTCTCTAATCATTCTGACTTATGCTAGAGGAGAATATATGGCACATCAGGGCTAATTTGAGTACGGCTCATTATATAAATGAAAGAGAGTACATGATTTCATGCCGAGGTTGTAAATAAGACCAGTCCCTTGACCGTTGGAGTGCTGTTTCCCATCTCTGCCTAGTGAAAAGACAAGTGAGAAGAGCACAGGCTGCTCACCTTACTGATTCTTTCTGTGGATAAGTGGAAAACTCCTTCTGCCTTTTTTTTGTGTGTGTGTGTGGTGCTAGGGTTTGAACTCAGAGCCTCATGCTTGCTACACAGACACTCTACTTGAGGCACTGTGCCTGTTTTTTTTTTTTTTTTTAACTTTATTTTTTTTGCCAGAATTGACTTTAAGCTTTTAGGATGTTTGAAAATCCATTCGGTTTCTTAAATGCCTTTTAAACTATCTACTGATTTTCCTGGCAGATTCATTTTACCTTTTAGTATGGAACTTTCCAACATGCACAGAAGTAGAGAACATAGTTTGAGCAGCACCCATGTGCCCACCACCTTGCTGAAACTATTATGGTGTTAGCAATTCAGTAACACTTCAGCAAAGGTTTTTTTTTTTGAAATAAGCTCACAATCTTCCTGCCTCAGCCTCCTGAGTGCTGGGATTATAGTTGTGTGCCCCATATCCTGCCAAAAAGTTTTTTTGAAATAGACTTTGAGTCATGTACATGAGGAAAATACACATATGATAAATGCATAGCTTCATGGATTTTCACAAACCAATCCCCACCTGCATGTGGATCCCAAATGCAACATTTACCAGGACACTAGAAACCCTCCTCCTGCCCTTGTAGAACGTGACCCCTGCCTCTGGGGGAATACTAACAGCAGGATCAGTTTTGCATGTTTTTTGTTTTGTATATATGGAATCACATAGTATGAATAGAAGTTAGGTGAAGAGCATTTTAAAGCAGCTGCTGTATACTGGTTCATTGCACTAGGCTCTAAGGAAAAGGTAAGTGGGCCACACTTACAGGATTCTGGCCTCTGGAGTGGCTCTTAGTAGAACGGGGATAAGGCCAGTGCCTGGCTGTCAGGGTATCTGAGGGTGGAATGAGATCATGGTGACATCTCTAGATGGTGTCTAGGTGTGCTAAGTGCTCACTAGGTCTAATTTATATTTGGGGTATTTGGGAGAAGTATGTTTGGTTGGAAGCACTTCCCACTTTCCTTTGCTTAAGATAGAAATGTGTTTCCTTTATTGAGATCTGATTGGCTGAATGAAAACCAGTGAATCTACCAAAAAACATCCTGTTGATGAGGGCCAGTGAGCAGGATGAGAAAAATAATTCACGCCTGTTCACAATTGCTTTTTGGAAGTAGGAATGTTACATTGTCCCATGTTTATACTGGGACTCAAGCCAAATGGTAAGGTCAACTGAAGTTGGGGCTTCAGTGTTGTGACTTCACTTTTTAGGGGCTCCACTTGCCTGACTCCATTGAAGAGAAATGTATGGAGTTTACATGGAGAAATTTGAATCCATTTTCAGGGGAGTCATTCCTGGACTTCAGGGTTAGAACTCCTGAATCACTGTGGATCTGTTCTGCAGTATTAAAAATAGAATTCAATGGGGGGAGAGGGAATAAAGGAGAATGATGGAGGGGGTGAATTTAAGATACATTGTAAGCATTTTTTTAAATGTCACAATGTACCCCCAGTACAACAGTAATATAATAAAAATTAAAAATAAAAAATAAAAATTACGTATTTTATCTGTCTGGGCTGGGGTTGTAGCTTAGTAGAAGAGCAAGCACTTGTCTAGCATGCCCTGGATTCAGTTCCCAGTAACACAAACACAAACACACTCATGCACATGCTCACACCATAATCTGACACACTTATGCATTGGTTCATTCCTTACAATGTGAAGCACTGTGCTGGTCAGTGAGACTATATAAACATAGGAAAGACGCTGTTCCAGCCTCCAAGAACTTGCAATCTTGTAGATGTTTTAGAACTGCACCAGGACAGGTGACAGAAGTTACAGTGTAGTTGTTGTTTAAGTCAGCTACAATTGCAGGCCTGGGAGGGTTTGGTCAGAGGAGAGCTTACATCCAGAATGCTATGTTTGGAAATAGTAGTTATTAGAAGACTGTGTTTGCAAGAGATTAAGGAGGATACTGCTCAAAATCAGTGGGATTCATTATAAGTTGTTTGAACCAGTCACGTTGCATGTGATCTATAGAAAAATTGGAAGATACAGACGAGCACACCCATCTACGTTATGTACTGTAATGCTACATACCCCGTTATGCACAGATATAAGAAACCACTTAACTGATCTTTTAAGGTCGAATGGGTTTCAGTAGGCATAGACAAGAAGGTGGAAGAAGAGAGGTTTTTTGTTTTATTTTGGTGGTACTAGGGTTTGAGCTCAGGGCCTCACACTTGCTAGGCAGGTGCTCTACTACTTGAGCCACTGTGGCAGCTCTTGTTTTGTTTTTTTTTGAGACAGGGTCTCACTTTGTAGTCCAGGCTGGCCTTAAACTCTCCATTCTCCTGCCTCTTCCTCTTGAGTGCTGGGATTACAGGTGTGTATCATCAAGCCTGGCCAAAAGAGTTTTGTTTTCAAAAAACAAGCACCCAGTCCAGAATTTTTGGTCTATTTTGAAGTCTTAAGCATATTTTGAATAAGAGCCTTTTATTAAAAATTAAGACTCTTTGCCTAAGAAGCTTAAGGCTCAGCTCTGGAAACTTACTTGAGCAAAATGCAATACAGTAACTTACAGAGTAGAAATCAACTTGGGAGACTGGCTGAGAATGTTCAGAACAAGTGTTGAGATTGGAGGACAAGAGGTGATGGAGAGCCCTTATAAAGGATAGGGATGCTGTGAACCAGGGCTTGACTTGAGCAGTGCAGTTCAGACCAGGAACGCAGAATAACTCTCAAGAACTTGCACTGCATTCAGTGGGCTCGTAACCTTTTTGAGCCATTGACTGTTTTGGAAGCATGATGAAGCCTATGAACCACTTCTTAGAATGTTTTTAGGTACGTAAAGTAAATTACCGAATTACAAAAGGAATTGGTGGCTTTATTGAACACATTTCTACATACGTTGAGCATCCTCAACTAAAGGCCTCTTGGTGTACTGGAGAGCCTGGTCAAGGCCTGTAGTGCTGTGATGGCCCATTGTAAGCATTTAATCAAGTGTTGTTGAATTCTGTGAATAGCAATTTATTTTTAAAATATTACTGATGAGATAGTAGCATGTATTCTATCTTTTTTGAAACAGTTGTTTTCATTATGCATCTTATAGCTTATCAGTGAAGGCTCTATGAACAGGACTGTGATAGCATTCTCTGACTTTTTTTGTGAAATGATCTCTTTACAGAAAAAAGATCTCTCAGATCCATTCAATGATGAAGAAAAGGAAAGGCACAAAGTGGAGGCTCTTGCACGGAAATTTGAAGAAAAATATGTAAGATTTCTGTCTTGGGGAACAACACATCCTCATTAGGTGGGAGAGGTCTCCAGACATTTGTATGTTTCTTTAGTGGATTATTATGTGACCAACTCTGATCTGCAAATAAGTGTATTGCGCAGAGAAAACAGCATACGGGGTTTTTTGTTGTTTTGTTTTGTTTTTTGCAGTGCTGAGGTTTGAACTCCTGGCCTCACGCTTGCTAATCAGGCGCTGTAGCACTTGAGCCACTCTGCCACTCTTTTTGAGTTGGATATTTTTGAGTTAGGGTCTTGTGAACTGTTTGCTTTGAACTGCAGTCCTCCTCATCTCAGCCTCTCAAGTAGCTGGGACTACAGGTGTGTACCACCGGCCTAGTCCCTACATGCAGTTATTAAATGAAGGCATCAAGAGACAGAAATCTTCGTGGCATATGAACTAAATGGGCAAATGAACAGAGCCTGTGACCCTGCCTTAGAGGAAGTGTTTTGGTACAAAGCGTAAGAAACTGTTTAGTTTGTTCTTCAGTCTTAGGCCATTTTATACAGGTACAAATATGTCCTATTTTCAAAGGTTTTTAGGGAAGGAGGTTTTGCTTATGACATTTAGTCACTAGCTGATGAAGCTCACTCAGGGCAGCATTTAATTCTGTGTACTTATCAGAAAGCATGTAATCTGTCATTTCTGAATTTCAGGGTGGAAAGAAACGTAGAAAAGACCGCATACAGGACTTGATTGATATGGGGTATGGTTATGATGAATCTGATTCCTTCATCGATAACTCTGAGGCGGTGAGTAGCTAATGAAAATGCATAACCAGAACCACCACATCGTGGTTCCTGTGGATAGTAGCTGGGAAGTGGGAGTGGGCAGAGCAGCATGTTCTCTTAGCATGAGCAGCACTGATGTGACAGGAAGCGACCTCCAGGACTGTGGACTTGGTTCTCCGATCTGAAAAGATGACCATTTCTGGCCAAAAACACATTCCTGATTGGTGGGAGGATGTCTTAACATGCTGTCTGAGGTGTGACAGAAATGGTCATAGCACTTGAGATACAGTTTGCATATGTGGACATGGGACCAGAATTGGAGCTGATGTTATGTTTTCACCCTTCAGTATGATGAGCTTGTTCCTGCTTCTTTGACCACAAAGTATGGAGGATTTTATATTAACTCCGGAACCCTGCAGTTTAGACAAGCATCTGAATCTGAGGATGACTTCATTAAAGAAAAGAAGAAGAAATCCCCAAAGGTTAGAGCGTGCTTGCTTTTGGATTTCAGAAATGCTTTTTGATGTGACCCTTTGAGGTCAGTAGGTGACTCTCAAGAAAGTGCAATGGCTTAGGATGACTCAGGTTGGTGGAAAGGCAGAGCTGTGCCAAGGTGATGTGAAAATGTGGGTGCTGCTCAGCCTTCAGTGATTGTGTCCATGTCATGGACACTCCAGGAACTCAGCAGGGTCATGTCTCAAGGTGGTCTAGGGGTGGGGAGGAAAGCCGTGAGGGTGTGGAGCGAGGGAGCGTGCCCCACCCTTGTTGGCCCTCTTCTGTGCACATGTCCAGGTAGTACCCAGGGCTGTGACTCACTGAGCCAGCAAGCCTTAGGTTGAAAGTATTGTAGGATCTCCCTACCACTGCCTAGTGTTTCAAATGAGAGGTAGGGATCACCTCCAGCTCATCCAAAAGAGCAAGATTTCAGGGGTCAGGTGGTCTCCACCCAGGGCATTTCCAGGAGACGCTGTGGGTTTGTGGTCCAGGGGCTGCTCGAGGGCTTTTCTGTTCACGAAGGAAGTAAGACAGGCCTCAGGATGTGCCCCGGGCGGAGCAAGGCCAGTGCCACGTAGTGCACTTGCTCCCTGAGTCAGGGAGCCGCATAACTGTGCCTTGTCTTTAATTCTCAGAAGCGGAAGTTGAAGGAAGGTGGTGAGAAGATAAAGAAGAAGAAAAAAGATGACACTTATGACAAGGAGAAGAAATCGAAAAAGTCCAAGTTTTCCAAAGCCGGGTGAGAGGCAGCAGCTTTTCGCTAGGATAAAGTCTGACCCTGACCCGTGAGGGCAGGACACCCGGGAGCTGACTCGCCCTCCCCCAACTCTAGAAGAGGCAGCAGGGCCTGGCCCTCCGCACTCCCTCTCGCCTCCCACAGGGCTGTGCTGGGCATAGGCAGCCGTTCTCATCTCTGTCAGATGGCCAGAGGTCCTCTGTTCCACTGTCGGTGTTGGTGGCTATTTCTGTCACTTGTGATTGCTGATGTTCCTTGTTCTCTCGGGCACTCCCCTCTGCCCCAGTTCTTCTGTCTGTGCTGTTCTCCTGTGTTTTCTCTGGCCATGCTTCCTTCTCACTCAGTCTCACCCCAGCTGCCTTCAAGTTGCTGCTGCTCTCTGCTGCTCCTGCTTTCTTCCTTGAAATTCCTTTCTTGCCCCTCACCCCTTTTGCAACCTTTTATTTCAGCCTGGCAGTGGTTCTTAAAAATCCATCGGATATTTAGTCTCATGTGACACTGTGCTAACCTGTATTCACTCTCAAGCTTTGGTCCAGCAAGAACGAGCTCCCTATGCCAAGAGGAGGGAGGAATGATAACAGGGTGGACTGACTGAGGCTCTCCTGGAGACCTTGCCCTGGGAGCAGGGGTGAAGCCTCTGGAGTTTCCTTTGAGGGTCCTGCATCCTGAGTAACCATTTCCCTCTTGCTTGCAGCTTTACAGCCCTCAATGCCAGTAAAGAGAAGAAGAAGAAGAAGTATTCTGGGGCCTTAAGTGTTAAAGAGATGCTGAAGAAATTTCAGAAGGAGAAAGAGGCTCAGAAAAAGAGGGAGGAGGAGCGTACCCCTGTAGCAGTCACGTCGGCAGAAGCTCAGAGCCTGAGGGAATTGGAGGGCACCTCTGACCCCTTGCTCTCACTCTTCGGCTCCACTTCTGACAATGACCTGCTCCAAGCTGCCACTGCCATGGACTCGCTGACTGATTTGGACTTGGAGCACCTGCTCAGTGAGTCTCCAGAAGGAAGCCCCTTCCGAGATATGGATGATGGAAGCGATTCCATTGGGGTGGGATTGGACCAGGAATTCAGGCAGCCCTCTTCCCTCCCTGAAGGCCTGCCAGTGCCCCTGGAGAAGCGCGTTAAGGAGCTGGCTCAGGTATGGTGACCCAGTGTGGCTGGGCTTTCCTGGAAGCAGTATGGGCAGATTGGCATTGGTTCTGCACTGTGTGAAGCTCAATGCCCAGAGAAACCCTTAGTGAGCTGGCAGTGAAAGTACAAGGTTTTCCAAGCTCTGCTCTTGGCCGGAGTGAGGAAATGGTGTAAGTGTTGCCCAGCAGGCTTCATTTTTAGGCTTTTTGTGGTTCCTTCACTTCTGGAAAATGTACTTTCTTTTTGGGAACGTTTTTTCTCTTTTCATTTTCTGCCCATCAGTTTCTTTCCCACACAGTATCTTTCCTTTCGTGCAGTAGACCAGCATGATGTTGGCAGTGGGCAGCTGAGGCAGAGATTCATCTACTTAGAATTCTTTTGAGAATTTGGAAAGTCATTAAAGTTTATAAATATGTAAGGTGAACACAGTGTTTGCTTTGCTGCCACTGGGTTTCTGTTGCTGCCTTGTGTTGGGTGTCATCATTGTTGGTAATGACCCAGATAGACCTACATGGTAGCAAACAGAAAGGAGCTTAACGTGAATGCTGTCCATACCATCAACAGCAACAACCGTTAGCACAGAGCAGCTGTTGCTGCTGCTTTCCTCCAGTGTTCAGCACTGATCCCTAAGTGCCAAAACAGCTAGTTCAGTGATACAGCACTAGCTATGAGCCGGGTGTGGTCGTGACTTGTGACGACATTACCTTTCAGTTAACATAACATTTTACCTTAGGCATTGTGGTTCTCCTCATCTCCAGTGCCGTTTATACGTAAAAGCTGTAAGCTTGAGCCAGTGGCTTTCATAGCACTTTCAGAACCGCCGTTACACACCATGTCCTTTATGTTTCAGGGCAGGGTGAAATGTCAACCACTGCTGCAAATGATTTTCTCACTTCCAGAAGATACTTGAACACTGTTAGTATACACAGCAGATAGAACGTATTCAGTCTCCAGTTCACCCCTGTTAGCTTGTGTGCAGTGTTGGGCATGTGTTCTATTTGAATGTAATGATTTAAATGAATTGTGCCATGGCAGGCATTCGGGATATATCTTAATGAGATTGAGGTGGATGGAGTTAAAACTGAATTTGGCATGTTTGGGTATACTCTCCTGCCTGTATTTGTTCTCAGAATTCATGTTAAAAAATATTGGTTATTGTTCTTTTCAATCCTCTGGTTTGTAATCAAATTGTTTGTCATCTCTGCAATTGTTAATGAAGTAAGGACTATGTGACAGTAGACAGTTGCTTTTTTTAGAGAAAAATCGAAACAGAATTTTTGAGTATGTCCTCATTCCCACCAGAGGCTGTGTTCTACTGTAGTAACTTAATACTCTTGATTTCACTTTCTTGGGAAGGATGGATAAAAAAAGATGAAGATACATTTCATAGGAATATAGTACCATAGCCTGAAACAGTGTTGGGCTGCAGTGCAAGAATGCCTCCCTGGGTGGACGTGCTTTGAGCAAGCTGTCCCTCCTGAGTGATGGAGTTCAGGATCCCTAGACAAAATGGACTGGGATCCTGGGGGCAAGATAGTAACTAGAGAGGTTGACACTCGGATTGAAAATAGAGTGTTCAGATATGAAGCTGATACTTTAGTCTTCACCTGGAGCCACTCCAGTGGTAGCATTAGAAACTGGAAATACATCACCCCACCAGGCTAAAGATAATTTCAATTTACATTTTTCCTTTCTAGCCTCTGTGTGTGTCTTTATGTAGTTGTGGTTATAGTTGTAAATAATTGTTTCCTGATTTTTTTCACTTAATAAATATTATTGTAAAGCCCTCATTATTTTTAATGGTTGCATTAAGAAGGCTTATTTTAGAGAGTAGCTTAATGCCATGCCAAAAGGGTCCTCAGATGCTCTGTTCCAACCAGGTCATTGTGTTTGAGGCGCCTGGAGCCTCAGGTGTGTGCATGGTGCTCTGGACCCCCAGGCCCTGTTGAGAACCCATTGGGAAAGCCGGTCTTCCCAGGGAATTGCTCGGCACACAGCAGATGTGTGTGTCCCCTAAGCTACTTAGCTGTGTGGATCCTTAACAAGGAGCCTGTCCTAGATCTTGAAAAGGACAGTGCTTTTTAAGCTGAACTTAATGTGGAGAACTGGATCGTTAGCAGTATTACATGTTTCTCAGTTTTTCGCTCTTCTTATCTTTCCTTTTTTCCCCCTTACTTTATTTTTATATTAGGTTGGTTAGATTTTAAACCTTGGACCTAGATGATTCATGCACACGTCCAGTTCTATTGCTGTTCAAAGACAATGGTCCCAGGCCAGGCACCAGTGACTCAACACCCGTAATATTAGCTACTCGGGAGGTTGAAATCAGGAGGATCAAGGTTTGAGGCCAGCCTGGGCAAATAGTTCACAAGACATCATGCCCCGTAACCAGAGCAAAATGGACCGGAGGTGTGGCTCAAGCGGTAGAGCACCTGCTTTACAAACATGAAGCCCTGAGTTCAAACCCCAGTCCAACAAAAAAGAAAAAGGAAGAAAGCAAAGGACCCCAAAACTTTGGCTTAGCAGTGATGCATTGCCTGGCTGGGTGGTTTCTTTCTGATCCTGCCTTGGCTCAGCCTTGTGGCTGCCTTCAGCCAACAGGTAGGTGAGTGCTGGCTGGGCCTTCCTGTCTTCAGACCTTTCATTCTGGGCTTCCTCAGGGCATGGTGGTCTTAGCCTCCTCAGCATCTCAAGAGGGTGAAGGTAGAAGTTGCATGTCCTGAGATCTCGCCATAGAAGTTATATGTATCACATTGCCTCTGTCACACTTTCATCAAAGTGAGTCACAAGGGCAGCCCAGGTTCAAGAGTTGGGAAGCTAGGTTCCCCCTTCTGACAGAGGTGGGTTTCTCCATGGGGGAAGTTTATGGTTCTGTTTAGCAGTCTACCACAGTACATAGCAGATTCTGCTCTGATGTATAATGATCCCTTAGGGGAAAAAATAACTTTTTTATGGAAAGTAAAAAATTGATTTATCTTCTGACTAAATGTGATACTTAAAACTTTACAAAATGTCTTGGAAAATGTATGTATGTTAAAGAGGTGCTCCCCAGAGGGCCACCCTTGTCGATACCCATTCAGTGTCTACTGTTGACTTCTAGTTAGTCCAGTCTTCATTTATTATCCTTTGGGTACATTTTCATGGACCCCAGGGAACGCAGTGATTTGAAGCCCTTACTCTGACTCCTTTAATGGGCTTTGATTGTGTCTTTTGTCTTGGTTGTTGGATGTGCAGATGTTGAGAAAGCAAGTTTTATTTCAGGTTCTTATGTTGATGTATCCCAGCAGCTGCTCAGCTTGGTCCTCTGCAGTCAAGCAGCGAACAGGAACCATCTAAGAACAGAAGAGAAACAAATTCCATAGCATCTCTCCCTCTACTAGCTTCTTATCAGTTAAAACCCCGACATCACCAGAAATTCAGGGAGGGGGTAGCTAAAGAGAATGAGGTAGAAAAAACAGTGTATCTGATCTGTTTTTAAGAAGCAAATCATACCAGATTTTATTCTGTTCAGTAAAGACAAGTACAGTATGTAAGATTTTGAGCGAGGCCCTGAAAGGCTATAAGTCCATTTTGTAATAAAACAGCACATTAGAAGGCTGTGAGAGGGCTGGCCGAGCGACTCCAGTGGTAGAACACCTGCATAGCAAGTGCGAGGCTCTGAGTTAAAGCTCCATTATGGCCAAAGAAAAAAGGCTATTAGAGACCAGCTGCATATCCCTATAGTAGTGCAGTTACTCAGAAGGCTATGGCAGGAGGATTTCTTGAGCCAGGGGTTCAGGACCAGCCTGAGCAACATAGACCCTTTCTCTAAGAAAGGGGAGAACCCTTGGAACTATTGTAAATCAGCATGTTTAGGGTATTTGATTTAACTTCATTCCCTAGTTAGTTTAGGATTGATTCATTTATACAACTCCTAGGGCTAAAATATCTTCTCTTAGGGGTGAGGAAGATTCAACTATAGACCCAATTGCTTTTCTTTTTCTTTTTTGAAGACAGGGTCTCACCATGTAGCCCTGGCTTCAAACTCAAGATCTTCGAGTATTGTGTTTACGGGTGTGCACTATGCCTGACTTTTTTTCAGTACTGGAGATTGAACCAAGGGCCTCATGCATGCTAGGCAAATGCTCTACTGCTGAGTTACATCCCCAACCTTTATTTTAAATTTTATTTTAATTTGAGATAGAGTCTCACCAAGTTACTTAGATGGCCCTCAAACTTTCGATCCTCCTATTCAGCCTATGGAGTAGCTGAAATTACAGACATGCACCACCAAGCCTAGCTTCAATTGCATTTTTTTTTTTTTTTTGATGACACTGAGGTTTGAACTCGGGTTCACACTTGCTAGGCAGATGCTCTTACCACTTGAGCCACTCCACCAGCCCTCAGTTACTCTTTTCATTAGATTTATTTAAATTTATAGGACTTAACTAATTATCTTCATTATAAAGCTAGCATATTGCCTATGCAATTCAAAAGGCTTCAGCGGAAAATCTTTTTGCTTGGGGCCGGCCTTTGACTCCAATCCTCCTACTTTTGTCTCCCACATAACTAGGATTACATGGGCTCACCACAATGCCCAGCTCCTAGGAAAATCTTTTTAAAGACTGTCTATACAGAAAGCTTCTGAAGTATTGGAGAAATGGCCAATATCTAAAAATAGTTTGTTTGAAAACTTAAGCTGTTGATGGGGCATTGAAGTACCTGTTTAGGGAATTAATTAGTTAAATGCTTCTGATCTTAGAACTAGCAATGTAAGTGTAAGCAAAAGAATGACTCGGTTTTATTTTCTCTCAAACTAATCTCAAAATTCTGGCTCCTTAAAAGTACAAGGTGGAATTTCGAATGCTTTGAAAGTTCGAGAAGTTGTACATGCCTTTTCTTTCTGCCACATCACACCTTTCATCTGCAGCCTCTGGGCTGTCTTCCTGTTAGGGCATCTTCAGAAGCTGGAGTTTTGCAAATCTGCAAGTTGTTTTTGGTTGGACCTTATTAAGCTTTTCTTTCTCTAGTTTGCCTTAGAGTGATAGCTGATCATTTGCTTGTTGATTTATCTGTCCACTCACTGACATTTATTATGTATCTATTACATGATGGACAGCTGTAAGAAATGTATTGACATATAAGAGTCCTTTCTTGTCCTCTGTGAGTTTATTAGGTAAATTGATGATCAACAGGTAGACAACGGGCTGTAGTACAACAGAGTGAAGTATGCTGTGTGGGTTTGGATGGCTGACTGGCTGGCCACGTGGATAGCCAGACTTGAGGCCAAAGAGAAGCTCTAGGGGTGCCTAGAACTAGGGCTAGAGGCTATGCCCGTGGCTCTGTGGGAAAGATGGTCTTGTCATAAGGCAGCGCAGAGATGAGGATGGGTGTGTTGGACAGTGGGATCCCCCCAGAGTATGTTAGGAGGTGAAAGCTGGAGGAATGGCTGGGGCCAGATCTTGGAGGACTCTATATGCTTAGGAGGGAATTTGGTTTAGATGTACCCTTGGAAAGAGACACTAAAGGGCTCTGAGAAAGGAAATGGGAGGATATAAGAAGGCTGGGCACAGGTAGGAGAAGTTGGGAGCCAGGAGGACAAGCAGAAGTTGGTGGGTCTGGTTTTAGATGAATGAGTTGAGTTTACACAGCAGAGAGTCACCCACCCCTTCACAAAAGTGATTGGCAGCGACTTGAGGTAGTTGGAAATCCTGTCCAGAGCTTAGAAGACAGGATTTGGGGCTTAGAGGTTTAGATTGACAAATGTGTATGTTATTTTGTAATTACAGTGGGGGGAGGTGGGGAAGAAGTTATGGGGAGAAGTGAGTTCTAAATAAAACCTGGGAGGGGTAGGAGGGGGTCGTTCCGTAGTAAAGGAGCCGGCAGAGCAGACAGGTGGAGTTGTCACAGAGGCTGGGAGGGACCCAGGGGTGCAGTCAGAGGAAGGTGGGGGGTTGATTTTAAGACTGATCTCTTCTTCCTAGTTACTTTCTTACCTCTGTTTGCCATTATTGTTCTATGTCAAGTCTGGTTTTAGATATTTCATTTTGCCTAAAGCCTCTAAACAGGCAACTCTCTGGATGAGTGGTATTCTCAACCATCTCTGCACAGTAGAGTGACCAGGTTGCACCTAAAGAGCTCTGCTACTTGGGCCATTTTGAAGGAATACACACTCTTGAATCTCGATCTCAGAGATTGTGGTTCGGTTGATGTGGGATTGGGAAAGCGGCTCAGGTAATTCCCACATGCAGCCAGGAGTGAGGCTCACCAGTGGTGGTGGTTTCAGGCTTTGCTGCTGGGGTCAAGTCAGAGTTCTTCGGGTTTGCTCTCTGGAGCATCACCTCAGGCAGGATGGTATGTCACTGTAGTGGTAAGGCGTGAGTTCATGGGATACCGGAAGTAGATTCTGAATTTTCAGAGGACAATAATGTCCTTAAATGCTAAAGCTACACATTATTTTTAATTGCTATCATTGGTGGATAAAAGCACTTAAATCTTGTAGGTTTGTTGAAGCTCATAGTTGTTTTCATACTGTTGACATTTGGGACAGCTCCCAGTGTAGTTGATAGAGAGGGCACAGGAGCCAGGCAGCTAGAGCTGGCCTCTGATTGCCTCAGGATTGCTTGACCTCTGTGTGGCTTTCTGTTCAGCGACTGCTGTTTAAGTTCTGGGAAGCTCATTCACTAATGCTGCAACTGCTTTGAAAAAAAGAGCACTGATCACGGGGGCCCTTCATCAGCGACCAGGCCGAGTCAGCATGATGGTGGGAGGTTTGATCCATAGGTGCCCTTAGGGAGTGATGGCTCTTGTGCCTGTGGGTGAGTGTGAGGGATGCATGGGGAAAGGGCACTAATGACTGTCACTATCTGCTGTGAACCAGGCTGCCAGAGCTGCCGAGGGAGAGAGCAGACAGAAGTTCTTCACCCAGGATATTAATGGCATCCTACTAGAGTGAGTATCGTTTGTATCTGCTATTACCATGCCTGGGTGAGTAGGCCAGGGGAGTGAGGGAGTACACAGTTAACTACATACAGTTGACCAGCAGGGAGAGTTGGTTAATAGGGTTTTGTTATTGGTCCATTGAAACAAAGCAGAACGAGCACACTAAACACCTGTCTCCAGGAGTGATGGACCTTACTAATCTTTGGCCACAGGCGTAACTAGAACACTGTGCACGTAGTCATGGTCTGTTGGAAGAGAATTTCTTGGCAAGTGAGAGGTGAGATGAGAAGAGGGAGAAGTGGTTATCTACGTCCTGTCCCAGAGAATCCAGAAGAATGAGTGACAGCCTGGTACCTCTGGGCCTGCTCTGCACTGGGGTGTTCTCTGCATCCCTGCTTGTTCTTCTTTTGTTTTCACTTCTGCTCCCAGAGCCAAGATACCTCAATCATCCTGTCACACTGCCCCCTAAAGCCTGGAACCTTTGAGGTACTGCACTGTGTGACCTGGATTAAAAAGCAAAAAGCCAACGGAAATCTAGACCAGATTGCTGAGCTGGCCCGCTTCACAGCCTTTCTCTTGGCTGAGTTACATAGCAGGAGAAGCATGTCACTCAATGGCTGAGGGTTTTGCCTATGTCAGAACAGTTATCAGCACTTAGGAATGTTCTAGCAAGTGGTCTTGCTTGGCCAGGATGTGGCTTGGCTGCTTGGATCAGAAAACACAGGCCACAGGAGATGAGAGGTTTTTGTCAACAAAGAACCCACTTGAGTATGACAAATATAGAGAGCTCAGGCCTTAAAGAGAAGTGTCTTTCTGCTTATCCGGCTGGGAAAACTGGAGGGGCAAGGATTTCCCTGACTACCTAATCATGGCTAGAACTGGGAACTAGAAAAAGAAATACTGCTGGAAAGTGTTTCCTGCCAAGCCCAAGTAACTCATTACTTTCCACGTTTAAAAGCCTTTATGTTTTCTTTGTTTATGGAATTTAGCACTTAGAGAGCTGTTCTCTTGGGCTTTATGTATTTGTTTGTTTTTTGACTACTTTTGACTTGGTCCTGTCCTTGACCTGAGACCCCTTTTTCTAGCCAAGTTCATGGAGTTTGGGAGTTGTTCTTGTTTGTTCATTGTTGAACCCGTCAGTTGCATTGTATGACCAATAATACGAGGTTTGGCCTACTTTTGGCCTCTAGCTTTTCTCTCCATGTGAGGTGACCTAGGAAGAGAGAGGCTATAGCAAGCTGCAGGCTGTTGATGACTCTGTTCTGTTCTTCAGCATAGAGGTACAGACACGGGAGCTGAGTAGCCAAACTCGTTCTGGGGTATATGCCTATCTTGCTTCATTCCTGCCCTGCAGCAAGGATGCTCTGGTCAAACGTGCCCGCAAACTTCACCTCTATGAACAGGTGGGTGGCTTTGGGGCCCAAGTGAGTGATGGCTGACTTTATCTAGGAGCCACCCCTGTTGGAGTGCTGCCTCCCTTTGATGACTCCTGTTGTGCACTGTTGAAGCTGTGATACATGAGTCAGACCTCTGCTGTGTGCTGCTCTCTGCAGGGTGGGCGCCTAAAGGAGCCTCTCCAGAAGCTCAAGGAAGCCATTGGCAGGGCGATGCCTGAGCAGGTGGCCAAGTACCAGGACGAATGCCAGGCACACACGCAAGCAAAGGTTGCTAAGTAAGTGTGTCCCAGTGCTCATGCATGCCCTTGTCCTCCTGTGCCTCCTCTTTTCCCCACACTTCTCAGTGTTGCTCACAGTTCCAAGTGAGACTCTTGGCCCTCCCATAGCATCTTCACTCTCTGATCTCAGAATTGAGGGAAGAGTTACGTAAAGGAGGAGGAGGGAGGGGATGGTAGAAGGACCTCAGACTCTATTTACTTCCGTTCCCCCTGTAGGATGCTGGAAGAGGAGAAGGACAAGGAGCAGAGAGAACGGATTTGTTCTGATGAGGAAGAAGATGAAGAAAAGGGGGGCAGGAGGATAATGGGACCCCGGAAGAAATTCCAGTGGAATGATGAAATCAGGTGTGCCCAAATTGGGACCTTTCCTCATTGGATTGTTTGTGGGCCAGTGTCTGAGCATGTTCCCATATGGCTGGTGAAGGTTCGGATCACTGACTTTCATGGGGCCTGAAAGCACACGATCGAAGCCTTGCAGAAGCACTGGGGTAGTTGGAAGTGTCTGATTTCTGCCTACTCCTCAGGGAGCTTCTGTGCCAGGTGGTGAAGATCAAACTGGAGAGCTATGATCTGGAGAGGAACAACAAGGCCCAAGCTTGGGAGGACTGTGTGAAGGCCTTTCTGGATGCCGAGGTCAAGCCTCTCTGGCCCAAGGGCTGGATGCAGGCCAGGTGAGGGCCAGCTTATTGAGGTGGGCTGTCGGGCAACAAATCTAGTGCTGTTTTTGTAAAGTTGGGCTGACGGAGTCACTGTCTAGTTGACTTAACTCTGATGTCACCCAAGTAACTGGGGGACATACTGGAGCCATTGAAGGGGTCTTCTGTAGAAGGAGGGTTTTGTCGTTGTTTATCTGGCTTCAGTTTGGAATTGGCTGCGTGTGCTTCTCATCACAGTGTACTTCCTGTTGTGATGTAATGACTCCTACCAGAGGCTGACATGGAGTCATCTTGGGAACTTAATGGTCCTGAAAAGTCTCATTCACAAGAAGCAGGGCTGACTGCTTCCTGGACCTAAGTGCTGGGCTTCCGTCCCAGAAGCCACTTCCCATGATGAATGGAGTGCAGGGCGGGAAATATGAGCTAGCGCTCATCTCCACTGGACCTGATCACCTATGGTTCAGACAAATGACAGAGCTCAGGGCTTGCTCTTCTCTCCTCGTGGTTGGATTTGAAAAGTTCCTCTGGAAAAAATGGCATTTTCTCCTTGGGAGTAGCAGCAAGGAAAGTGCTGCTGCCTTAGGGGTACAGTGGCCATGAGAGGCCAGGGCAGAGGCATAACTAACCTTTCTTGGGAAAACCTCTCTAGCCTCCTGGTTTTGAGGTGGCTGCTGGGGCCATTTGAAACACTCACAGGAATTGAGCTAGATTTCTGAGGAATAGCCAGGGCCTCCAGAATAGTTCTGGATGCAGAGTTATGATGGCCAGGGGCAGGCCAGTGCTCAGCATTCTGTTTATTTCAGGACTCTGTTCAAGGAGAGCCGAAGAGGCCACGGGCACCTGACGTCAATCCTGTGAGTGTCTCAGTCTTTCCACTTCTTGGGACACTGTTGTTTTTCTCTCCTGTGGACTCCGCTGAACCTTTTCTGTGTTTATTCCTTTGAACAGGGCCAAGAAGAAAGTAATGGCTCCTTCTAAAATCAAGGTGAAGGTGAGTCATCCTGCTCAGGTCACCTGCTAGCTATTCTCTTCTCCCTGCAGCCGTGGTCAGGAAGCCTCCTGAGTGACCATGGCAGCTCACTGAACTCATTCAGATGACATTCTTTGAACTTATCCCAAGGCAGAGTCCTGAGTTGGGCCACTTAACCCCACTAGCCTCACTCGGTTCTACACAGTGATGCCCCACTGGCCTTGCTCCTGGGGTGGTGTGGGACTCAGTGGAGTCTGTGGCCTCCTTCCTTGGAGGGAGGGCCCTGCAGATGTGAAGGTCACACCTGTGTGCTGGATCTCTTTGTCAGGAAAGTACTACTGGTCAAGTCCTCTTAGCCTGGAGCAGCAGCAGAAGAGAGAGGTGGACCTGTTGAGCCACCTAGCCTAGTTGCAGAGAAGTGCAGGAGGTGCAGCAGATTGGTATGAAAGCCACCTTAGGGAGGGCAGAAACCTCAATATGGAGAATGTTGCCACTTACAAGTTTTTACCAATTCTTGAGGCTTTGTGGTTCTCTTAGTGAGAATAAGACGTATAACTCATTTACTCCTGAGTCTCTGTCCAGCTCCTACAGTGTCTGTGACACACTGTTAATTAAGTACCAGGGGTGATAGGATGGATTCCATTCCTGCTGCCAAGAGTACTGAAGAGAGACGGGTGCTCAGAAATACACAAGAGGGAAAGAAAACTCATTTGCGGTGGTTCTCATGGCACGTGACAGTCTGATCAGGAGCGCTCGAGATAGTATGAATGCCAACAAGCTGAGTGTGTCCTTGTGCAAGTTTTGTACTTTTCCAGAAACAAAGGAGAAAGGTTCCTGGCCAGGGGGCAGGCGGGTACTGTACTTAGCAACAAAACATGCCTGGGGCAAACATAGCAGACAGCACTCAAAGGCAAGACGGGCCTGACCCCTGCTCTCATCTACCCCTTGCTTTGGAGTGACACAGAAAGGCTTAGAAGGCTTCGCAGCTCGTGTTCTTATGTTTGCATCCTTGCATCCAGCCAGGGTTGGTACCTTAGGACATTCCTAAACATGAGTTTTTCTGCTTTCCTTTAGGAATCGTCCACTAAGCCTGATAGGAAGGTTTCCATCCCATCAGGACAGATTGGCGGCCCCACTGCTTTGTCCTCAGAACACCAGGGAGGAGGTCTGAGCATTGGGGCCACCAGCCGGGAGCTCCTGTCCCAGGTGTCTGGTGGCCTTGCTGATCCTGCTTCTGTCAATCTGGAGGACTCCTTGGATGAAGACTTGGTCCGGAATCCCGCCTCCTCGGTGGAAGCTGTGTCTAAGGAGCTGACCGTGCTGAATAGCAGAGCAGCTGGAAGCTCTGAATTCACACTGCCTGCAACCTCCAAAGCACCGGCAGAGAGAGTCACGGGTGCTTTGTGCACAGAAGAGAAAAGGAACTTTGTTAAGCCCAACCCTTCTGTACCCCCACCTGCTAGCACTCTGCAGTCACCCCTTAATTTTCTGGCTGAACAGGCTCTAGCACTGGGGCAGTCCTCTCAGGAGAAAAAGCCAGAGAGTTGTGGCTATAAAGAGCTGTCCTGCCAGCCTCCCCTCAGCAAGGGCCTGCCTGAAGTGCACACGGCCAAAGCAAAGCACCACAGCCTGCCACGGACGCCTCATGGGCCCCAGACCACGACTCCTGCGCCTGGCCCCCAAGTCAAAGTCTTTCATGCAGGCACTCAGCAGCAGAAAAGTTTCAATCCTCCAGCCCCATTTGTCAACAAGCTGCAAGGCCCCAAGGCCTCCTCTTCCCAGTGTCATCGTTCTCTCTTGCAGCTGGTAAAGACAGCAGCCAAAGGCCAGGGCTTTCATCCCTCCACACCAACCTCCTCAGGAGGCCCACCTGCCATCAGCAGCAGCTCTCATAAGACTCCAGCCTCGTCATCCAGTGCCCTGAGCCATGCAACCAAACAACATCCAGCCATGTCTGCAGGGCCGTCATACAAGAGTAACCCCTTTGCAGGCTCTGTCTCCAAACACGGAGCTTCTGGCAGCCCTTCTGGAGCAGGGCCAATGCAGAGCTCTGTCTCTGGGAGCCTGCTCCCAAACATACAGCCTCCCTCCACGGGGCAGCCTGCCAGCCGGCCCATACCAAGCTCAGCAGTGAAAAAACCACCTGTTTCCCAGAAGCTGACTCTGGTGGCCCCTCCCGGTGGTCCAAATGGAGATTCTGGTGGTGGGACCCAGGGAGTGGCAAAGTTACTGACCTCCTCCCTGAAGCCTGCCGCGGTTAGTAGTGTGACACCGTCTACCTCCTTGCCAGTGAGTATCCCAGCAGTGCACTCACAGGGGCCTCATAGATAAGGCTGCTTGTGTTACCCTGGGCTGAAAATGTGGGTTGAAACACACAGAGGAACAGTGAGCTCAGACAGGGAAGAAAGACTGGGCTTTTTCTGCACAGTCTCACTTTTTATGGTGGCAGGAAACTCGGGATAACCGACCATCTTCTTAGCAGGTGAATGGAATCAAGGCACCAGACAATACCAGGCTTGTAGAGAGGCTGGATCTGAGAGATACAGTGGGCCACAGAACCTGCCTTCTGTGGCCTCTTACCTGTGCATCTCTCCACACAAGGGATGGAAATGCTGTCACCTGGAAGGTGGTAGTTGTGTGGAAGTGCTTATGCCCCTGTAATAGCATCCTTCTGAGAACTGAGTGGCAGTCAGTTCTCTGATTGGCTTTAAAAATCTCTGTAGGTCAGAGGTAGCTTGACAGATTCCAGCAGCTAATGAGTGCTGTGGAGGTAAATTATAAGAAGTTTGGATCCGGGCATGGTGGCATACACCTGTAATCCTAGATACTTGGGAGGCAAGACAGGAGGATTGAGGCTTGAGTTCAGCCTGGGCAGTTAGCAAAACCCTGTTTTAAAAACACTGAAAGCAAAAGGACTGGGGGTGTGGCTCACGAGGTAGAGCACTTGCAGAGCAAGCTTGAGGCCTTGAGTTTAATCCCCAGTAGTGCAAAACAACAACAAAGGTTTGGTCTCAGGCTGGGGAAATGGGAGAGCTTTTTTTCTTTTTCTAGTATACACAGAGAACTGTAGACAGGTCTGGCCAGGAAGTCTCCCTTCCCTCTTCTTGCTCCCGCCATTCCATAAAGTAACTATGCCCATTTGTTTCCGGGTTTTTTTTTCCTGGAAAAGAAATTTGTATTTGTTATATATATTAATATGACAAATACATACAAAAATATGAGTATATATATGCTTATATATATTTTTGTGTTTATGAATATAAACTTACTTTTTTTATTTTCACAAGGGAGGCGCATTTAGTGTTCTACTTTTAAAAATTAACTCTGGGGCTAGGGGTTGTGGTTCAAGTGGTGGAGTTCAAACTCCAGTACCGCTCGCCTTCCCCTCTCTGCCAAAAATAACTCTGTACCCTGGTACTCATGCCAGGCCAGTTCACAGACTGTCATTCTTTTGGGGCTACAGAATAGGAAGGTGCTTTCATGGGGGCACTGATTTTTGTGTCCCCATCATTCATGTGATCAGGTTTGGGGTAAGTCAGCAGGACCAGGGTTCTGACCACATGACTGTTTTCTCCCCAGAAAGGAACAGGTGGGGCTGTGCTGCTGACCAGCTCCTCTCCCTTAAACCTGCTGTCTTCATCTTACAAGTCCAGCAGCCCCAAGCTGCCTGGGGCAATGAACTCTAACTCGCTGGGGATCATAGCTCCCGTCCCATTCCCACTGCACGTGCTCTCCTTCAGTGCGGACTCCTCTGCCAAAGCAGGGGTCTCCAAGGATGCCATTGTCACAGGCCCAGCCCCTGGGACCTTCCACCATGGCCTCAGTCACAGTAAGTGCCTGTCTTCTGTCTCTGGTCCTATGTTGTGTGCTGTGGGTCCTGTGTGTGTCTGGTGTGACCGTGGGAAGTATCCCCGGGAGCCTCTGAGCCCTTACCTTTGGGTTTGGTTCCTAGATTGGTCCTGCAGGTCTGGGGCTGTGAATGCCAGAACTGCTTTTCTGTTCTGTCTTCAATGTGTGTGTTTTGTTCTTCTCTCCCTCCCATTTCTCTCAGGTCTTCTGGCTGGCTTGCATTCCAGCCCGCCCCATGCAGCACCTCTCCCACATGCTGCCGTGTCCACCCATGTCCCGCAGAGTCTGCCAGGTAATCGTCAGATGGGCAGTGTGCTGTGCGCTCTGTGCGCTGTTTCCCTCCACCTTTAGGTGCTGTGTCTGCTGCTGGGTCGTTCAGTGTCTTTGCCTCGTCATCACTGTATTGTCGTCTTGCTTTGTCCTTTTAGAGTCTGGCTTTGTTAGTATCAGAACAACACAGTTCTCTAGCACTTAGAGACTTCCTCTGGCTCCAAGTTGGAATGGATACTGGGTCAGACTTAGCCTATGTGAGCACAGAAAGTTGTGGGGCCTGAGTGCAAGAAAGAGATGGTCCAACCCTTACCATGCTTTGTCCTCTTTAGTTAAAAAGAAGAAAGAGAATGGCGAGTTCTTCCAAGGGCTAATTGGGCTCTACAGGGCCTTCACAGCAAAGCACACACCTGGGCATCAGTTAGCAGAGGTTCTGTATCCTTTGTTTCAGTGAGAGGCCACAATATAAGACTTGAGGAAGGACTGCTTATCTCTGAAGGGGCATGGACCCAAGAGAGAAGAGTAAACCTTCCTGGAAACAGAGATTTGGGAGGACGTCAGAAATGAAGCCAGCATTCCCTTGCAGGACGGTGCTTTCAGAAGTAGGGAGCTCTAAAAGCCCTGAGTACACATGCAGCTAGCTTGGTAGCGCAAGAAGTGGCATAGATGCCCCAGGTAAACACCTTGTATTAAGTGGACTTGCTGGGTCCTGTCCTGGATTCTTGGGTATGAGTACCTCATGGAAGTTGGTATAGGAGCCTAGTGGTGTCTTGGTTTTGATCAGGTGTTCTTACCTCTCTAGACCTGCTCCAAACATATCTAGGGGCTATACTGGTAAGAGGAGAGCTGAGCTTAGATAACTCTGTGGATTGGTTGGGTTGGGATTAGGATTCAGACCATGGGGTTGTGTGTGTCCATATTCTGCCACATGGAGGCCTCCTGATCAGTTGTGAGCCCCTGGCAACTATGTCCCAAAGCTGAAACCTCTGTAGTGAATACTAGAGGCCCTCTGGGTGTACAAGAATGGGTTTGTTGATCTCCAAGTGAAAGTTCATCTTCTTTGAGAGGCCGAACCTGTATCAGTAGTTACTACTCTTTTCTCTGGAGCAGCAGTGACATCCCCTACAGGAGTTAAGGGCAGTGTGGGTGGCTCCAGAGCTCTGTTGAGGAGAGTTGTATGAAAATGAGATGGCCTGCCTCTGCTTGCTTTGGGGAGCAGTCCTTTTCAGAGAGAGAGAAAAAATTGAAGAGCTACTGGGAATAGACTCTGGGTCTGAAATTTTGAACCAAAAAGAGAGGAAAAAATAGAAAGTGATAGAAAAGTTTGCTTTCTTATACCCTGTTCCTATTCTTTCCGTGGGTATAAAAGAGCAAGCCATAGAATGCCTGCCTAGCAACTACAAGGCCCTGAGTTCAAACCCCACTACAGCCCCCAAAAAATAAATAAAAGAGCAAGCAGGAGGGCTGAGGATGTGGCTCAGTGGCATGACATTTGTCTAGCATGAGCAAAGCTCTGGTTTCCAGTTCTAGCACCTGAAGACAAAGGCAATCACAAGAGCAGCTGTGCTCAGACAGGTTCCCAGAGCGAGCCGTGCCATACAGGAGGGACTGTTGGGAAGTTCCCTGAATCCAGCATTAAGCTGTGTAACTTGTGTCTGCTCTGCTCCCCCACCACCCTGTGTGGCTTAGTGCTAGTGCCTTTGTTCTTGGCCCTCTGGGACCTGAGGGTGTCTTAATGGCAAGAGAATGACTATTGCTACCCTGAGTCATGTGATCACCAGGCCTTACTGCAGGACGGTGGTTGTCACTGGAGACTTGAGGTGACCTAACTCGTGTTGTAGAGCAGCTTTCTGTGAACACTGCTAAGCGGTCACCTGCTTGCACAGTGCTGGTGCCATGCATGCCTGCCATAAGTAGCAGTGCACACAGCCATTGCCAAGTGTTTTGCTGCTTTTTGGAACCTTAGAACACTTGGTGTTTGGGGATATTTGCTATTTGAGTGTCCCCCTTGAGGTTTGATTATGCTGTCCTAAGAGAATTGGCGCTCCTGAAAGACCTGTATTCTGTTCTTGCTTACTCTCTTCCAGATGCTTCTCAGCTTCACGGGAAAGGGCCTGGTGTACCACGGAAATTGTGACTGTTTCAGAGGACAGGCTGATTGACCTGGGTCTAGGTGGAAATTGAACATATAGGTCTCAGATCATGGACATCTGCTACACTCTTCCTGCCTACTGGTTTTCTTCTGGAGCAGACATGGGTTCTGAGTAGAGTACTTGCTAGCACTTCTGATGTGCCTCCAACTAAGAGAGCAGCTTGTGCTGCTCATGAAGCACTTACTGACCTAGTGGTCTGGGCCTTGTGGCTTTGTTGCTGGATGCTGTCAGGACAGCTCTGGGCTGGGGAACGTGCAAGGCCGTGTTGGGAAGCACGGTGTTCACAAGCTCCAGTGGCAGATCTGTTGGTACAGCTTTATTTTAGATCTGCCCAACTCCTGGCATTTGGTCTGAGCACCTCACAGCGCCCTACTGATCAAGTGCTCCTTCTAGCCACAGTAGGAATCCCTGGATGGTCATGGTGCTGTCCTACCCCCAGGCTGTGTGCTCAAGAGGACAAATCCCAGGCCAGAGCCACAGGTGGGAGACCTACCTTTTGTCTCCTTGCAAAATGCTAAGAACACCTAGTGTGTGCTCCTTGTAGAGGGCCAGGTTCTTCTCTGAACATGACAATGAAGCTCTTATAGAGAAAAGACCTTTGTAGATTCAACAGTTATGGTAGGTTTTACAGACATCTATCTTGGGCTCAGTTTTCACCATGACCATTAAATGCATTGGATTGAATGGGGCTGCTCTTCACACATCTCATTATAGGAAGACATAATTCCAGTGCCTTTATGGTGGAGCAGAATTTGGCAGCATGTCCCTTCAGCGCCCTGCGTGGATCTGAAATGAAGATCTTTTTAAAAGCTGTCTGTGTTTAAAACACAGTCAGTTTTACTTAGTTGAAGTTTCATGGTTGCACATCATGACCTGTGCCGTCCTGACTTGAAGGTTGTCCGGACCCTGAATCCTAGCTCCCAGGTTGAGCCAGGGCTCCCGTTTTGTTTTTCCAGAGTTGGTGCAGGTGCACTGCAGAGCCCCAGAGCCCTTGTGTCTGAGGGCTGAAGGGTTCTGAGTCACAGGTAGACATTCCAGTTGTCTTATTCTTAGAAATTCTTCTTTGGCAGAGCTGCAGGATAGGCCTCTGACGTGTCCGCCACATTGAGCAGGCCTGGAAGTGCTGCGGTTCCCAGGCAGCAGGGTTCATTGTTGACTTGGCGGATGCACAGTGGGGCTGGAGACTGGGTTGAAGATAGGCTAGGACAGTGACTGCAGAATTCCCATCACCAGGCTGGTCACACTTACCCACTGGCCATCTCACAGGGGCTTGGAGGGCCCTTGCCTGGCCTGTGAGCTGCAACATGGCGAGTCTGGCCAGCCGCCAGCCCAGTGATTTGAGACGTGGAGAGTAACGAGCATTCTCTGCATGCACACCTGGGTGAAACAGGCCTGCTTTGGGCTCCTGCCTCCCAGGGTGCAGTGCTCAGCAACTCCCAGCTCCTGTGGAGGTGGCCACCTTCCATCTCTGGGAGCAAGGCCTCTGAGCTGCTTGGCCCAGCCTCTGCCCTGACTCCTTTTGTGCGTGAGCGCCAGTCTGTTTCACACTGGGCCATGTGGGTTCCTTTCCCCTTTATTATAGATATTTTTTGCAACTTGGATCTCCAGTTTGTTTACAGAATAGTCTTAGGTAGTAGCAAAAGAGCCAAAGAAGAGATTTGTATAGCTGAGCTCCAAGCCGAGCCGAGGCTGTCAGCAAAGGCTGAGCGGTGGGAACTCTCCAGGCTCCTCTGCCCATGAACACCGGGCCCTGCCCCCCTTCGGTGCTCCCTCCTCCCCATGTGCCAGAGCGTGCAGCTGGAGCAGGACGCCCTCATCTTTAGGAATCTAGTGATGCCTCTTGCCTCAGGGAAATGTTTCTTTGATGGGGAGTTTATGAGATTTCTTTTTCTTGTTTATGCTTTATTTGTGGTAATGAGAGAGTGAGTGACTTAAACAGCCATGGCAAGGCAGATCTGCAGCTGCAGTGGAGGGTGGGCGGAGCATGCTCAGGGGGCCACAGGTTTCCTTGGCCGCCAAAAGTCTGAGCACTTACCAGGCGTGGCTGTTTCTAAGGTGTGAGAGGGGCTGTGGCTTTTGTGCAGCAACTATGTTGGTGTTAGGATGGTATGAAAATTGTTAATCTTGTATAAAGTAACTCAATAAATGGTTTCCAGGTTTCCAGAATGTCTCTTCTCATTCTTTCTTTCTGCTGTATTTGCAAGTGATGTCTCCTCCTATGGGAGCTGGTATGTGTAGAACAACCATTTTGACTAAAAGCCCAGAGGGAGGGGGAATTCACCTCACATGCAAAGGAGGAAGAAACACACTTGCCAGCAAATTAGAATCAAGCCACCAGGTTTTTATTTCCATGCTATAAATAAAGTTCCCTGTTACCTCCCATTTTCTTACATAATACAAGAGATACGGTTGGAGCATAATAATGGCTTCATATACCTAAATACCAAGGCGATGAGCAAGATGTAGAAGCACTGAAACTAGGCTAACAGCAGTACCCTACTCATACCTGCTACTGAGATCATTTCGGAATCATGAAACAGTCCCTGATGCCCTGTCTTCCTGGGATGGCCTGGCTGACAGGTAGTGGCCACTCTAGCACCAAAGACCAAGCAGTGAGTTGCAGGCCATGAGGCTGGGTATGTCGTGTGGGCAGAGTCGCTGCTGAGGAGGCCTTGCTGATGGAAGGTTGGTTTCCCGGCCAGAAAGCTGGAGCGGTGTGAATGCAGATCCTCAGCCGCAATGGCCCAGTCCTTTGATGAACCAAGAGGGGTGGAAGGGGGGCGTTGTGCCCTCAGTTTCATGGTCTGGTGTGCCTTGAGTGGGTGTCTGCTGCGTCGTCTTGTGCTGCAGTAGTTTTCGGATTGTTTGTAGCCATCACACAAGGAATCTGTTGATGGGAGTGTACGGGTGAGGGAGAAAAAAGGGAATCTTGGTCATTAAATCATTGGAGGTGGGAGTGAGCCAGTCACAGGCTGAATGGGACTGAGACAGAGCCCCTTGTCTTCAGCCTGTGCCTGTGTCACCCATATAAGCTGTGTTCCGAGCAGCCTGATGGGGCGTGGACAGAACGCTCAGCTCAGGAGGAGCTCACACAAGGGCCAGGAACGGAGGCACTCAGGTGGTCACTGGGAAGGAGGAAGCTAGCCGCCTGCCTCCATGAAGGGCTGGGCCGGGCCTACTTCTGCCCAGACACCAAGACTGCCAGCTCCTGAATGGACATATCCTTGTTGACGTAGCGGTCGTACTGAGCAGGGGTCAGCCGGCCGTTCCGCAGGGCATCCTCAATGGAGAACTTCCTGCCAGACTTCCTATCGTGGATCACTGAGGACTCCCCGTGGGGACCCTTGACTGATATCTCCTCCCAGTCGCACTCTTGACTCCTGAGTTTCACAAACATGTTCCAGTCGATGAGCCCCGCGGCGGGCCTCCTCTGGGGACAACTCGCGGCCCGTGTCGGGGTCGATGACCACAATGGAGCGCCGTAGGTGGTTCTCTCTCTGCTCTCTCTTGACGGCCACAGAGCCCAGGCGCCGCTGCAGCTCGTCAATCTCGAGGTCCTTGTCCTTGGACAGCCTCTTGAGGTCGTCCAGCTCCCTCTCCAGGGACCACAGTCTGGAGTCGAGGTTGGTCCCAGAGTCCACCACACTCATCTTTGGCAGGTCTCGGGTGTCTGTCCCAGCTATTTCGATTTCTGATTGGAGCCTGCGGGTTTCCAGCTGCAGGTTTTGCCGCTCCAGCTGCAATTTGTGGTTTTCTTCCCTGAGGAAGTCTAGTTCCTTGGACGACTTGGAGTTGTAGAATTCCAGTTCTGACAATTTGGCCTCCAGCCGAGTCACCTCAGCATCCAGCTCCCTCTTGCTCCGGCTCTCCTCCTCTAGGCTCTTCTTGAGCTTCTGGATCTCCTGCTCCGTGTCGCCCTTCTCCACCTGGACGCTCTCAGAGAAGACCACCTTCTCCTTGACCTCCGCCTTCTCCAGGGTAGCCAGCTTCCTGCGCAGGGGCTCGAGCTCGCCCTCCAGCAGCTGCCGCCGGTGCCGCTCTTCATCCAGCTGGGCTTGGAGCAGGGCGTGCTCCCTGGCCTGCTGCGGGTCCTGCTGCAGCACCACCTTCTGTGTGTGGGTCACCTTCTTGCCGGCCTTGGCTTCCTCCTGCTCCAGCACAGCCAGCCGCTGCTGCAAGCGCTGCACCTCCAGCTCGGCTGCCCTGCGTGCCTGCCTCTCGCGTTCCAGCTCCTCTAGCTGCCGCTCCAGCTCCGCCCGCCTGCGCTGCAGCCGCCGCAGCTCAGCACGCAGCTTGTCGATCTGCTGCAGCTCAGCGTCGATGCTGTCGGTGAAGGCGGTCACCTCGGCCCGCAGGCCTGGCTCCTCCTCATACTGCACCACCTCCTGGTGCACCACCCTCTCTCTCCCCTGCTTCAGCTCCTCCTCCTTGCGCCTGATCTTCTCTTCCTGTGCTGTCTGCTCTGCTGCCAGGTCCACCTGCTTCTTCTGCTCCTCCAATAGCCTTGCACGCAGAGACTCCACCTCGTCCTTGGTTTGGGGGTCTTCCTGGAACTGGAGGATCTCCTGGACCACCTCTCTGGTCTGGACCTGTGGCTTGGCATCTTTCAGGGCCTGGATCTCCTGCTTCAGCTGGTAGATCTCCAGGTCACACCTTTCGATCAGTCTGGTCTTGTCCACGATTTCCTCCCTGAGCCGCTGGAGCTCCTTCTCTGTCTCGGGGTCTGTCGTGTACTTAATGACCTCCTTGGTCACTTCTTTGACTTCCACCTGTGGACCGCGTCTCTGCAGTGCTTCCAGCTCGCTCTGGTAGCTCTTGAGCTGCTCCTCAGTGCCTCTGTACTTGCGCTCCTGCTCCACCAGCTCCAGGCGGAGGTTGGCCACTTCGCTCTCAGCCTTGGGATCAGGCCGCACGATCTCCCGGACTTTCTCCTGGACCACCACTTTGGCATTCTCCTCCTCCAAGGCCCAGATCTTTCGGAGCAACTCCGTCTTCTCCCGCTGGCCAGCACGAGCCTTGGCGGCTTCGTCCTCATACTGGCGGGTGAGATCGCTGACCTCCCTCTCAGCAGCTGGATCCTTCTCCACCTTGAGCACCTCCTTAACCATGATCTTACCCTCAGCCATGGCTCGCTCCTTCTCCAGCCTCCGGAGTTTGGCCTGCAGGAAGCTCAGCTCCTCCTCCTGCTTCTCCTGGAGCTGGCCTTCCCGCTGGTGCTCCTCCTGCAGCTGCCGGTGTTCCGCCTCCAGCTGGGGGTCGTTCTGCAGTTTCACCACCTCCTTCTCTGTGACCTTCTCCTGGGCGCGGCTCTTCTCAGCGGCCAGGGCTGCCACACGCTGCTGCAGGAGGAGCACCTCGGCCTCCCGGGCACCTTTCTGCCGCCGCAGCGCCTCCAGTTCTTCTCGCAGCTGCAGGACCTCGTCAGCCTGTGCCCTGTCGGGCTCGATGCGCAGGACCTCCTTGACCACATACTCCTGCCCCCCGTCCCTGGTCTCCTGCTCCAGGGTACGCAGCCGGAGCTGCAGCGCCTCCAGCTCCTCCTGCAGCAGCTGGTTCTTGTGCTGCTCCTCAGCCAGAGTCTGCTGCAGCTGCTGAAAGCTCTTTTCCAGCTCGGGGTCCGGCACCTTCTTGAGCACCTCCTTCCGGACCAGTGACTCCTGTGGTCCCTGGTTCTGCAGGGTCCGGATCTCCTCCTTGGCACTCCTGACCTCATTCTCCAGCTGCTGCCTCCGCTCAGTCTCCTCCTCCAGTTCCCTCTTGATCTTCCACGCCTCCTCCACTCCAGAGCCTGGCCTGCTCCCTTGCAGGGTCTCCCTAGTCACTTCTGCTTCTGGCTGCTGTGACAGAGAAGACAAGGTGTGGTTAAAGTCAGAAGGGATGTGTTCACCTGGGGACAGGTCAGACTGGTTGCCCTGTGATCTAGGGTTACTTTTAAAGGTGGCCAAACAACTAGACAGGAGTATTAAAATTAGATAAGGCAACGTATTTCACAAGTGCAGAAGAGTGTGAAGTAGAGCTGCAGTCTCCCACCTCTGGCCTGTCCCTAGAGCACGTGTGTCATCTTTGAGATGTCTTCTGTGCTCTCGCTGCTGTGTACGTTTTTAGCGTACCCCACGTGCTGGCGTTTTCTGCACAGACGGCAAGTCTGTTCTGCAGCTGCCGACTGCATGGACCAGAGGGAAAGAACTCTATCCTGGCACAGAAGGCGGACCTCACGTCCACATCAGCACCACCTTGTGCACGTGGACACGATTTCCCCAGCCCACTGCTGGTGAATGTTGACTTGCTCCTAGTTTTGTTTTTTTTGCTATGACAGACAGTGCTGTCATAAACATTAGGGACGCCTGCAAATAGCGAGTGTTTATTGAGTAGATAGGTGTGTTATCCCCAGATCAGTGGAAACGCTGGTTGGGCCAGCGTTTGTGCTGCCATTGCCCCCAGATGTTAGTGGGGGACCCACCCTGAGGTCACAGGCTCTGTCTGAAGCAGAGGTCTGCCTTCATTTCTCACCTGGTAGAACAGGTTTAAGTGGGCTTTCTTACTAAGATGAATTACCTGTCTCAGGAGATGCAGTGCAAACTCCAGATTCTGCAGCCTCTGTCTGTTGATGGCGTTAACTTCCGTGAACTTGGCAGTGAGAGCCGCCTCCTAGAGAGAAGTTTTAGGAGAGCAGTCAGCAGACAGGAGCTAATAGGTGAAGCTAATAGCCTAAGTGAGCTCCAGAATCTGGCAGCTGGGGACAGGGGTGCTTTTCGTCCATTCTCCCTGTTACTGTTCGACCGCTCATCGGTGGGGAGAAAAGTGGACTCAGGGTCAAGGCCCATGTGCTTGAGCAAGTCTGTCCACCTCTGAGCCTTACTGTTCCTGTGTACTTACTGAGGAGAACAAGGTGGGTGCTTCTCATACCTATGGGGCTGGCCCCAGACTCCCAGCAGGCTCTCTTTCTAGGCATATGGCTGTCATTGGGCCAAAGCAAGTGCTTTCTCTTCTTCCAAATGTGTTTGCCTGGGAGGGATCCAACCACCTGGTGTCCCTATTGTGTGCACCCCCAAGGCCTCTCTGCGGCTCCAGACTGCAGGCATGCACAACTCACCTCCTCCTTCACTTTGGCAGCAGGCGACTGCAGCCTGGCTCTCTTGCTTGCGTGGCTGTTCCTTCCATTCTCCAAGTCGAGAAGGGACCGTAGCTTCTCTGCTTCTAGCTCATAGTCCTAGGTGACAGAGAGAGAGAGAGAGAATGGAATGTGCACCTTCCAGGGGACCCACACCTGCCCTTGGCCAGGGACTGGTTTTATAATCTCCTCAGTTCCTCCTCACAATGGCACCTGTACAGACTGCCAGGATGCCCTGAGAGTCATCAAGACACGAGCAGTGCGAGGCGATTCCCTTTCTCCACAAACAGGAAAACCAAGTGACCCTCAGGCCTGGAGACCTGACGTTCTGCTTCTTCAGCAGATGCTAGTTTACTAATTGATGACTTCATAATTTATCAAGTGGATAATTCCCCTAGTCATCCCTGCTACTGGACACTTGGGTCCTTTCCAGTTGTTTTACTGTTGTAAATAGAGCTGTTACACAGTGTGGTTTATCCTGCATTATGCTTTTGTGCTTTTTCCTGCAGGATAAATCCCCCCAAAGCGTTTACTTCTTCAAAGAGTATAAACTCTATTATGACACTTGCTGCCTGACACCATATTGGTTTTCCAAAGGGCTGTGCCAGTTTTCATGGCTGCCAACAGTGCCGAGATGCCCACTCAGTTCCTCGAGCACCCCACCAGCAGCAGCGCTTCTCCATCAAGTGCACTGGGTAGGGAGTCCCTCAGTGTGCTGTGTGCTTGGGCAGAGGCCTTGTGGCTCACCTTCACAGCTTGCTGGTACTGCTGGGAACTGGTGTAGACCGTCTGTACTTCCTGTTCCCTATTTGCTATCTCATCCAGCAGGTTCTGTAAGACAAGAGCTCTTAAAAACCAAAACTGAAAAACAAATAATCAAAAGCAACCAGCCTTATCAATAAAGTATCTAGAGTCCTTACTACCTGAAATTATCCTGCCGTAGTACAGAATGGCTTCCTTGTGTACATTTCCTCACTACAAAAGGCAGGCCTAAGGCCCTGTGAAGAAGGGCCAAGAAGATGCTTATCTCTGCCAGGAAGCAGTGTTTACGCTGAGTGGTGTGCAGAGCCAGGCACTACTCTGATACTGCCCTTCCACTACCTCAGTTCCTCTTCAGATGAGCCTGTGAGGTAGCATCGTCACCTCCAGTTTAGGAATGAGGAAACTGAGGTAGCTCAGTGACTTGGGATGGAGCTGGGAATGTCAGCCACTTCCTCATCCCCAGCCCCAAGGCAGGAAGCTTAACTTTGGAAATGGGATTTTCCCCAGGAGGGTTCCTCTGGAGTTTGTGGTCATGCACCATGAAGCTGAGCCACATGGGTTCCCCAGCAGGCCCTGTGCTGGGCACTGAGGTGTGGTGGGGGAGGTGCGAGACGCACCTGGTACTTGTTCTGAGTCTGTGCTGGGAGCTGAGGCCCAGAGAGGAAAATGCAGCCAGACCTTGGCCCTGCCCTGTCTCCCAGGCATGGCTCCCTCCACTGGAACAGGCTGCTGACCCTGACCCTCCCAGGCCACTGTGTGCCTGCAGACACAGACGCAGCCTTCTGACCTTCTGGTTCTTCAGCTTGGTCTCCACCTGGTTGAGGCTGTCTGTCTCCTCAGGCTCATAGCTGGGGGTGTTGGACAAGAACTGGAACACATGGTTGTAGCCATGGCGGTACTCATCGTAGGCAGCCCTGGCACTCTGCAGGCTCTGGCCCCTGTAAGGACAAAACAGGTCAGGCCCCCACCCATAGAGGCCTCACTGACCCCTCACGTTTAAAGAAGGGCGAAAACCCTAAACATTTGCCAGAAAGGGAGTGGTGAATGATGGCACGTTAGGTGGAGGACCTGTGCACTGATGGTCACAGGTGCCTGCTGTGCATTTATTTCAGGACCTTCGCTATCCATGAATCCAAGGCTGGCAAATGCACCAACCCAAACCAGAAATGTCCTAAGTTGTGGGATGCAGCAGAAGCAGTGCTGGGGAAAGAGGATAGCGCTGCACGCTACGTCACAAAAGCAGCCCATCTCAGACCGGCCAGCCAAGCCCCATCTGAAGGAAGGAAGGAATGGCTACAAGTTAAACCCAATGTAAGCAGCAGAAAGAAGGGAGACAGGAAAGAGAAGCACAAAGCATGATTAATGAGTACAAATATGCAGCGTGGAACCTGCGAAGTCATTTTAAAAGGGGGAGGGGAATGCGAGGCCCTCGGTTCTAACCCCAGCATCAAAAGAGAAGACGAACAAAAAAAAAAAAAAAAAGGGAAGGGGGAGAATGATGAAGGGGATGAACCGAACCAGGGTACCCTGTGTGCATATATGAAAATGTCACGATTGAGACTCCCCGCACAACTATTATATACTAATAAACATGTTAAAAAATGAAATGATCAATGAACCAATCAACGTCAGGCACACTTACGACATAGAAGATGGAAATCAAAGAAGGACGTGGGGAGTGAGGGCATCTCCTCAGACCCTGCAGCTGGTGAAGGACATAGGGGTGATAAACTCAACAATTTAGATGGGATGGACAAATTCCTTGAAAGACAGACTACTACTGTTAATTCAAGAATAGACCTGACTCATCTGGTAAAACTGTTAGAGAGTGAATGTGTAGATGAAAAGTTCACAAAAAAAAAAAAAAAATCCAAGAACTCGGGTTGGTGGAGTGGCTCCAGTGATAAGAGTTCCTGTCCAGCAAGTGTGAGGCCCTGAGTTCAAACCCCAGTACCACCAAAGGGAAGAAAAAAAAACTGTGAACCTGAAGACCCTGCCACAGAGGTCCACAGGGACTGAGAGGAGGTCATGAGGCTGGCAAAATGCAGGAAGAACAAGCAGCAGCACACCAGGGTGTCATGCACACCCCTCGCCTACCCCAGCTTGTGGACAACGCCCCAGGAGGTACAAATGCTTGCCTGGACAGCAGGGCTGCTCACTGTATTGACCATATTGAATTTCTTCCAGTGCCTCCAGGCAGAATGGCTGAGCCCTGCCCCCCTCTCCGCCCCCTCACCTGCGCTCCACCTGCTGGCACAGGTTGTCGAAGCGCTGGCTCAGCTTGTGCACCTCAGCCTCCTGGCGCTCCAGGTCGGGGCAGTGCTCCTGGAAGCGGCTGGCCAGTGAGCTCGAGCATTCCTTGGCTGCCTGCAGGTTCTGCTCCACCTCACCCAGGAGGGACTTCTGGGCCTGCAGCTCAGACGCCATGGCCTGCCAGGTGGACAAGGAGAGGCAGCGCTGTGGCCAGAGCTCCCAGGAGCCAGGGAACACCACCCAGAGCCATGGGGTTGCCTGCTTTGGGGGTGGGTGGTGGGGACAAACCTAGGAGTGGGAAGGACAGGCCCTGCTCCATGCTTTGCAAATCTGAACTTCTATAGTGTGCCTCGTCAGTTACAACAAAGCTCCAAGAAACTAACTTCTGCAAATTTAAGCAGGCAGCATGTGGCCTGCACTGGGATGGCCTGGCACCCTTGGACCACAAGGCCTTTGCAGAGCTCATCTACTTGGCTGTGAAGCTGCTCACAAGATAGAGATGAGGAATGGCTGTCATCAGCCATGAACTTGAGGGTCAGCAAATTCATGTCATGGACCAGGGGTGACAGTGAGAGGAAAGCAACACTTGTCAGTCAGTACCTGAGGACCAGCCCCCAGGGCTGAAGCCCAGGTCACCAGGTCTGGTCATCAAGAGATCTGGAAACCTGTGTTCTGTGCAGACCTGGATTATAAAATCCTGGCCCCTGAAATCTCCCAGGCCGCACAAAGTGGAGCAGCCGAGACAGAAGCCATTGTCTCTGAGTGTGACTCCCAGTTTGGCACACTAGGTATTCTGAACCCATAGGGACTGGCTGTTGAGGCCAGAGAAAGGGCCCCACAGTCCAGGCCTCCTACTCACCTCCAGCTCCTGCCTCTTGCTGTCCAAGATATGGCCACTCTCAGGCACTGTGTCATCCTGGATCAGCCGGTTCTCATGCAAGGCCAGCAGCTCCCAACCCTGCTGCAGGCTTTTCTCCAGGCGGTTGGCCACGTCCACCCTGAGGACACAGGTCAGGAGTGGGGGGTGGCTCTCTGACCCCACCCCGACTTCCCTGCTGCCTGCCTGCCACCCACTTCTCCTGGGCTGAGTCCAGCAGCTGCACCAGGCGCTCGTATTTCCGGTTGGTGTTCTCCACTCGGCTCCTCAGCAAAGGTGCTGTGCCACTGGCCGGGAGAGCCTGGATGAAGGCCTCGCACTCAGCTGTGCTCTGTGTCTTCTCGGGCTCGATCTGCAGAAGCTCGTTGGTGATGTTCTGTGGAGACCAGAATACCTGAGGTCAGCCACAGCCTGTGGTACCTGCCCCCAAGGCTGTGCCCCAGGAGGACAGTGGAAGTGGCTGGGGAGGCTTGGCCTGCTCTGGGGAGTCTGAGCAGCACCCAGGCACCAGCCCAATGGTCTGCCTTTTTAATAAGCCCCACACACAGGTGGACTGGGAAAAATGACAGTGACACAGACAAGAAACAGGTCATCATGGAGCCCTTGCTGCTCTCATACCGCCCATGGGGGAGTCCATGAAATCTGGGGTAGCACTGCCAGGTGGGTACCAGTACTCTCCATTTCCAGGTGGGGCACCTGAATCCAGGGAGCTTAGGAAGCTATGCAGTGGGGCCCAGTCCAGGTGACTCCAGTCCTCACTCCTATACCAGCCACTTCCTTGACTGGCTTGCATGAGGCCACACCAGGGCCGCTCCACCTCGGTATACCCCCCTTCTCCTCTGTAAAGCAGGAGAGCTACCAGGCAAGAGGACTTCAGTCTGTGGTGACGGAGCAGAGAGCCTGCACCTCGCCATCTTCCAGCAGCCCCGAGAGTGGGACCAGCTTGTCTTACTTTCAGAACTGCAGCTTCAGGCATCAGGGATATGTCTTGGGGCAAGAAGCTAGTGACCAGGTCTGAAATTCCAGGGCCCCCGTGCCACCCTGCACGGCCTCGCTCAGCATGGAACCTTTAGGGTCCCAGTTGCTCCTGTTGTGGTTACAGCTATGATCCCCAGGCAGTTGACAGGCCAGACAGACATCCCCTGGGTCACACTGGAGGCTGTCGGAGTGCGTAGGCATCTCCTTGGAGTCTGGTCCCAGGTCTCTAGAACCTTGGGAAGCAATATGCGTGGCACTGCCACCTCCACAACTGTCCAGCACCTGCTAAGTGTCCCAAGATCCCACAGGGAGACAGCCTGAGCAGGGCCCCAGAGAACCAGGGGCCCAGCCTGTGCCCCAGCCCTGCAGTACCTTGAGGTCCTTGGCCCGCTGGGCACTGTCCTGGACGGCCCGGCCCTGCTCCAGTGGTGGCCGTAGGATCCCCGTGATCACCTTCTCCTGTTTGTCCAGGTCGCTAGCCACCTTGTCCAAGCTGGCCAGCAGCTGCCGCCCCTGCAGGTCGGAAGCATCTGTTGGAGGGAGGACACAAGTCAGGGGTGACAGAGGCATTAGGCCAGCTGGGTCCTCTGAGGCTCACATAACCTCTCCCACATGGCAGACAGAAGACTCCTGCCATCCCACGCAACACAGCCTGGGCCCAGCTCCTCCTCCCTGGCCCCAGGCCCTTGCAGGCAGCCCCAGCACCTACCTCCAGGGTTCTCCGTCCTCAGCACCTCGTGCCGCTGCTGCAGTGTGTGTTTGCTACCAGCTGCCTTTTGTCGCACACTCCGGTACTGGCTGCTCAGGCTGGGAAAGCAAGAACATGCTGGGGACCCTCTCCACCCATACAGGCAGGACCTTGTACTCTGGCTGGGCAATAGCCTGGGGGAGCCAAGTGGCTCAGAGTGCTTTGTTTGAAAACAACACTATGCGAGCCCAGCTGTGCATCATTCAGGAAGACCTTCCTGCCTTTGCTTTCCTCTTTCCCCTCTCTCCCTCCTTCCTTTTCCTTCATTTCAAGCCCAACTACTTAAAGTGATCTGTTCGCTAGTCTCCAACACATAACATGCTCTGAGGGAGCAGTGCACAGTAGGTGCTCAATAAGTACTTGAGTCCTGCACTGGGTACTGAGAGAGGCCCCGAAGACACTGACTTCAAGGAGCCAAGGTCGATCCCGGCAGATCATCTTAGTGGAACACAGTGTACGTGGTGGGGAAAGGAGGGGCGTGCACCAGCAGAGCCAGCAGCAAGGGGAAGATGCAGGCACATGCAAGGTCCAGAGGCACTAAGACAAAGTGCTCACTGGACCGGGCCCTTGACTGAACACCCAGTTCAGCAAGTCTGGACCAATAGCTCTGCCCCTCAAGCTTCCAAGGGGGTGCAGGTGGTGGATGTTAGGCCCCCCCAACTGAGCCAGGATGCCCAGGGCTGTGAACAGAAAGGACTGAGAAGCTGTGGGTGGGGTCAAATCCATACTGTTTCCTTTGTTCTTGTACCTGTCAGCCAGAGCCAGGGCCTCTGGGTCCGTGGGGGGGATGATGAAGCAGACAGCCGGGGCGGTGAGCTTGTTCCCAGTGCTGTCAGTGAGCTCCCAGGTGTCCCCATTGTTCTTCTGCAGGGTGTAGCTGTAGCCCCGAGAGATGAGGCCCTGTTGGATGCAAGCCAAACAGTCTGAAACGAGGGACCCATCCCAGTCCATGGCCTAGGGGCCCAGGTGCCCTCTGACCTCCTGTCCCCTAACTCTTGGGCCTGGGGAGGCTTAGCCATCTCTTGGGTTCTCTGAAGATCATTGGCCCTAGAGAGTTGGGAGGGGCCAGAACAAAAGGAACATGCATTGGTCTGCTAGCCCAGCACCTGCCTCAATTTCCCTTTGGGGAACCCCCTTTACCCATCTCTAGTCCCTATGGTCTTCACTCCTTGCCCCTCTCAGTCTCCAGACGGGCATGTGAGTAGGGCCTGGCCAGTGAGAGGCTGGCAGTTCCCGGTCACAGTGATTGGCTTATGGGGCACTTGAGTCAAAGTGGGCCAATGAAACAGGCTTCAGTGACATGGGACGCAGGGTTCCAGGCAGCAGCTCACCTGGTCACCCTCAAAGTCACAGAGCGCCTCCACGGGGATGGGTTTGAGCGGTGTCTCCCGGCGGAACTTGAGGGGCACCACCTGCTGCCCACGCCTCTGCAGTCCCCGCACTACGTCCTCATACTTGTCCAGAGCCTTCTCCTGGTCCTGCGAGGAGGGGGCGGGGCCTGGATGAGACTCACAACCTAAACCAGTGGGAGGGGTTGGGGGTGGGGCCTGGATAAGACCACCCCCACCCCACCCCCCCCGCAGCCTTGTCCAGTGGAGGGGGCTTGGGGGCGGGGCCAACGTGGTCCCATCCTGTTACTCACGTCCAGCTCCCGCAGCAGCAGCTCAATCTGGTAGCGGTCCTTGAAGTCCGGGCTGTATTTGTGGTTCAGGTCCGAGTCCACCTTGCGCAGTAGCTCCTGAGCGTCCTTTACATCTTTATGGAACTAGGAAAGACCAGGTGTCCCCATTACAGTCAGGAAGCCACTGGCACACCTGGGCGTCTGGTGGTGGCAGGTGAGCCTGTGCCTCCCACTCGCCCTGCCAGCAGGTTGGGTCCTCACTGAGCCTCAGTAGTAAGCTCCCTCCCTGGCCTGGCTCCTGAGGACTTCATGGAGGAGGGAGGGCTGGCTCCCTGCTCACCAATCCACAAGGCACCACCACCTCTATGGAATATTCAGTTTTCCTGTCTTTTACTCCTTTCCTCCCTGTGCCAGTACTCTACAGTCCTGTACCCTGGTCAATGACGGATCGGTAAACAACAGGGGTCCCACCCACTCCAGTCTGGGTAAATACCCTCTATGATGTTTGCAAAATGGTGAAGTCCCCTAATGATGCATTTCTCAGAGTGTATCCCCGTGGTAAAGCCGCACGTGGCTGTACTTTCATTTGAAGCCTTGATTTACACTGTCTCTTTCTGTAGAAAATTCTCTTGCCCATTCTTCAGTACATGGGCTCTTTCTTGTTTATCTTTGCTTTGTTTTGAGGTGGGGTTTGAACTTAGGGCTTCACATTTGCAAAGCTGGTGCTCTATCACTTGAGTCACACCTCCAGCCCATTTTGCTCTGGTTATTTTGGAGATGGAGTTTCATGAGCTATTTGCATGGGCTGGCCTTGAACCACAGTCCTCCTGATCTCAGACTCCCAAGTAGCTAGGATTACAAGCAGTACCTAGCAAGCCCATTGACTCTTGATTCATTCAATCAGCTGTTCCCTGGGGTGAACATGTGGACTAAAGGCAAGAACAGAACTGTGGCATCTCTGTGAAGATCTCGACTTTCAATCTCAAGACCCCCAAATCCCAAGAATCATCTGCAGCTCTTGCTAGAAACACACAATCCTTCCATATACAAGTGCCCGTCAACAGAGGACCGTGTAAGCACAGTAAGGTCCATCTGTATAACAAGCACTACTCAGCCACCAAAAAGAAGGAAGCATGGACACAGGGCAAGACAGATGAACCCTGAGGAAGTTAGGCTCAGCAAAAGTAGACACATGGCATGAGTCCACGGATCCTTCAAGCCTATTCTAGATAGGAACTCCTCAGAACAGGCAAATCCATAGAGACAGCAAGAGGGTCAGAGGTTACCAGGAGCTGGGGGAGGGGAGTGGCTGCTGCTGATTGAGTTTCCGTTTGGGTGATGAGAAAGTCCAAGATGTGTAGATCATAATTGTGCAGTAACTAAGTGACTAAAATGTAGCTGAGCACTGTGACGCACACCTGTAGTCTAGCCTCTGTGGAGGCTGAGGGAAGAGAATGGCTTAATCCCAGGAGTTCAGTGCCAGCCTGGTAATTTAATGAGACCGTGTTTCAAAAATAAGTGTGTGGGGGGAGTAAGATGGTGGGTTTTATGTTCTGTGTATTTCACTAAGATTAGAAGCACACACGTTCATGCTGACCTGCTGGGGCAGGCTCTCCCAGGGCCTGGAAAGTCACAAGGGCCCAGCAAGCCTGGGACCCACTGTGAATCCCATTAGCAGTGTAGGTGCCAGGGTCTAGGAAGGTGACCCGCAAGGCTCCTGGCCCTGTGTGAGCCACGGAAGTGTTGCCTGCTGTCGCACAAGGTGGCCTGGCATTGGTGGGCCTCGGGGGCCAGGCTGGTACCTGGTGGTAGTCCTCCATGTACTTCAGATGACTCTCCTCACAGATCAGCAGGTTCAGGTACTCCTTCCAGTCTGCGTGCACAGCCTCCATGTGCGCCTGCCAGGAAAAGGAGTGGCCGGTCACTGTTGGCCAGGTGCCTGGGACATGGAGGGAAGGACTGGCGCAATTCCAGGCTGGGGGCGGGGGCAGGGGAAGGACGCAGGTGGCATTCTGCCTGGGTGCAGTTCCCGTGGAGGTAGCCAGCTCCTGCTCAGGGTAGGAGGCCAGAGAGGACACGTTGAGGAGTCAAGGAGGTTTGGCATGTGCAGGCTGTGCAATGCCCAGGGGCAAAGTGGTGCTTTTAAAAAAATTTACACAAGGTGGGGCTGGGTTTGGAGGCTCACGTCTATAATCCCAGCCTCTTGGGGGGGTGGGGCAGAGATCAGGAGTATCAAAGTTTGAAGCCAGCCCAGGAAAAACAGTTCCTGTTTTGAGACCCTATCTTGAGAAAACCCATCACATAAAAGTGGCTCAAAGTGTAGGCTCTGAGTTCAAATTCCAGTACCACCAAAAAAAACAAAAACAAAAATCTCATGCAGTTACTGCAGGGGGCTGTGCCCCCGTTAAGTTCCCATCTGCTTAGAAATGAACACACGTGCCCTGATTTGGAAATCAGGTAGAGAGCAGGTTGATGAATAATCTCAAGGTGAAACCACCCTGGAATTGGGGTGGCCCTAAATGCAATGACTAGTGTCCTCAGAAGAAGGGGACGCAGACACGCATAGAAAAGGCCACATGAAGACACAGGCAGAGGTAGGAGTCACGGCACTTCCCTGCAAGGAACTCAGAAGATGGTCAGTGCCACCAGAGGCTGGAACAGGGGAGGAGCAACCTTCCGGAGCCTCCAGGGAGCACGGCCCTGCCCACAACTGAGTCTCATGCCTCTGGTCCCCAGGACAGTAAGCGCCCACATTTTTCTGCTCTAAAGCCACCCAGTGTCTGGTCATTTGGTACCAATAGCCTCAGGAAACTAACATAGGTCACATATGGCCATCAGAAGAACAGGGCAGAGGACTGAGATAAGGAGGGGAGGTAGTGTCAGGCAAAGCAAGCCGGACACAGGGAACATTGAGACAGGTCACTTCAAATGGCCACAGGCAGAGGCCACTGTGAAAGAGGCATCCCCTTGGGGTGCAGGTACCTCAATGGAGTTCCTCCCCGGGTGCTCAGCAGCCAGCAGCTGGTCGCCCTCGCTGTGCAGTTTGTTGATTCTCTCTTCTTTGGCCTCCAGATTGCGGTTGATGAAATTCTGCAGCGGGGAGGGAGGATGGGAGGGGGATGGGGGTGTCATCGACCAGCCTGGCAGCCCCGCGGCCCTCCCGCCTGTCCAGCCCCCAACTGGCCCCACGCCCACCTCGTACTGGCGCCGGCGGCTGGGGAAGTCGAGGTTGCGGTCGCTCCAGTCGTACTGCATGCGGCCCCTGGCCTGCTGGTCGAGCCAGTACAGCTCGTTGGTGCAGCGTTGCATGTAGTCCTGGAGGGAGCTCAGGTGCTGCTGCCGTGCCTGGGATGCAGCCTGCGGGCAGGGGGTGGGTGGGGACAGCGCTGGGCCCCAGCCTGGACTGGTCCCCCTTTCCACCTCCTGCAGGGCTCCAGCCAGACGCCCTCGGACAAGTCACCCCACCCTCCCTCCAGACTCAGTCATTCAGCACACGTTCACTGGGCAGTGACTAGGTGTGGGGCAGGGCTCTTAGCACTGAGGACTACCCATTTGGTGCTCAATAAATGCCAGGGCACAGAGACTGGCACACAGTTGATGCTTGATAAATGTCAGGGTGCAGAGATGGCACACAGTCGGTGCTCAGTAAACCTCAGCAACAGCTTCTGCTTTCATCTTTACTGTGATCCTGTTTGGAGGAGACCGGGAGCCACTAAGGGCTGAGCAGGGAATCCTCAAAGCAACCCTGTGAGGCAGCGCCATTTTCCAGATGAGGAAACTAAGGCTCCCGAGGCTGAGCAGGCTGCTCAAGATCCCGGCACCAGTGAGCAAGGGTGGCAGCACTAACTGCTGTGTGTCTCCACCACCTCTGTTCTCAGTCTGAGGCGTGGGAAAGGTTGCAACGAGGAAATGCATGCCTGTTGCTTCTACAGTGTTAAAAGGATGCATTCGCAGCTGGGCATGGTGGAGCACACCTCTAATCCCAGCAGAGGCTGAAAGACCTTGAGTTTGAGGCCAGGCTGGGTCACATAATGGGATCTTGTCTCAAAAAAAAAAAAAAAAAAAAAAAACCCCAAAAAGCATTCTATAACAGTTCTGAGAAGGAAGACAGAAAGCTCTTCTCTGCAAAGCATGTGGTAGCTGCTTGGCATTCAGCAGGTGCTTAATAAAGAAATGGGTTTCCACAAGCCAACAAGGCACAGAGTCCCCTCTCCAGAAGGCCCGGGCACTGTCTCTTCCCACTTCACCCCTTCTGTGGTCTTAGGAATGTTTACTGTGCATCCATGTCACATTCAGAAGAGCAAGTTGTCCCCAGATCCCAAGCCTCCTGTCCCTGTGAGGGGACAGTGTCCCAGGACTGTCTCACCAGCAGCTTCTGGTACTTGGCCTGGAGCTCACTGTTCTGCTCCTGCAGGTAGAACCGAGGACTCTGGTCAGATCAGGGAACAGGGACACCTCTTCCCTGGTCCCCCGCCTCACCACCGCCTGCCTTACCTTGTCCCCATCCTTGGCCAGATGGGACCCGATGGCTTTGACCTCGTTGTGGAAGATGTTGTGTTGTTCCACCTGGCTGTCCACCAGTGGCAGGTCTGTCCCAAAGCTCTGGCCACTCAGCTTGTCCTGGGATAGGTGGGGAGATCACAGGTGGAGGAGGTGAGCCAGGCCTGACCTGCAGCCCATGGGGACAGTGCTGTCTCCCTCAGGGGACGGCCAGAGAGTGAGCGACTGTGAGCATCTGTACCACTGGTGATCCATTACTGTCACAGCAACTTGAGCCCACATAGCTACTGTGTCAATCCCACAGACGGTGAAACTGAGTCTGGGCAAAGGGAAGTCACCTGCATGGGATCACATTGCTAAGAGTGGGGGAGCAAGCCAGGTGCTGGTGGCTCACACCTGTAATCCTAGCTACTTGGGAGGCTGAGATTGATTGGGAGGATCATGGTTGGAGGCCAGCCTGGGTAAATAATTCGGGAGATCCTAGCTCTAAAATAACTAGAGTAAAATGGCTTGAAAGTTCGGCTTAAGCAGTAGAACACCTCTTTTGCAAGCATGAAGACCTAAGTTCAAACCCCAGTCCCACCAAAAATAAAAATAAAAAAAGAGTGGGGGAGCTGAGGCTCAAACTGAGGACTCTTGGCCACAGGGCCATGCTGAAGGCACAGGTGGCTGCTGCCCCCAGCCAAACAAACCAGGTGTGGGAGGGAGGCACAGCTGGTAGAGGACAGGGTCTGAATTACCGCACTTATGCTATGTGACCCCAGACTCGCTGGGTCCCTCACCTACTGTGTGTAGATACTGACTCAGCTGTGAATGGAGGGGACAGGGCCCCCCACCTGCCTGACCCTCACAGTCCAGGTTGGGACTCACTTTTCTCATTGACAAAACATCAGGGGACATGGAGCCTGTGACCCCCTCCCCAGCAGCTCTCCCCTGGCTACATCCAGCCCTGCCCGGGCCCTACCAGCTTCTCCTCCACCAGTGTGGCCCAGTTGACGGGCGGGTTGACCTCCTTCACCTCCAGGCTGTAGACGTGTTTGTGCTTGGCACGGAGGTTTGTCACTCGCTCCTTCAGCTGGCGGATGCTGGGCGGGGAGAGAGGTCACCACGTGTGAGTGGGGGTCGCCAGCATGGGGGCTGTGAGAGCCAGAGAGGGGGCTGCTGGGTCCCAGCTTGACCTGGTCAGTGTCCTGGAGGACAGGGTGATGGTGGCCTTGGTTTCTAGACCATCACTGTGTCTGGCCACCCTTCCTTAGCCGTCACCATTTCCTACAGGCCTACTATGAGCCTGGACCCACAGGAGGTTCTGGAAGAAACAGGACCAATGCTCCCTGCAGCCCAGGGTCCAGCATAGGCCCAGGGTATGAGACAAAAGCAGGGGACCCCTGGTCCTGCGGGGGTGGGGTGCAGACACGGGAGGCCCCCAGGTGCTGGTTCACCCCACTAACCCAGGAGCACGAGGCCATGGGAGAGCTTGCACAAAAGCTCAGCGGTCAGACACAGCAGCAGCCAGACAAGGGATGTCAACCCCCTGAGCCTCAGTTTCCCCAGCTACAAAGGACGGCTGTCACAAGGAAAACATAAGGCAAGCTGCTGACCTGTGCCTGGCTACCAGTGACCTTCCTGGGGATCCTCAGGGCTGCTGGGCCAGGCCTGGGGTCCCCAGCCCAGTGTGGTGCCCTGGGGACCAGACGCAGGGTACCTACTCCTCAGTAATCATGTCCCCCTGTGGGTGCTTCATGTGCTTGGCAATGGCTGCGTCTGCCTCCAGCACATACAGCAGCTTCTCCGAGTCCGACGTCTTCTGCAGCACCACATCCCGGTGCTCGGGCGGCCGCCCCTCCTGCAGCCGTGCCACGTCCTGCGAGGGTCACAGACAGAGGGGACAATGGTGGGGACTCAGAATGGGCCCTGCAGGAATGGGAGGGGACAAGAGGAGAGGGGCCAACAAGGGACTCTTTCAGCTCCGTCCAGCCTGTCCTTTGGTCACTCAGCAAACACGGCCCAAACCCCAACTGTGTGCTGGACACTGAACCCAGCTGTGAATGGAGGAGACAGACCCCCCCCCCACCTGCCTGATGCTCACAGTCCAGGTTGGAAGACTGCCCACAAGGCAAGTCCATCAAAACCCCACACAGGTGACTGCAAGTTGTCACACGTCAGCGTTTGTGAATAAACTGCACTAGAGACAGAAGGAGGGACCCACTATGGGTCTGGTGATCAGGGAGGCCCCTGAGAGGCACTGACACGGACTAAGGATGAAGGACAGAAAGAAAGCAGGTCCTAGGCAGAGGGAACAGCCTGTGCAAAGGTCCTGAGGCAGGAGAGAGCAAGCCATGGTGACAGCATGTCAAGAAGTCACTTGGCTGGAGGCAGGAGTGGCAGGTCAGGGGCCAGAGTACACAGGACCTGAGGACCCAGTGCACAGAATGGCTCTGAGGAGGGAGGCAGTAGCAGGAGGACCTTGGGTTTAAGGCCATCCCCAACAAAGGCAGCAAGATCCTACCTCAAAAACAAAATAGAAAAAAAAAAAAAAGGCCAGGGGTGTAGCTCAGTGGCACAGTGCCCACTTATCATGCACCAGGCCCTGGTTCCATCCCCAGTGCCTAAAAAGTAAAATAGTACAGTGGGGGGGATACTTATCAGAGGGGGGAGTGTGAACGAAGGAGATGGAGGTGAGGGAACATGGTGGATGGACTTCACGTTCTCACATGAAATAGAACAAAGACACCTCTTGTGATTGCTCTACGTGGGCTGGGGAGGGGGTAGAGGAGGAGCCTAATCGGAACTGGCACTATGAATCACCACTGTATAACGAATATATCCTAATAAAAAATAATAAAATAAAATCAATAAAACAAAGATTTAGAAAGAAAGAAAGAAATGGCAAAAGAAAGAAAGAAACTGGACACTGGTAGCTCACGCCTGTAATCCTAGCTACTCTGGAGGCAGAGATCAGGAGGATCAAGGTTCAAAGCCAGCTGGGCAAATACTTCGTGAGACCCTATCTTGAAAAACCCTTCACAGAAGTAGGACTGGTGGAGTGGCTCAAGGTGAAGGCCCTAAGTTCTAACCCTAGCATTGCAAAAAAAATGAAAATAAGCCTGGTACAGAACAGAATAAAGACTCAGCTTCGCCTTGGAGGAAGAAAAAGCATGGCGCCTTGGCCTAGCTGCCTGGGGAGACAGAGCAGGGGGCCCGGCTTCCCCAGGGACGGCACACGGCCCTCTGCCCGGCACGGGTGACACTTCTTGTCACCAGCTGGCCTGACTCCGGCAGCCACAGGATCTAAGACTAACTCTGCAAGGTGGAGGGTGGGGTCCATTCGCCATTGCCATCCACACAGGCAGGTCAGGACACAGGTGAGTGAGCAGGACACACGGCTGAGACACCACCGAGACCAGCCAGGGACACTGCGGACACCGAGGGCTCAAAGGCAGCAAACTGATGGATGGTGAGCAAGACCAGCAGAGGGTCACCTCTGAGGGACACCAGTTGGGATGCTCACCGGGACCTTTCTGGAAAATGCTCTCTGTGCACATGCCTGGGTAAATGCAGATATGGACAGTTCTGTGTGCTTTCTTTTTTTGGCAGGACCAGGGATTGAACCCAGGGCCTCCTCCATACTAGGCAAGCACTCTACTACTCGAGCCACGCCCCTTTTGTTTGTATTTTGTTTTCGAGACAGGGTCTCCATAACTGTGCCCACCTCGAACTCATGACCTTCCTTCCTCTGCCTCCTGAGTTTCTGGGGCTACAGGTGTGCATTACCGGGCCTGGAGGTTCTGAGCACTTAATTTGAGTTACACCTCAATAACCGTGAGTTATTGAGTTACACCTCAATAGCCTAGGGACTGACACGGCTAGCGAGCTGCACACTCATGGACGAACAGGTAAGTGAAGGAGCCAGTACAGCAGGTGGCACTCATAGTCTGAGTGAGGGAGACACAAGCTCTTCTGCAGGCGTAAACATCTGGGCAGATGTGGAGGGCCACCTGTGGTTTAAAAGAAACATCCACAGTTGTGACGCACACAGAGATTAGTGGTCCCAGGGTGGGGAGAGAATTAGAAGCAACTGCTCTGGGGTGAGTGGCATGCCCCGGGAACGGGGCAGCGTCAGCACTGTGAATATGCTAAATGCTACCAAACTGTGCCCTTTAAGTGGTTAAGTTTACGTGACCGGCTTCTCACCGATAAAAAATGGGAAATTGAGGGCTGGGTGCCATGGTTCATGCCTGTAATCTCAGCATGGGAGAATCTCACTTGCCAGTGTAATCTCGCTAGGAGGCAGAAATCAGAAGGATCCCAGTTTGAGGCCAGTCCAGGGAGGAGAAATGTTAGCAAGACTCCATCTCAACAAACAAGTCAGACACACCAGATGTGTGCCTGTAATCCCGGCTACTTGGGAGGCACAGGTAGGAGGATTGTGGTCTAGGTTGACCCCAGTCAAAAACATGAGATCCTCAACAACAACAAAAAAATACCAAAGAATAAAGGGTCGGGAGTGTGGTTTAAGAGGCAGCGCATCTGTCTAGCAAGCGCGAGGCCCCAAGTTCAAAGGAAACTCAGAATGAAATTAATTTATAATGGTTTCATTTGGATGGTGTGGACCACACAGCCTTCAAAGTATGGCTTCTTTTCTTCAAGTTTGTTGAGTGAAAAAGCAATTCAGGACTAGGAATGTGTTTCAGTGGCCTGAGAGAGAGAAAGAGAGAGAGACAGAGAGAGAGAGAGAGAGAGAGAGAGAGAGAGAGAGACAGAGAGAGAGAGAGAGAAAGAGAGAGAGACAGAGAGTGAGAGAGACCCGTGGTTCAACACCATCTCCCAAATACATCTTGTTACGTTGGGTCCCTACTTCAGGCAAATGTGACAAGAGTGCCAGAGCCTGGTCACACTCCTCGCGCTCACCCGCACACGAGTGACGCCAGGTCACCATTGCTGACACCTGCGGGTGAAACTGTGCGGGATTTTAACTGACTTCATGAGATTAGTTTATTCACTGTGAAACATTTATAGCCAGCACGTGTTGATCTCCTGCACACCTGGGCCATCAGAAATGGCCACAACTGAGCCTGGCCAACCATGACCTCCCCACCCTCAGCTCCCCATTCCTCCAGGCTGGTCTCTGTCACCCAGGGGACATACAGAGTGCCCAGTTACATTTCAATTCAGATAATCAACAAAGAATTTTGTGAGCACCCGGGAGGCTGAGGCAGGAGGATCGTGAGTTTGAGGCCAGCCTGGGCTACACAGCCAGACCTTGTCTTTAAAAACAACAAAAACGTTTTGTAGCATAAGTATATTCCAAATAGGACGTGATCACTTGTGTTCTGAAATTCCAAGGGAACTGGGCATGGTTTCCTTTGCTCAGTCTGCCAGCTGCTTCTGGGACCAGCTCTGTCAGTGACAGGCCACTCGGACTCCATCAGCACCTCAGTTGCTCTGCCTACAAAACGGGCAGCAGCCAGGCCACAGAGGCTCAGACAAGGCAACCCAGCAGCTCCCGTGTGGCATGAGGCAGAGAGACGTGGGCCGCTCAGGCTTTGGAGAACCTGTGACTCAGAAGGGGAGACTGAGGCACAGAGGAGGAGACTGCTGCTCAGGACCTGTGTCCTGAGTCCCAGCAGCTGGGGTGAGTGTCTGGAACGGTTTTGGTGGCCACATGCAGGCCTGCACTGCACCCATGGGGTCTCATGGACTTGCCATAGCACCCTGGCCAGCAGGGATGAGCACTCCCTTTTAGAGGGACCCCCATGTGTGGGGTGACCACACAGTGAGGGGAAGGCTGGGGTCCTACCCCAGGGCTGGCTCCTGAGGCAGCCTCTCCTCCACCCCAGAGAAGCCTCATCGGGGCCCAGGAGGTGGCAGGAACACAGGTCCCAGGAAGGACTGGGACTGACAACCACAGATGGACAGAGATTGCTGTGCCCATTGGTGATGATGCGAGTGCACAGAAGGGCTGCCTAAGCCCAGTGTGTTGACATCGTTGACATCGGCAGGGGCTGGGCTGCCCTGCAGGATGCTTGCAGGCCTGTGTGTTCCCCTCAGTGACCCCAGGGGCCGCCCGGTGGGGGAGGGGCACTCACGCTCTGCATCTTGGCCTCGGTGTCCAGGATGTTCTTCTCCACCTGGTCCGCATTTTTCTGCAGCTGCTCGATCAGCTCTGAGAGCTGCTTGTTGGAGATGCTGCGGGAAAAGGCAGGGAAGGTGGGTCCAGGCCGTGTCCCTGGTGCCATCGTCCCCATTGTCTCCACCCCCGTGCTCTGAGCCACCCACAGGGCAGTGGCAACCACAGCCACAGAGACAGCTTGGCACCGGAGCCGTTTGGCCCTTTGAGCCAAGGCTTCCACTCTACCACGCTGGCCAAGCAGGACAGGTTGGCTTTGCTCTGAGATGGGTCTTGCTATGTGGTCCAGGCTGGCCTCGAACTCCTGGGCTCAGGAGATCCTCCCAGCTCGGTGGAATACCTCACTCAGCCCTGAGTGCTGGGATTACAGGCAGGAGCCGCCATGCTGGGTGCAATGCATTTTTTTTAATTTGAGCAATGCATTTTTTTATATACATTCGGATGTTTCCCGGCCTTTTGCTCTGGTCACTCCACACATCAACCTGGTATTGCAGTACTTCCAGGAACAGTGCAAAAAAAAAAAATTGCATTCAGGGGTGGTGGGCGTGGCTCGAGTGGTAGGACACCTGCCTAGCAAGTGCAAGGCCCTGAGTTCAAACCCCAGCACTGCCAATATATATATTCACACATGCTCGATGGCTTTTAGTATGTTGAAAGTTTTACAACCATCATTTCAAAGCATTTGCTATTATTTCTCTTCTTCTTTTTTATTTTTAAGACAGGGTCACTATGTAACCCAGGCTGGCCTAGAAACTTGGGATCCTCCTGCCTCTACCTCCTGAATACTTGGGTTACAAGTGTGTGCCACCATGCCTGGCTCCCGATTTCAGAACATTCTTATCACCCCAAAAACCTCATCTCCACCTGGTGCTGCAATCCCAGCTACTTGGAAGGTGGAGTAGTAGGATTGCAGGTTGAGGCCAGCCTGAGCAAAAAGGTGACAAGACCCTATCTCAAAGCACAAGCTGAAAGGGTGGGGTCATGGCTCATGTGGGAGAGCACCTGCCTCTCAAGTGTGAGGCCCTGAGTTCAAATCCTGGTACCGCCAAAAAACTATCCCAAGAGAACAAGATGGGCATGGTGGCTTATGCCTGTAATACCAGTTACAAGGGAAGCATAAGTAGGCAGAACACAGTCTACACTGCCCCTGGGCAAAAATGTGAGACCCTATCTGAAAAATAAAGCAAAAAAAAAGGCTGGGGGCATGGTTCAAGTGGTAGAGTAACTGCCTCCCTCGCCAGCTCAAGGCCCTGTGTTCAAACCCCAGCATCACCACTAGCAATCACTCCTCATCCCCTTCTCCTTCTGCCAGCCCCTAGCAATGGCAACTGATCTACTTTGTGTCTCTATGGCTTTTCCTGCACCGGACATTTTATATAAACAGAATCGCACAATATGTGGTCCTCCGTGTCTGCAAGGCTCACCCCTGTCATGGCATCTGTAGGAAATGTATTCCTTTTCGTGGCTTAATGTCCCATCATGTGGGTGGGTTCTGAGGGATGAAGAGGAGTTTGAGGTCCTACTCCAAAGGCTCAGATGAGGAGTGACCAGGAGAGGCAGGTCCTGGGTGTGTCCCTTGGGGTGGGCCAGGAAGGTCTCTAAACCCCCAGGATAGAGGGACCCACCAAGTACAGCAGGAGAAACAGGTTATGGCACTAGTCCCTGCTCCTGAGCCAGGCCCAGGAAGTGCCTGCTGCTGCTGTTGACTTTCGGGGTTCTCCTAGGAACCTGGATGCCCACCAATGATGGAGCACCAGCACTACAGGAACTGTAGAGGGTACAAGCGAGGTCAGAAACGGCAGCCACAAACAAGCTTAGTGCTTCTGTCCTGATCCCCCAGTGGCCTTCCCTGTGCCAGGCCTGGACACACAGATGGAGGCTCAGAGGAAACAAGATACGGCTGCCTCCGCAGAGTCAACTGAGGCAGCTTCTCACGTTGTGTGGGTGCTGTCCGGGGGTCCCTGTTTGCCTGCTGTGCTTGGTTTTCTTAAAAAGCCAGTTAAATGCAAATTAAAACCATGCTAAGATTCCACCTCACCCCTGTTAGAATAGCCATTCATCAAGCAACACCACCAAACAGGTGTGCAAGGAGGGGTGGAAAAAGAACCCTTCTACACTTGGTGGTGGAATGTAAAACTAGATTTACAACCACTCTGCAGAAAAAAATTTGGAGGCTCTTTAAAAAAGCGGACATCGACTCGACCCATTTGATCCAGCAATTACCACTCTTGGGGATTTAATACCAAAAGGAACTGTTTACTCCAGAGCACTGCACATCCATGTTTATTGCGGCACTTTTTCACAATAGCCAAGTTATGAAACAGCCAAGATTGCCCAGCACTGACGAAAAATGGATTAAGAAAAATGTGGTATCTATTACACAAATGGAATTTTATGCAGCCGATGAAGAAGAACGAATGTTTATCATTCGCTGGCGGTAAAGATGGAATTGGAGAACATTCATTCTGAGTGAGGTTAGCCTGGCCCAAAAGACAAAAATGTATGTTTCTCCCTCATATGTGGACATTAGATCAAGGGCAAACACAACAAGGGGATTGGACTTTGAGCACATGATAAAAGCGAGAGCACACAAGGGAGGGGTGAGGATAGGTAAAGACACCTAAAAAACTAGCTAGCATTTGTTGCCCTTAACGCAGAGAAACTAAAGCAGATACCTTAAAAGCAACTGAGGCCAATAGGAAAAGGGGACCAGAACTAGAGAAAAGGTTAGATCAAAAAGAATTAACCTAGAAGGTAACACAACATGCACAGGAAATCAATGTGAGTCAACTCCCTGTATAGCTATCCTTATCTCAACAGCAAAACCCTTGTTCCTTCCTATTATTGCTTATTTACTCTCTCTACAACCAAAATTAGAGATAAGGCAAAATAGTTTTTGCTGGGTATGAGGTGGGGAGAAGGGGAGGGTGGGTGGGTGAAGGGAGGGTGGGGGCGGGAGGGGAGAAATGACCCCAAGCAGGACATGTTGCACAAATAATTAAAATAAAAAAAAAGCAGTAGAATTACAGCATAGTGGCTTATGCCTATAATCCCAGCCTCTCAGGAGGATCTCAGTGTGAGGCCAGCACACATGTAGGTGTGCAGGCACAGGGATGGTGGTACACACCTGTGGTTCCAGCTGTGTGGGAGACAGAGGTAGGAGGAACTTGGTCCAAGGCCTACCCCTGGTGGAGGTGGGGGGAATAGAGACCCTATCTGAAAAATGACTATAGTGAAAAGGGCTGGAGATGTGGCTCAAGTGGAAGAGCACCTGCTTAGCATGTGACAGGCCCCAAGTTCAAAACTCATTACTGAAAAAAAAAAAGGTCAAGTTTCACACCCCACCAGGGATTGACAACTGCTGTCTCCCCATGGAGGGGCTCCTGATACTGGTGACCCTCCCCGTAGATGACATCACATCACTTCTGAGGCTCCTTCGCAGGGACACATAACC